TTTAATAAGTAACTAACTTTTTAAGCAAGTGTTTAATAATTACCTTTTTAAAAAAAATAATAATTATATTACTTACCAGCCATTTAAATTTGAAGAGCAGCATAGAAACCAGAACCGAAATTAGTGTTATAAATGTTATTAGATAGGGGGAATGATCGGTTATTAAATCTGGAAATAAATAGCAATACGTATAAAATGAAATTATATATATATATATATGAACTAAATTATTTATAAATATAATATATAGCAACACCTTTTAGTATAATTTTTTATTTAATTTTCATAAACAATTATTTTTTAAAATCTAAAAATGTTTAATTACCATTCGGTTTTATCGAGTTATCTAGTGATTATCTTTTGAATTTTTAAAGTTGTCTTTAAAATTTCCATTTGGATTTTTTACATTGTCTTTTTTCAGGTTATCGGTTGGACGTTGAACATTAAGAGCATCTTTATCAAAATGAAGACGGTGTCTATTTTTGCTGATGGACATTTTGGAGTGATAAAAATCATTTAATTTTAAGATAAATTCTAATTGTTTGTCAAGCAATATTGATGATATTTCAAAGTGTTCCGCTTCTTTTGCAATATCAAAGGCACTAACGACATCTTCGTCCCTTGCTAAAACATCGGCATTATTATCAAGTAATAGCCGCACAGTGTTTACATGGCCGAAAGAAGTAGCTATCATCAAAGCCGTAATGCCTCTGTTATAAAACCCCTAGCAATGTGCGTGTATTTAATATTCTCTTTACGTTATGCAAAATTGTACAAACAGTGGAAATTATAAAATAGCTCTATGCCGCTATATAAACAAACCCTACTCTAATATTTATAATAAGACACTGCGGTGCACTGAAAAGCACAGCATGGTGCGTAGTTTACTTTTATAGTCCCAAAATCTATAGCGATGACGGACGGACGGAAGGAAGGAAGGAAGGAAGGAAGGAAGGAAGGAAGGAAGGAAGGAAGGAAGGAAGGAAGGAAGGAAGGAAGGAAGGAAGGAAGGAAGGAAGGAAGGAAGGAAGGAAGGACAGACACAGCCCGCTTATATTATAGATATATATATATATATATATATATATATATATATATATATATATATATATATATATATATATATATATAAATATAAAAACTTTAATCTGTAAGGAATATTAATTAAGAGTCTATAATTTCTACGAGGTAAACTCTTGCTGCCATCAGGCAACAATTTCTTTTATATGCTTTTTTATTTCACTCTTTTGTTATGCATGTTGTATGTGGCTAATCAATAACTTAATGTGTGACCTCTTCTCATGCAGCAGTTTTGTTCAAACTTTCCAACTACGTTTGTCTCCAGTGACGGTTCAAGGCTTGTTATTTTTAAAATTATTTTTTAACAGTAAGTTAGTCATCAGAATTGCATATAACATTACTACATTTATAATAAAGGGGAGATAATTAAATTACATACTAACGATTTAACTGTAGGTTGATTTATTGCCTGAGAGTCGACCATGGACTAAGAAGGGGCAAATAATTGTCTAAAATAGTTCGCTATATACTAATTTGGATTTTAAGCGAATGACTAAACTGTGAAAAATAAAACAAGCATAAAAAAGATGTTAATAAACAAGCGTCTTATTTTTTAAAATTTAGTAGCTTTTGGGATCTCTTACATCTTTTAGAGACCAGATCTTTTGCTTAAGGAAGAACGTTTGTTCTTTTTTTTTACTTTCTAGTATGTGAAGTATAGAGGAAGCATTGTAATCGTGCAAAAAAATCGAATTTTATTCTCGACGTTAAACATCTCCCTGCAATTTTTCCGTACATCTCTGTGTGTGTATGTGTGTCTGTGTGTATGTGCGTCTGTGAGCACGATACATTGAGTACCGTTACAGCTAGGTTGATGAAATATCATATATAAATATCATATCAAATTTGAAGTTCTGTATCAACTTTTCTGCTATTTCCGGTAACCGAAAGTGGAACTTAAAATACTTTATAATTTTTAAAAGCCTATCACTTGAGTACTTTTACTGATAGATGAATGAAGTTTTACATGTAAATAAACGATTCAATTCTCTACATTGTATCAAATTTTGAGTAATTTCCATTGAACGGAAAACGTAATTAACGCTATTTTCGATTTCTCAAAATAAAGTACTAATAATATTGAACACTATTATACACATTGTTTGGCGTTCACTTGGTGCGCAATTCTTTTTTCTACGAGATTCTGTTCTACTAGCCGACGGTACCCGTTACACGTGAACCATAAGCCTATATATTTTTAATGTTAAACGTGTTTGAGATGCATATTTTATAAAAGAGTTATTGATCAAAACGCAGTATGATTTACTGTACGTTTAACGATATTATTGACAAAGAAAATACTGAACCAAATATCTAAAATTCCGGCACATTTTAAATAACATAGGCTACCAATTCTTATTGGAAAAATCAAATTGTATACATTATTAGTCAGCACAAAACCATATTAAATGAACACACTGATTAAGAGATTTAAATGACTCCTTTTAAAACCCGGCTGTTCAATGGTATTTCTATTGTTTTTTAAAGTAATTTGTATTTCTTTGGGCCGAGAAAATTGTATACAGTTCATAGCATACGTCCCGATAAGTTGATCTATAGAACTAAATAAATGTTTTATTAAATAGTTCATTTCTTTGCATTCTAAAATTGGAAGATGACAACATTTTCTTTGTGTTCTTTACGTAATTTAAACAAGTGGCATGTGATGTCATTGTTTATTGTGTTCTTTTCACAACAATAAACGCTTTCCCGGTTGTATTATGCCTATATTTTTATTTTCCTTCTTTAAAAAAAAAATTAGTTTATACATTTATAACATCAGCCATATTAATTTCAACAAAAGCCCGTATCTACAATTTTTCCATACTGATCACATCGCCTAAAAAACGTGCAGACAGACAGAGAGACATACACTATTTTCCATGTAAGACTCATTGTAAGATAGAGTCAATCAAAAAGGAAATAATTCAATTCGTTTAATTAAAACAGCGTTAAACGTAGTTATTAATTCTTAATTTCTTCAGCGATTGATACAGGACAAATGATCTTAGGACAAATGATCTCAGACAAAATATCTCACGGACAAATGATCTCAAGACAAATGGTCTTAGGACAAATGATCTCAGGACAAAAGATCTCAAGGACAAATGATCTAACGGACAAAAGATACCAGGACAAAATATATCAGGACAAATGATACCATGGACAATTGATCTCAGACAAAATATCTAACGTCTTCAGATGCCTCAATATGTTTAACCACTATAAACCTCAATTGGGGGGGGGGGGTTGTCCAGGAGGTTTATATCGCGGGGGGTTTTTGTCCAGGGGGGCTTATGTCGCGGGTGGTTATGTCCAGGGGGTTTATGACTGGGAGCCATTCGCACGGGGGGGGGGGGGGGGGAGAGAGAGAGATAGCGAGAGAGAGAAGTACGCACATGGGCTTTTATATATTAGGATTTTAAAAAGTTTAAGCAATTCAAAATGGATTTTAAAACATGTCTATATTCCGAGTTGCATTCTTGTTTTTTTTTTTTTTTAGACAGCAGACTGACGAGGAAGTGAGTGTAATAAGAGCTTGTATATTCAATATATATGAGACTATATGCATTCCCCGTGGTGTTGTGTAAGAATATTCGAGAAAGTTTAGGAGAGATCACTCCCGATTTATTTTCATTGTATTTAAAAGGTTATTATTATTGTGGTTTTATGTTAGTTTTATTACAACTCAAATCAAATGACACGGATCACCGGCTCAGGAGTTGTGCTCCCATTAGCCAGGCCGGCCTCCACGCACCGTACTCCGACTAACTGGCTTTTTGCGAGTTGTGGGCAGCTCGAAGATGTCGGGCTAAACACTGCGCTTCGGTCGCTTCCCTTCCGTGGGTTCCCACCGGGCTTGCCTTCCCCATCACCCGATGCAGGACGTCGTCCCACCATCGTGGTATCCAGCTAGATCGTGGATGGCATTATTACAACTAAACGGTTAGACGCCATTTTTTTTTAAAATTTATTTTATAAGAGCACTAGAAAAAGTACTCACTAAATTCGGTGGTATGAAGAGTCACCGATTAAGACAATTTTTTTTATTATTTGTTACAATATTTCCAATATTTAGTTTATTTGTTTATTTTTTTTTAAGATTCCTGTTTTAAATCGCTACCATGACAATTCATTTTTTATTCTTATCCGACTAAAATCAGTTGCTACCAATCACTATAATAGATACACCTTTGCTAACAATAAAGCCATATCAGAATCTTTCAACTGTGTTTTAAGGTTTGTTTATCGATTTAGAATTACATCCATTATTCGTTACATATTAATATAAAATATTGCAACATTCACGCACATGTTGGTATGTAATAAGCTTGAAAGTAAGTTTGTGTTAAATTATTCTGTTATTGTTAGTGTTCCTGTTAGTTAATAGAGATAACTCAGCATGGTATACTATTTTTACGGAACTACAGCCCAACACGAATTACAAATGGATTACAAGCCTTGAGATCAGTTGATAAGAGTGGCAGGAGACAGTTAATCAGGCCCCATGTTCTGCAAGGAGCGAAAAGTTAAACAAATCTAAATTGATACCATAAATGACTTAGAGTTGGTTTAATTTTTTAATTTTAATTTTATTTTTAGAAACAGTTTGAAACGAAATCGTTAAAAGATAATGACAATCGCGTTTTTTGTACATGGACACATTCTTATAATTATAAGCAGTGCTGTATTTGTAACAATAACTTTGTCGGAAGCATTGAAAGGAAGCGTAAACTCTTAAGTAACAAAATAATGACAAAATGATTTGGAAAACAGAAAAGTGAGTATTTTATTTATGATGTGCAAATAGAAACAAAATTTCTTTGGAAGAACTAAAAAATATTTGTAATATTACCTTATATATATATATATATATACATATATATATATATATATATATATATATATATATATATATATATATATATATATATATATATATATATATATATATATAGGCCTATATGTTAAATGCATGTTTACAAGTATACATATTACACGTTTTGATAAATGGATGCACTCACATAATTTCCTCGCTTTTGTCCGTTTTGTATTTTGATTTATTCAAAGTATACTTCAAGACAATTTTTAGACATATTTTACCTTCTCATATTAGTAATCTTCAATTGATAATTAATGCACATGATACAAAATTTTGTTAACTCTATTGATATCTTATTTGTTATTTAAATTCTAACACATATCAAATTGAACAAAGATTGTATCATTCATATCAGAAAATGTGCACTGCAACATACATTATATTTTAATTGTAATATTAATTACTTGAAATAAGTTAAATTTTGAAGTAATGTCAACAATACCATGAGCTGCTACAGTTGGCGTCACGCTCCTTAGTCACGCCACTGTGGGTGTAATTAGTTGAGTAAGGTTTCAAGCCTATAACATATACGGGGGCTCCAACACAACCGTTACATGAAGGGTTGGTATAGTACAGTCGGGAGCTGAACTTCTTTTGTTGTTTCTGTCTGTCTGCCAACATCCCCAGCGTTAAATGTTTTGAAGCACCATGAGGATGTGAAATCATTAAAACAGTTTTATTCACAGTTTCATCAGTATTGTATTTCTTATACATTTTCTTGCATAGACGGCTGTAATTTCGAAGCTTAAATTTTAACGTGTACGCCAGTTGAATATCGTGAGAGTAACAGACCATTACACATCTGTCTCGCTTCTTTGATGTGATGGACGTTTTTAGTCCTATAAGTTCTTTGATATTGTGAGAACCATCGTGATTAACAAAGCAGGTTGTATGTCGAGCTTCAGAATCACCAGACACCAGCTGTGTTGATGTAATGATGTAAAAAATTGCCCACGATGTTGAAGGCGCTGCTGTTTCACAACATGCCGGACATGGGCATTTGTCGTCATCAACGTCATTGTAGATATCGACAGAATTGACGAACCCAGTCCCATATTTATCTGTATCGAATAAGACTTGTACTTTGACAGTCAAGGCTGCTAAATTTTTAACAAGTTTTAGAAGTTGAGTATCTTGTGCGGGCAGTTGATTAAGTGTTAACCTTTGAACTTGAATAAAATCTCTGTGATCTGGATTCTTATTGCATAAATTAAATCGCTGTAACAATTTGCAGTGTACGTGTTGGTTCTGTTTAATATCGTTTGAAGCATCTAAAAAAAAAAGATTGAAGACGTGGCTGTAAAATATACCTTGTTATGTTCAGAAATCGAGTTAGCATGTCTTTAGATCTTGGCATAGAAATAAATATTGTGGTTAGAGTAAGCTTAACCATCTTACTTTCCCCAAACGTGAGTCAGGTACCCATCAGAGCTGGATAGACTCAGGGACGTTGACCTAGCAGTCGAGTGCTCTCTTCCACTCGACCACGCCGTCCACACATTTAAAAATGCTTATATGAAAATATCAATATATTTATTTAAGACAACTGAAATGTTTATATATATATATATATATATATATATATATATATATATATATATATATATATATATATATATATATATATATATATATATATATATATATATATATATATATATATATATATATATATATATATATGCGTGTGTGTATGTGTTATAAAGCCTTTAAAATAACATAAACCATTCTATTATACATACATTTTCAATTTGATAAACACTCTAAATTTACATACTAATATTTGAATTTCAAATTTACAAAAAAAAACAGTACCTAATTCTCCGTCAGAATCGTTGCATTCTTGATTGCACTGAGAGAATTCTGTTTAAAATAAAATTAAAGGAAGTAGATTAGCATCATTAAACAATAGTCTACAGTAAAAAAAAAACACATTTTCTGATTGAGAATTATAAAAATATGTAATAGAAACCATCATAGTACACAAAAACCAAAACACTACTCAGAGAAATAATAGTCTACTATTAAATACTCTGAATAAGTTTATAGATCTAATTAAGTAAGCCAAGCAAAGATTTAATTGTGCATTAGAAAGCTTTATATTAAACATGCTGTCAAATTATGTATTTACAAATTAGATCGGTTTTTGTGGCACTATGTTGCTGTTCACTATAAATGTAACTTACTACATGCTGATAACTAATCGATTCCATTACATTTAGTATCCGCCTATAGATACATTTTTAAAATGTGTACGTCAGGGACCAACATTTTTAATGCCCCACATTTTCTTTTATGATCGATAATTAAATCTTTTCCCCTAATTCTTATTTTTATTTATAGTTATTTCAATAGTAGTGTATGATTTTTTTTCTATTTTTAGTGCATTATTGCATTAAAGCTTGTTATTAAAACGTTTTTTTTTTCAGTAATTTAAATATTTTAAATTCACAATAGAGTTGTTTGATTAAAAACAACTGCGCACCTAATGAACATGATGACGCGTGTCTAATAGTGCGGAATATTTAAATTGGACAGCCCACTAATTTGGACAAAATTTTAGTTTATTCATAAATAAATTAATCGGCAACCAACAAAGTCAAATTAAATTCATGTTGCATTGTCTTCATGTCTTGACCCAAGTACCAACTACGAACCGTATCTGTCAGTTAGAAGTGCCCGTAATTTTGCTCGGGCGTTTTGATCTAGACAGACTTACGACAGACAGAGGAATTGAGTTAAATAAAAGCTTGTAAAAAGGTTTTCATAAAAAACGTTTTTAATAACAAGCAGTTATGTAATAATGCACTAAAAATAAAAACAAATTATACACTACTACAATTATACAAATAACCATAAATGCAAGCGTGGATCGCTTTAGTAACTATTGGATACCTTTAATAATATTTAGAAAGAGACCCACGCTTTTCTTTATAGAAATGTAAATAGTAATGTATAATTTATTTTCTACTTTTTAGTGCTTTATTACATAACAGCTTCTTATTAAAACGTTTTTAATAAAACAGTTTTGGTACTTTACATGTTTTATTTACACTACTGTGGCATGAATAAAGACCATTGCGCACCTATTGAACGTGATGTCGCGTGTCTAATAGCGCGGAATAATTTGATGAGTCAGCCTTCTAATTTGGACACAATTTTAATTGATTCTTAAAAAATTAATTAGCAACCAATTATGTCATATTCAATGTCATGTTGCATTGTCTTCATTTCTTGACCCACGTACCATCTACGAACCGTATATGTCAGTTAGAAGTGCCTGCATTTTTGCTCGGGCGTTTGATCCAAACAGAAAGACTGACGACAGACTGACGACAGACTGACGACAGAGGAAGTGAGTTAAATAAAAGCTTGTAAAATTCAAACTTCATGCTGTGGTTTTTAATGCATATAGCATGCATACTTTTCTTGCAAGTTAGTTGTTCTTTTATTTAAAAAATAGTGTTCATTTTATAAAGTCCAACGAGTATTGCAAAATTAAAAAGGATTGCAAAATAAAAAAACCGTAAAGTAAGTCACCCACCATGGAACATGATGATAATATATTTTATGAAACGGTTAAAATATTTTTTTATAAAATAAAAAAGCAACAAAATGAGCATATTACATTATTTAGTATGAAATCTAGTAAATTACGGTAACTTTACATCAAATTCACATACCTAAAATAAAGTCATGATTCAACAGTTCTTCAGCGGTAGGACGAATATTTGGATCGACTTGAAATGTTTGAGTCAAAAAATCTTTGAGTGAACCAGACGTAGATCCTAACAGCTCTGATGGAACTTGTGTTAACGTAGATATTTTAAATAACACGTTTGCTGAACTACTTTTATGGAATGGTTTGTGTCCTGTAACCATCTCAACAACTGTAGCGCCAAGACTCCTTAAAAAATAAAATGTACAGAAAAGTAGTGTAATTATACGAAAGCGTAATTATAGAAAGCAAGTTTGTATGCTGTCAACGATAGTAAACAGTACAACTGTACCGTTTTATGCTATAATAATAGCAGAAATAGTATAGTTCAAGCTGTTAAGGGTCAGAGAAATGTTATGCTGGAAATATTTAGTACAAGTGTATATTTCCAACCGCTCAGTACGCTGATACATGGGCAAAATAAAATACTTTTATGATAATTCATATGTATAGTCTACTGCCACGTGAGCTCAGCTAAGAGCAGTACAATTATTAGTAAAGTAGAGTAATGTCTTAAAATGCAGGATGAAGTAAGTCACGGGTAGTACGAGCTTTTAAGGTAAAGATTATAATTGTAATAGACAGCAGCGCTTAGTAATTTAAATCAACATGTGGCATTCTTTGTAAAATCTTCAGGCCCCATGATTAAGCTACAGCTCAATGCTTTATAATGATAATGTTTTTAACCAGGTCCGATGAACATTTGACTTTGAAAAGATTTCACGGTCGGCAAATGATATTACAAACAGTTCTGTTAACTACGTGACTATTTGATGTGCGGAATTTACGGACTACAGTAAGATCAGTTTAACGACAACAATACAAGAAAAAATTATCATACATTTTCTGAGTTACAAATAAAATACTTAAAAAAAACTTTTTAAAAAACCACGTTTTTCTTGTGGACTAAAAAGTAGAAAATAAATTTTTCTTTTGTGCTTCCTCGAGCTGTGCAGATTCTTGTGATGACTGACAAAAAAGGTGGGTACGTTCACCATCAAATTTCCCGACCCATCTGCCCGACCCACGTTTTTTGTCAGTCATCACAAGAATCTGCACAGCTCGAGGAAGCACAAAAGAAAAATTTATTTTCTACTTTTTAGTCCACAAGAAAAACGTGGTTTTTTAAAAAGTTTTTTTTAAGTATTTTATTTTCTCCTTTTTAGTCCGTTGCTACACATGAAAAACGTGGTTTTTAAAAAAAGTATTTTATATAGTTTATTTTCTACTTTATCTAATGACTTGATAAAGTATGACTTGACTAAGTGTTTATAAATACACGGACTAAAAATCTTGAGCGACCAGGATTCGAACCTGGGTTGTCGCGGCCACAACGCGAAGTACTAACCACTATACGATCACGGCCAGCGCGCTCACATCGATTGGGGCCGAAGTAACTGTGTCAATAGGCCTCCAGTCTTGTCGGTATCTTTAGAAATCATGTCCTCAATTTTATGGTCCTTGGGGCGTAATTAAATTAAGCTAATTACGGTCTCTAATTGCTAGTTTTTATGATTGCATCTGAAATTGTTAGGCGAAAGTAGCCTGCATGCCAAATTTCAGATCTGTAGAGCAATCAGAAGTGGGCTAATTTTCGATGTCAATTTTAACAACAAACAAATCCACAAACGCGAAGCTGAGTTAAGAAAAACGTGTTAAAAATAAATAAAATGTCACAAAAGTGAGAATCGTTCAGGTATCCGAAGGTCTACGATTGTTCACGTGGAGCAGCCACCACAAGTTACAGGACTATGTCGGTAGAAAAACACAGTAGTAAAACAAGTGAAAGATGGTGAGACCGAGCAGGTCCTTTTATCGCCTTCCCAGCGGACCAAGCACCTTTAAGACTCGGAAATTTGAAATATCGTTACTCTAACCCGGCTGGACGGACTAGCGGAGTCCAGTGGCAGGTTTAGAGGTCGCTGCAGCGTGCCATGGAGGGAAGCAGACTGGGATCAAAGAGTGAGTATGTGCGCAGGTAGTAGTGGCATTTGCAACATAATTATTATAAAACGTGTCCCGTTAAATAGTCAATTTCAATTAGCAATGTATTTTATGTACGACCGAAATTTAAAAAATGCAATCAATTGTTAAAAACTCAAATTACCATACATCAACCTTGGAGTCAAAAGGCAATGAATTTATTATCTCAGGAGCCATCCAATGTGGAGTTCCATTTTCAATATTTGTTATTTGTAAGCCCGTTTGTGAGACCCCGAAGTCAGCAATTCTTATTTTGGAGTAATTTTCCATTAAAATATTATCAGCTAGTAAAAAAGAACATAAAAAATTATAATGAATGTAATAAATTTCTTACGTTTTCTGTTGTTGTTTCTTTGCTAAATATTATATTTAAATATGAGTCTTAATTAATAGTCTGTTCTCTTATTTTCCTTTAAATTGTAATAATTCAAAATTGATTGTTGAGTTTGCTGAGTTAAAACATTAAACTATACGAGGAATTAAGATTCACATATCATATCATTGAAAGATACACTAAAATAATTTTATTTTTCTGCTATATGTTTGGAACAGCGTATAATATTTTTAATTTTTAATTGTTTCAAATGTCTTAAATTTAAGACACACAAATGTAACCTTTTATATCCATATGAACTATAGAACGTTCATGAATGTATTGAAGTCCATCTAGTATCTGACAAATGTACAAAGAGATCTGTTTCAAACTGAGGACTGGTTCTAAATTGTTTTCTTCCTTTGGGTCACATTTCTGTAAGATTAAATCTTTTAAAGTGCCCTAAATATAAAAAAGCTTTAGTTAAGCATGTGTCTATTTTTCTAGTAAATATGTATCGACATTTTGACAAAATCAAATTTTAAATTCCCGTACAACAAATCTAAAAATAATTTCCTCAATATAAAATACGTCAACTAACCAAATACATGAAATCCATCATAATTAAAGGTTCAGCACCGTGGTTACAAATCCCGTAAAAGAGAACTATGTTGCTATGTAACAAACGTCCGAGAGTTGCGATTTCGTTCATAAAAGCAACTTTTTCCTGAGAAAAACACACACACATATATATATATATATATATATATATATATATATATATATATATATATATATATATATATATATATATATATATATATATATATATATATATATGTGTGTGTGTGTGTGTGTGTGTGTAAGTGCCTGTGTCATTGTACGTGTGTTCGTGTGTATTTGGTTATATGTGTGTGTCTGTGTACACATGTGTAAGTTTACCACTATTTTGCTCTTCTCATAACACCTGAGAGCTTTTATAGCAAAACATAGTTGATTAGATGTTTGTGTCTTTTCCATTTTGTAAACAACACCGTTGCCGCCTTGTTTAACAAATGCCAACGAAGCGAGCTTTATATGATTTATGGTTGATGCTACGTTAGTTATGTTGTCCGTAGTAAACACCTAAACGAAACAGAATAGTTTATTATGATTTTAGTAAGTTACAATAAATTACAAATTATTGTTGACGCTTCTAAATTGATAATTTAATGTTTCTTATAGTTGGATAGGTTTACATTTACAATCTGCAAATATTAATTATTATGAGTTACAACGGTTTGAATTTACTAATGTGCTTTGTCAAACGTCACTTATAAATATACGACACGTAGCCACTGATAAAAAGAACACTGACACGCTTACCTACTGCTAATAATTTGAAAACAATTCATTATCTAAACCAATATATTCATGGTATTGTTTACAGTATTAATTATATGTATAATTATATTTTTTACTAACCTGTGGTAACTCTTCTGTTTTAATATTTATAGTGATCTCTATATCGGAAAAACAATCAGGTGTACATGTTATTGAAAGATCGGGCGAGGAATCTGCTACCCTATGAAAAAATATACGTCCAGAAACGCTGTGAAAAGTGAATATTGTTTAAAAATTCAATTAAAATTAATTAAACATTTGTAGAATTTTTATTCAAAACATTAATGTAATATATATATATATATATGGTTTATAACCTTACATTTTCAGTACAATTACAGTTGAACAGGTGTTGCAACTCACGTTTTTAAATAAGTACATATTATTGGGTTCGAAATGAAGCAAAACAGATAACCATATAAAAATTTCAGACATTTTCGCAATAGGGATCAAACTATTTTCTGAGATCATAATAAACTGTTTTCACTTTTTTTTAATACTGTTCAAAATCTGTTTATATATTATTTCGCAACATGAACATTAATTAAAACGTACTTTTTTAGAAATGCATGTTTGGTTAACAAATCAGTGGCTGAAGGTCTTAAGCTGGGCTGAGAATGGAACGTATTTTGCAGGAAGTTTCTGATGGCTGGGGAAGATTGTTCTGGAAGGCTGAAGATTGGAGGCTTGTCTGAGGCCAGTTGAAATGTTATTTGTTGCTCTTCCAAGTCTATAAATGGTGGGTTGCCAGTGACCATCTGGACAACAGTGCAGCCAACACTCCTGGGGGTGGGGACAGTAAGAGTTTTATACCAACTAGTAGCAAATTAAGTTTAACATAGAAATAACTTGTAAATGCAACCACATGCAAGAGATATACATGTAGTAATAATTTTTTTTAAAATCTGTTACATTAATATAAATTAAAACAATATTTTTATTGCAATTGCACAAAATTAATAAATAATTTTCACGAGGTAATCACTTTATTTTCAACAGAAATTATAATTTCAATAAGAGACAAACACAAGCTCATTCTGATTTTATTTAAACACTATTTTTTAAACTTTCAATAAAACAATAACATAAATTATATATCGTTACTCAAATTGAAAATACTATACTATAAAAAAGCAATTACTCTTCATGACGAGATACAGATAGTATATTACTTAATCCCGTTCTTTTAAACGCAATGCTAAAAATATGTTACAAAAAAGTATGCTTTGACATTTTAAAAAAAAATTGTAATTCGAATTACAAGTTACAATGTTTGTTTCAGAGTTGACTTAAAAATCCACTTACCATATATCCACTTTTTCATCATAAGTACTGCCATGGTCATCCATAATTGCGGCAACCATTTCAGGCGCCATCCAGTTGATGGATCCAGGTGAGATCAAATCAGATTCCTGCTTCAGTAAAATTTTGACATTCCAGTCATTACGGAGATTTTTGGACACACCAAACCCTCCAAGTTTGACATTCTCCTCAGATTCAAGGAAGATATGTTTACCTAAAGAGTTCAACATAAAATAAGATAAAACTCAAGACAGTGTAAAAATATTCATTATCATTTGTCAAACTATTAACTCTAGATATTACAGCATGGTTGAATGTTTGAATGCTCATTTTCTAACCCAGAAGTCTAGATTACAGATCCCGGGCTTGATTCAGTACAGTATACATGAGGCCACCCACCTCTAATGACGACCTGAATCAAGTCAGGGAAAATAAAACTGGCTGGCCACAGTGCTGACCACACAATCTCTTAATTAGCTGAGCTCAAGGAACAGATAAACATCACTTGATCTACCCCATTGTTAGACAGGTCTGATAGGGAAACATTTATATCATTGTATAAATTGTAGCGAGCTATAAATATGACCATGACTCTTGTATTAAAGATGAAGATCTATTATATTACTTGAATGTAAACCAAGAGAAGAAAAAAAAGAATACAGTAACATAACAGAACATTTTTTATAAAAAAACACAAACCTTCTTTCATTATGACCTAAAAACTAATTAATCAAATAACCGTATGTTTTAACATTTTAACTTTATCTATTTATTTATTGTTTTGAGTATAATTTAGGATGTAAACTATTTATTTTCCAGTGCGTGTATATATATATATATATACACGCAAACGCTGGTCTAACATAATCTCAATTGAAAAATTAATTGGAGAGTATGGAATCAGTTTCCAAGTTAATTGAAAAAAGAAGATGGCAATTGGTGCGGCACATCATAAGAATGAATCCAGAAGACATCACAAGAATTGTTATAAAATCATGATTTTAAATTTGTGTGTTTGAGTTTAAGGAAGGTTCATATTTCATGCCAAATATCCTGCACGAAAAAAAATGAGGCATAATTACTAGACAGAAGATAACAGAAGAAAAAGATTATGTATATGTTATTTGCTTATGATTCATTAAGTGTTTAATGAAATAAATGAGAAAATAATGAGAAAAACCCTGGTAAAAATATTATCTAAAAAAAACAATTAACTACCAGAGATATCCCTGTGAATGACATTGTTGGCATGGAGATATTGGACACCTTCCAGGATGTCTTTAGTAAACTTCTGGGCCTGTTTTTCCTTCAATGGTCCTTTGGTTTTGATGTAGTTCTCAAGAGACCCCTAAAATACATTATTAAATTATTTAACTAACTCAAGAACATAATAATATGATTGTTTTATTCCTCTACACAAAACGGTATAATTTTTTTTTTTTATTTAGCTACCTCAAAATAATTTTTATAAGATGACTTTATCATAGTTACTTCAGTGTGGTAAGAATTGTTCTTTCCCAATGTACTGCCTATCTTTTTTTGCTTAAATATCCAAACAATTCAATAATTATTTGCCCATTAATAAGGAAATAATTGAATCAATGACAATTTTGGGGAATTCAAGAAGATTTAATTGTCTTGTACTTAATTAATTTGTTACATTGCAGCTGTTATAGTATGTGTTAATGCATTTCTCATATGCCTAAAGGTTTATAATGCATCAGTCTTGTAAAGAAGAGACTTTCACATCACCCACTTATAGAATTAACAACACACTGTCATGTTTTGGTAGATTTAATGTTAACAGAAATATTAAAACTACTTCTGTTTTCATGTATTATCTATAATATAAGCTGAGATGGCAAGTTCCCTTGGTGCGACCTTATGTTCTTCTGTCTTCGGTATTGCCACTGTGTCTTCACTTTTAGAGCTGGAGAATGTGGTCATGCGTGGGGAGTGATCTCCCTGGGCGTGGATGCTCGGGAAAACATGTTCAACATGCATGGGAAGGATGAAGGCTCTCCTTGGCGCAAATGGCAGGGGAAGCATGTTGCTCAACAGCGATTTAAATTACACCATGGAGAAGGGTGAAAGGGAAATTTGCCGGACAGCGTTGCATAATTTCTAATTGCAGTAGCGAAGCATGGGTTTAATCTAGTCAAATATAAAACTAAACTCAATAAATTAACTAACATGTTACGACAATTAGAACTATCACTGCAGATTTATGTTAAAACATTTCTACCATTTTCATATATTTCATGAAAACTGACAGTGTGATTCCTGACTCGCAGAAACCGTAAAATGTGACGATCTTTTCATGTTTGAGTTTGGTCATCACATCTGTCTCATTTCTGAATAGTTTCTGCAACACAATAAAACATATTAATTAATTATCAAACCTAAATCTAATTCATTAAATTTACTTGCAAATAATTAAATACATAGCAAAAATACAGTATCATAGATAGCCCTTAGTAAACACATATTGTTATAGAATGTCTACAATTAGGTTTCCCTTCATCAAACAAAAGCTCTATTGTAACATGTAAATGTGGGGTGGCGTGGCGTAGCAGTAGAGCGTTAGACTGCTAACCCGAAAGTCTCGAGTTTGAATCCAGGTTCAAGTCAGTAAAACATCCCTGAGTCCACCCAGCTATGATAGGTACGTCATCCACCTTAGGGAAAGTTCAGGTGGCTGGGCATACGGCAGACCACACTATCCCTTCATAGAGGTCAAACAAACAGGTGAACTATAGTGTCCTTGCCTCATGGACCGTCAGTTTATAAGTGGAAACTATGTAACATTGTTGTAGTACGTTTATAAAATATTATGTTTTTCATAATTTTAAACTATAAATGCACATCTTTAGGTCTTCACATTTGTATTCTGTAAAATTGAGATAAAAATATCAGATAGGAGTTTCACAATAAAATTTGAGTCACTGACGCTAGACATTACCAATAGCAAATCTTTAGATGTGATGGTTGTAATCATCTCTTTAACAACAAAAGATTCATCGTCTGGATTGTCCTCATCTTGTACAATATAAACATCACCCTGTGACCCAGTACTGACAAGTCTGCCTTTTGTCCACTTTTTGGGAAAATCCTCAGATAGGTTACTCACTGTAGGGAATTTAAAAAAAAATTAATGGAACGTAAAACTATCATAAGTATGGTGTGACGGTAAAACCATCTCGTGCAAGCACCTCTCCCGTCAGGGGCTATTATAATTTCCTTTCTCCACCCCCCTCCCCCCAATTGGCTACATGACAGGATGTGTGTGCAGGAAGTGCGACACGAGAACCCGTGAACGATGTTACAGGGTCGAGACTCGGAGCTCCACACAGATCGCCTCCTACCTGGTTAACGACCCCAGCGGTGTATGAAATGTACCAGTAGTATCATCGTATAAAGATTGATGACATCTTTCTATGTACTCTTCATGGAGAAACCTACGTGTTAAAGCGGAGACTTTGAAAACCAGACTGGATATCGGATTCAGCAATAAGTATATCATTGTTTATACATTGACATTTGTTCCATGTATGCTTCATGGCGACACTAACATGTTAAAGCGGAGACTTTAGCGAACCAGCCTACACCTACATGCTAGAGTGGAGACGTTAAGAAACCAGATACAGGAGACTTGCTTTTTGAAGTTGAGACGTGGTGTGCTGAAGCGGCTTGTGTCGGAACCACTGTGTCGGGACCACTCAAGCCCTGTGTCGGGACCACTCAAACCCTGTGTCGGGACCACTCAAACCCTGTGTCGGGACCCTGTGTCGGGACCACTCAAACCCTTTGTCGGGACCACTCATGGCTGTGTCGGGACCACTCAAGCCCTGTGTCGGGACCCTGTGTCAGGATCACTCAAACCCTGTGTCGGGACCACTCAAACCCTGTGTCGGGACCACTCAAACCCTGTGTCGGGACCACTCAAGCCCTGCGAAGAGACTGCTGCGTACAATCTCTGTTTGTTAATCAGACAATGTGTTATTCTAGTTGATAATAAATTTTGACGTTGTACCCGTAGGAATTATTAAGTTTTTTTTTCTTTTCGGTATTATCTACCGTTAACATATGGTACACTTTTAACACCAGTGTGCCCATCCGGTAAGTGAAGTTGAATATTTTCAGTTTATGTTACAATTAGTGGTGCCAGTATGCTTCAACACAAGGTTAACTTTTCTCGACCTGTCTAAGACTCCGCTAAATGGACACCAGCGAGTTGACGAGATTCCTTCTATAGTGTTGTTGACATGGAATAAAAACGTGCTTTTTAGATTTAGACTGTAAAAAAATAAAAAATAAAAACTTAAGCCTAAAATTTATTTAGAAATTTTATATTTTTAGAATAAATGCTATGAAAGTTGCAAATCCAGAGAACTTGAAAATAATTTGTTGAGTTTAAGGCTACATTTCTATTTATTTTCATCAAGCCTAAGTTATTACCGAATGTTTCACTTTCGTAAGGCAAATATTGATTGGCTGTACAGTAACTTAGTGATCGATAACTATTTGTTTACACAACTTTACAGATCAAGTTTTTTAATTAACAATGCAAATTTAAACCCCTGACCTAGATTTTCTATTTTTAGCTTACAATGTGTACAATAAAATTTATGGCGGCCTATCGAATAGCAGGATGTCATGTTTATGTCGCCATAACACGTGAAAACCAATCTTTAGTAAAGTCCGAAAAAAACCAGACAGACAAGATTTTATAACCATATTAATTGTAACTACGCCGTGCATGATTTTTTTATTAATTTATGGACCTCTCAAAAACCTTTGAGACTTTTCTCGCTGGCGTCCATTGACCCATTGGTTTCCTAAACATTGTGCCATTGAGCGAACCTGGAGCTTTTTAGTTATGAAGCCACAGTGTCTACCTGTCTATAGGTTGACCACACTATCCCAAAATTATTTTTTTTCTTAAATCAAAAACTAATATTTTACTATTGCCACTTATCCCACAGGTAAACTCTTTATTTTGCCCATTAAACAGTCAAGTTCAAAGGTGTAACTCACATACATATGACACGGATAATTAGGTTACCAAATGATCGAAAAAAATATGGCGCTGGATGGGGCACGTCCTAAGAATTAATTCCAATAACATAGCAGGATGGCGCTAAACTGGACTCCTCAAGGAAAAGAAAGTGGGGAAGGCCAACGGGTACGTGAAGGCGCAAGGCGTGAAAGAAACTGGCAAAGGCAATTGTCCAAGGGGATCGTCTCGAAAATTGCGAAAGATAAAAGTAGAGGGAGCTGTCTGTATGGCTCCATGTGTCATTCGATGAGTGCGGTGTTCACAATATATGATTTTTTAAAATTTTTCCAGTTAAATTAATATTTTTTTTCAAGACATTAACTACAGAAAACATGAAAACTTTTAAGTAAAAAGCCAAATTTAAAAAAATGATTGATTACCTGCTATAAATGTGTCTTTTAACAGTTCCTCAGATGTCGGACGTTCCTTGGGATCTAGTTTAAATATACGATCGAGAAAGTTTCTTAAAGCTTCTGAGGAATTTTCTGGAAGTTTGTACTGAGGGTGATCACCACGACCTATTTTAATCAGTGCCTGAAAGGGGGTTAACTCTGGGAATGGCGGCGACTTGGTGGCCATCTCTACAACTGTGCAAGCAATGCTCCTGGTGATTTCAAACAAAACGAAATGTATGAATGAAAAACGCTTGTAGATTTGATAAATAATAATTTCAATCGAATAAATTAATAGTAGTAAATTAATGATGTTTTCGGTAAAAAACGTGGGCCTACACCTCCGTTTTTCGCAACCCCCAACACTCTACTTGCGCATTACTTCCTTACCTTTGTTAGTTGCATGCCAAGGCTGCTGCAGTGATCTCTAACCCGGCCTTTATTCTGTCTAGTCGGTTTTGATCTACAATTTGAACAATCCCAGAAACGAAAAAGTCCATGGAAAATATCCACCGTCATAAAAGGGCAGATAACCAATAATTCTGCCTTTTACTCTGACCATTGACTTGCTCAGCGCAATGCACCCCAACCCCATTATGGGTATAGGTGCGCCTAAGACACACTCTGTCACGTGCAGTAAATTCTTCTTAACAGAATGCATTTAAAGATAACACCCTTTTATTTCCATCTACTTTTTATTGTTAACATCTGCTGTATTGTTGCAATTATTCACGCAGCAAGTAGTTCTATATCTCCCTCAAACTGAGTTTTGTTAAATGATTATCTTCTACTAATATATCATAACAGATTATTAAATAATACACATTATGTAATGTTTTTATCTTAGCGATAGTAGGCCATGTATTCTATTACATCGTAGTATGTTGGGACGTATCCTACCCTGTGGCAACTACAAGGCTAAGGTAGTGGGTACGCGCTGGAGCTCTGAGCTATTACTAAGTTTTGAGTATGTATAGCCCTAAAAATCTTTAACTGCGGTATCAATTACTGTGTGCAACACCTGTTTATAAACGTTTATATGTTATGTCATAAAACAATCAACACATTAACCTCTAATGGGTAACTAATGTTTCTATTTTACCATTAGTCTCACCATTATATTGTTCTGTTACACTTAAGTGTAGGCTACAATAGAAACGTGTCTACGATCCTATCGGTTGAATTACATTATTTTAATGATTGTTAACTAAAATATTGTGATGTAAGGAACTGTCCTGTCAAAGCTAGTCAAATAAACCATATTGCATGCTCAAAACTAAGGCAGCGGGCCTATACTAATTTGCTCATTGAATATGCCTATAGATCTATAAAGTCAAACTACGAATTAAATAAAGTATAAATATTTTTTACTTTTGAAAATTATTGATTTTCGGCTAATATTTGTAACATTGAGCCACATTATGCATACTATTTAAACGTATAATAGAAATATCAGCACAAGGTACCAGATATCAGCTTTGACATCATGGCAGATTTCTCCAACAGCACAAATCACTTCTGGTGCCATCCACTTGTACGAGCCCATATTGGAGCGAGCGCTGGTGCTTTCGTGCAAGATTTTTGATAAACCAAAGTCAGACAAGCGGACATTATTCTCATCCTCCAGAAGCACATTTTTACCTGTAATAAAGAGTGCATAGCATCATTCTAACAATGGGCTTTTTCAGTCAATAAATGTTGTTACATAGTCAACTTAGAGTTGCATTGTTGTTCATGTGTGCAGTCTCTGACAGTGTATCGTTTCCCGACCCGTATTCAGGACGAAATCATATCCGCATGTAAATGAGCATCGAGATTTAGTTTAAATAGGTTTTCATTTCCACATATTAGATATATTTAGTTGAATAAAAAATAAGGAAGGGGAAGTGTAAAATAGTGAAAAATGATATTTTAGCTGTATAGAACAGAGTTTGAAAAGATTTTAAAAGAATTTCGGAGAAAGGCTATTGAAGAGTAGAGGAGTAATAGTATTCTTAGTTAGAGATATAATGAAGTAATCTGACATATTTAAAAAAAACAGTCATTTCTGTTGTGGTACTATTGAGTAAGTGAAATATATGCATTTAAAAAAAAATATTTAGATTTAATTGTATAATTTAAAAAGACCCCGGCGTGAATTTTTCCATAAATGCATTAAATATTTAACAAATCATGTACAATGTTATAAAAATATATATGTTTATACACAATTTAATGCACTATCTTTGTTGTACCTTAATAAAGATTTTCGTCTTTGACTTTTTAAAATAATTTACGTAACTGGACAATTTTTAAACAAAGGCAAAACAATTTGGCTTTTTAACGTGGTTAAGGGGGTAGGCTCCAGAAAAAACCAACTTCTTAAGTAAAACCTTTTATTGATTCATTTGTGTATATCCAACTTAGGGTACTTGAAGGAAAATATTTCCATGTATCAGGGACTTTTTTGAAAATATGGTTGCCATGGCAACGGCGGCCATCTTGAAAAAAACATCATTTTCTGGAGTTCTAAAATTTCATAAACTAACATAAATATCGGCTATATAACCATTGATCCTTCTTGTACTAACGCTAATAGAGTCAGCTGGCTAGTTTTTGTAACAGAAATCACTCTAGAAATTTTTTTTTTAATTTTCAAAGTTTGGTGTGACGAAATTCCAATGAAAATAATGCTAAATTCAATGGAATTTCACCACATATTTTTTTGAAAATTTGAAAAAAATATCTCTAGCTGTTTTTTGGTTACAGAAATTAGCCAGCTGACTCTATTGGTGTTAGTACAATAAAGATCAATGATTATATGGGCGGTTTATATGTTACTTTAGGAAATTTTAGAACTCCACAAAAGGTAGTTTTTCCAAGATGGCCGCCGTTTCCATGGCAACCATATTTTCAGAAGAGTCCCTGGTACATCCAAATATTTTTCCTTAAGTACCCTAACTTATACATACACAAATAAATGAAAAAGGCGTATTACTTAAAAAGTTGTTTTCTCCGTTTTTTTCGGGAGCCTATCCCCTTAAGTAGACATAAACAAAAACGATTGGCTAGTATAAATTTCAAGAAAAGTAAAGTATTATTTTTATAAAATTAGTGTAAGCAGTAACAGAAGCTATACTTTAAACATTCTTTTTAACTTTTTTTTTGTAAATCAATTGCACTCCGCTATTAAAATTATAAAGTGCATTTATTTTTATATTTTAATACCTGTTCTCGTGACATTGTTACACACGAGACAGATAATTAAAACACGCTTCAACTGAGTTTAGGTTAGGTTGGTATTTAAGTAATGTTGAAAATAATTTGCTAGGTGGAAATAATCAATTAAAAAACAAAAACCCACAATTTAGACATATTTTACGAAAGGATTTTTCAAAATGTTTCTATATTTGTATTTTAAACCAGTGTTACCTTTTATGTTTCTATGTATAATACTAGGCTTTTGAGCATGTAGATAGTTGACACCTTCCAAAATTTGCCTGGTGAAAAGTCTAGTTTTCTCTTCAGATAATCCATTTTCTTTCGCTATATAATCAGCTAATGAGCCCTACAGATTAATATAAACATATCAGTGACATACAGAGCTTGTTTTTTATGAAAGTGATTATTAATTTTCAATTAGTTCCTTCTGCTTGATGAATTGATTTTTTTTTCGTTAACTAAAAATACAAAAACATTTGATATTATAATAAGGCTGAATTTTAATTTTTAGTATCTGTTTCGACGCTACAAGTCAACGTGGAATGTTAGACCACAGAAACTGTGCATAATGTTTTTGTGTTAAATCAAGCTTAGAGAAAAAAAACTTTATTATTCAAATGAATAAAAGCAGGACTATATTTTTGATTATATATAAAGGAATAATGTAAAATTGTTTTAATCACAAACAAGCAAATTTAATATGTCTACAAATCGCAACTTGAATAAAAGTAAACATGTCTTTAGTTCTTTAAGCATTATTGTGATAGTTTTATTTTTTAAATAATTTAAAGAAAAGTGTTACAATAAACGATTTAAAGTTTCACTATTTAAAGTTCAAAGACTGAATTCTAAAAAGATGACCTTTGCGACGGTCATTACCGACCTTTTCCATGTAGCCAATAAACATGTAAATTGTATCTTTCTTTTTGACCGAGCCATAGAATGGAACGATTCTTTTATGGTTGAGCAACCTAAGGATCTCTATCTCTCTTAAGCTCTGAGTTTGCTGAAAGTGAGTAAAGAATTGCTAAAATCATCATTGCAAAACATTATTATTTAAATTAATAACATTCTAATAACATTCTAAAATTAATGTATATTAAATGTATATTGAACGTATATTACAGTAAAAATTTTATATATGCAGTTTTATGATTATCATACTCAAACAATTAATTTTCACGATTAAACCTTTTACCATCTTAATAATTATTATTGTACAATTAGCTAAAAGAACACCGTCTAAAAGTCAGCAACTCGATAGAATAGAAAGAGTATACCTTAAACCATAAAGTAGAAATTATGTAATGGATTTTAAGTAAAATTACTATTATCTTACCAAGACTAAGAATGTACTTTAGTTTCTTAGTCTAATGAGGGGATGCTAATTCAATTCTACGTTTTACAATATTTGCTTCTGTGTGATTACCAGTATGGCTATATCAAAAGTTAAATTTAGCTCGAAGTGCTAAATGCACATGGGAACACACAGACTCAGCCATATGCAAATACACTACAATCTCTATTCCCACCCACCCCCACCCGGTAATTATAAAAATTCGTAATGTCCAGGATTCTCGTCTTTGCAATAAGGTGCTGAAGAGGGAGTATTTATACACCCCCCATCGTAGAGAACATGTTACCAAGTTTGGGGAGGTCTTAAAAACATGGAGTTTTATTTGGGGCTCTTTGGGACACAGAGGCCAAGGCCCCGGTACGTGAATTTGGTAGTCCAAATCAAGAAACAATACAATGTAATGCTAGTCTAAAAGGTTGTGCGCGCTGTGATAAGGCAGAGAGACAAACGAGTCGGCAACAATGGATCACAATTAGCATATGAACATAGTGGGAACATTGTACCAGTAGTCCACACTACACAAGATCCAACGGAAAGGCGTAATCAATCGGCATGGGAGGTCGATAAAAACACTGGTTGTTAAAAAATGAGGATCGGTGTCTGGCATTGTTACACCAGCTTGGTCAAGCGGGTACCAGCTCCCGTACAACCACTTGTCAGCAATGTTACCAGCTTCCCAAACCCTGGGAATTGAGAAAGAAGTTAAGCGAGACATAACACAACTGCACAAATGAGTCCAGTCAGTCCGTTACGGAATAATATGAACACATTTTGGTCTGGAGGAGAGAATATTCCTCAAACGATAATGTGCAATGAGTTACTAATGATAGTTTGTTTAATAGCAAGGTATATGAGCAGATTTTTTTGCAATGAGTTCTAACAGAATCTGCTAATGTAACACTTGCTAATACTTATTATACAAGTTACTGGCAAAATAATACGTCATATATGCTATTGACTCCATTTTCGCACATGGCATAGAAATTCTACAGAAGCCAAAAAGAGGAATAGACTAAGTTTAGAATAACATTATTCCCTCCAGAAAATTTTCAAACCATAACAATACCTAACTGGCTAAGTTACGTATGTCAAACTCAATTTTTTGTTAAATGGTCTCAGGGCTACTATTACTACAGTTATTATGTTAAGAACTCTAGATTCTAAGATAGTGGATACCAAATTTGTTCGTATATCTCAAGCTGTAAAAAAACGTTATGACTATTTTATATGTATTCGTAGTGAAATACGTTTATTGGTCAAAAAAGGCCCGGGGGTTGAATGGCAGGATGGGGGGGGGGGGTCAAAATCCGGTGCCGTTGAAAAAATATCTACTTGATAGCTTTCAATCGATAAATGAGATATGCTGTGTAATATTAACCTCTATAAATTGTAGGCAGAATTAAAGGGCTTAAAATGTACTTTTTAATGGTATTATTACTTTATGAGCCATTTTTATTATAGAAAAAAAAAGAAATGAATAGCTGTTGTATCTAGGCGACGCGGGCGAAAACGCAGTTTTTCAGCTATTTGAATTACCTACTAAAGTTAAATTATAATCTAATAACTTTTATTCATTGGGTTGCGGGTGGACAAGGGGCATTGTCTTCTGAGATAATATCAGCGTGAGACAAAGGAAAAGGGTGAATTGACCATTGGATAATGCCCTGCTATTGTCTAAATCCTTACCCATGACACTAACCAGGACCGTACTAGAGCCCTAACCCTAACAGCAATATTCACAGAACAAACACCATAACATATAATACAGCGTCTATGTATATATATATATATATATATATATATATATATATATATATATATATATATATATTATATATATATTATATATTATATTATATATATATTAATATATTAATATATATATATATTATATATATATATATATATTAATATATATATATATATATATATATATATATAGAGAGAGAGAGAGAGAGAGAGAGAGAGAGAGAGATCAAAAAAATAACATTTGCTTACTTTTTCTTTGTCAACCTGAACTTCTTTCCCTACAAATTTTTTATCTTGTGGGTGATCTTTGTCCACTACAAGAAACACAACTCCAAATTGTCCTTTACCAATAAACTCCCCTTTTTCCCAGTTCTCTGGGAACTCGGGAGATACTGGTTAAATAAAAACAATATGTTGTAAAATACAGACCCCAATATACACGTCCTATTAAGATAGGCATTAAACAAGTAATTATGTTATAAAATATATTTTAAATCAATATACACAGACCAATTTTCTATTAAAAACATAGGCTAATAATTAAACTTTTTTTTTATTTAAGCCTAACGCCATTTTAGAGTGTATATGTGCTATTAAACTTTGAAAACTACAAGTTGTCTACACTTTTCCTGAAAAGTTCTACCCAATTTAAAGTTTCTCAAATAACTGAATGTGAGTTAGTTCATTACATAATTGATAATTGATTCATGGACTTCCTACTGGCGGGAGACCATAGCTCAAACCTAATACTTATATGATAGTACGCTCTACTATTGACCATACTATCCCGTAATAAATGAAGTGGTAGATACATTGCTTTAATGTTACGTATGCACATAACCAACCTGATGAGGTGTCAAACATCTTGACCTTTATAAGTCTTGTCTGAGTATTTGATGAAACATCCTGTAGGCTGTTTGAAAAAATGAACTGTTTAGAAGTGCAGGTTTGGGGTTATGTGGAACAGCAAATTACGAAAAGGAGCCATATATATATATATATATATATATATATATATATATATATATATATATATATATATATATATATATATATATATCGATGGTCTCGGTCGCAAACCGTCTAACTCAAAAAAATTCGATTTTCTTTTTTTTACATAAATCAAAAGCCAATATGATTCCCCATAATGCCTGAAAATATTAGAGAAATCTGTAGAATGATTATTGAGATATAATCATTTGAACAAACCGCCTATTATTTCTAGCGCTAAAAATCTCGGCGCAAAACGAATATCGCTATATTTGTCAGTACACTTTTGATCGGGAACGCAGTCGCACGCCGTAATCACACAATTTTACAGCACAGCAGTCACAGTACTTATAGGTAAGGATATTTGATTAATTATGTTCAACTATTCTATTACATTTTATTATTTTAAAGAATAATAAACAAATAGTATTTGTTTAATATAGCCTACTTCCAGATTTTCAATAACCAAACTGATTTGTTTACATTTTTTAGGCTAACACAATGCTTTGAAACTAGATCTTTATTCTAGAATCTAAATATCAATCAAAACAATATAATTCAAATTATATTTCTACAAGACTGTGCAATAAATTTAATAATTGTTGATTCACTACTAGCTTTAGATTGAGGGTTTAGATACGTGTTAAGAAATGTTTATATGGTAGGTTACAAAATGTTTGGCGTACATGTTCAACGACATGGTTAGTTGTCTTTAGTAGATGCTTTTATGATTAATTTTAGAACAGACCAGCCTCTCTCAACAGACCAGCCTGTCTCAACAGACCAGCCTCTCTCAACAGACCAGCCTCTCTCAACAAACCAGACTTACCACATAACAGACCAGCCTCTCTCAACAGACCAGTCTCTCTCAACATATCAGCCTCTCTCAACAGACCAGCCTCTCTCAACAGACCATCCTCTCTCAACACACCAGTCTTACCACATAACAGACCAGATTCTCAACATATCAGCCTTTCTCAACAGACCGGCCTCTCTCAACAGACCAGCCTCTCTTAACAAATCAGCCTCTCTTAACAGACCAGCCTCTCTCAACACACCAGTCTTACCACATAACAGACCAGCCTCTCTCAACATACCAGCCTCTCTCAACATACCAGCCTCTCTCAACAGACCAGCCTCTCTCAAAAGACCAGCCTCTCTTAACAGATCAGCCTATCTCGACAGACCAGCCTATCTCAACAGACCAGCCTCTCTTAACAGACCAGCCTCTCTCAACATACCAGACTCACCCGACAGACCAGCCTCTCTCAACATACCATCTTCTCTCAAAAGATCAGCCTCTCTCAACAGACCAGCCTCTCGACATACCAGCCTCTCTCAACATACCAGCCTCTATCAACAGACCAGTCTCTATCAACAGACCAGCCTCTCTCAACAGATCAGCCTCTCTCAACAGATCAGCCTCTCTCAACAGATCAGCCTCTCTCATCAGACAGCCTCTCAACATATCAGTCTCTTTCAACAGACCAGTCTTACCATACAATACACCAGCATCTCTCAACTGACAAATCGTAATGGCACCAGCATCTCTCAACAGACCAGCCTTTCAAAACAGACCAGTCGTAACATTAAGGCACCAGTAACTCACAAGAGACCAGTCTCTCTCAGCAGACCAGTCGTAATATACAAAAGACCAATCTCTCTCAACTGACCAATCTTACCCTCCAAGATACCAGCCTCTCTCAACAGACCATTCTTACCATACAAGAGACCAGCCTCTCTCAAAAGATTAGTCTTATCCTACAATAGACAAGCCTCTCTCAACACACCAGTCCTACCATACAATACACCAGCCTTTCTCAACAGATCAGTCGTAACATACAATAGACCAGCCTCACATAACAGACATTAGACACCAACCTCTCTCAAAAAGACCAGCCTTACCATACAAGAGACCAGCCCATCTCAAAAGACCAGTCAGACCTATCAAGAATTCAAAGCGACAGATATTCGTGCACTGCAGTACAAGCCTGATACTACTGTCTACTTCAAAGTGAATTAGCAGATAGCAGGCAATTGCTAAGCTAGGGTCGTAAGATTATGATCTCATCTGTAGCCCCTGCCAAGTTGTACAAGAGCAGAAAAAAAAAGATAAAAGCTGTCATATATGAGCACCTAAAAGCAAGTCATAAACACACCTTTTTATGATGATTTCCCTGATTTTAAAAATATGTTGCCATTTTAATGTTTCTTTATGTGACGTTTATAAAATAAATTTTAAAAATAAACACATTTTTTTGTGTTACATTTTGTAAAATAAGTAAACATTAGGTCAGTATTAATGTGATTAGTGTGTTATGTCTCATTCATAATATATCTGACAATACGGTTTCTGTTTTTACTATTATCATTCTACAAACCCAGCCACCACCAGATTTAGTAACATAAACTGTGAGAATAGAAAGATGTAATAAATAAAGCATAACCTTCAACAGTTAACAAGTCTAGTGCTAAATAGAGACATAATGAATACACTCGAAAGCGATAAAGCCATACTAAAAAATCACTATTAAAAATTAAACTGACCCCATAATGTAGAATAAACTCAAATAATTAAAATATGAGCCCAAAACTATAATCTAAATATTATGAAGTGTTAATTATAACTTAAAAACATAAACATAACTAAATCACGTTCATTGGACAAAACGAACGAACACGCCTAAGACCGAAATTCTCGGCTCAAAACAAATAAGTCTGCGCGCGCACAGATAGACGGTTTGCACCGAGAATTTTAGACCGAGCAAACCGTCTATCTTTTTAAACATGCTATAATTTTGGAAATATCAACAAAACCCATTTTAAAACGCAACAGTATAGTCGGCAGAGAGTTTCTTCGTAGATATCTTTTTAAAAAATTTGTATTAGAGCGATCGATAAGGAAATAATCAGTTTTTTTGTCTCTCCTGTAAAATTTACATTTTCGGAGTTAGACGGTTTGCGACCGAGACCATCGATATATATATATATATATATATATATATATATATATATATATATATATATATATATATATATATATATATATATAAATATATATATATATATATATATATATATATATATATATATATATATATATATATATATATATATATATATATATATATATATATATATATATATTGTTACGACCCTCTTCTCTAATCCTTTCGAACTAGTCAGGGAATCGTAAACAAAAAGAAGAAAATAAAAATAAATAAATGCCAACTTCAGTGATCTCTATTTATTTCCACAAATTACAACAGACATGTATATATATATATATATATATATATATATATATATATATATATATATATAGGCCTATATATATATATATATATATAGCCTATATATATATACATATACATATGTATATATTATATAATTATATATATATAAATTTATATGTATATATATATATGTATATATGTATATATATATATGTATATATATATATGTATATATATATATATATATATATATATATATATATATATATATATATATATATATATATATATATATATATGTATATATTTACGTATAAATATATATATATATATATATATATATATATATATATATATTTACGTTTGAATACATATATATATATATATATATATATATATATATATATATATATATATATATATATATATATATATATATATATATATAACTTTTATCCTGAGGATTTTCAATGGTTTTAACTAAATGTAACCGGTGTTTAAGTATATGCACGTTAAGTACATCTGTGCGTGCTGATTATCTTGATTCATACTAACATTCTTAAGTTGTGTAGATTTTTCAGTACATTTATTAAACTACCTTCCACGTACAACACGTTTATGCGTTTGTGCTCAAGGGTTAGTGTAGCCACGCCTATGCTCAGCTGCCCGTGCTTTCTCTACCAGCAGATACTTATTGTAGTTAAGGGAGTGGGGGGGGGGGGTCTCATAAACACAACATCAAATCTTCTATTCAAATAACCTAAAATACATATTTTAAAATACTATTTTAACACTGACTCCGTAAAAAACGGAAGAGAGGGCGCCCAAGACAGACCTGGAAGCGGAGTCTTCTTGAAGAACTGAAGCCAACAGGGATGTCTTGGAGACGGCAAAATTAATAGCCGGGGATCGGAAGAAATGGAAGGAAATGGCGGAGGCCCTATGTTCCATAAGGAGCAAAGAGTACTAAGTCAAGTCAAATCCGTATACATTAATTAGTAAACAATGCCGTTTTATTAGTTATTTTATTTTTCAAAAGCACATTGCCTTCAATATGCAATTATTAATTCAGAAACTTATACAGTGTTTTTTTTTTTATTTTTTACCCGATTATTGTTTTAGAAGTATAAAAACTAAAATAGCAAATGGGTTCATTTGTTATAGACATTTACGTGGCTACTGTATTGTAGCTCTGCTGAACGCGCTGTACAAGAGCAAAATATAAGGGCGGGAATGAGTTCGCCATTATGGAAGCTACTATTTGTCTGTATCGTCGTCCCTATACTTGTGTCGCCCGTGTGGTCGAATAATGGTCCTTGTTGTGTTTGAGGCTAACGGTCAGTCCCATTCGCGGTTCAAAGGTCACGCCAGCCCGCGTCTTTCGTGCATAGGTTGTGATTGTGCTCTGCCATGAAAGCTTTATTTTTTGTAGAGCTGATTGGCAGAATCGGTTGCACGTCTGACTTGATGCATGGAAGGCGAGGCGATTCGGTGCCGTGAGGAGTGGTAGGTTCGGAACCCGTCGGGTCTGTCTGTTCTGTCTTAACTTGGACTATATTCTGTACCTTTGTCTACCCTTGGCGTTGAAATAACACTTTCTGTTTACATTGCTATTTCAGTCACAACGCCTGCTTCCACCCCTCACCATGTTTACACTATACCCATTAAGGAAGCTACTATTTGTCTGTATCGTCGTCCCTATACTTGTGTCGCCCGTGTGGTCGAATAATGGTCCTTGTTGTGTTTGAGGCTAACGGTCAGTCCCATTCGCGGTTCAAAGGTCACGCCAGCCCGCGTCTTTCGTGCATAGGTTGTGATTGTGCTCTGCCATGAAAGCTTTATTTTTTGTAGAGCTGATTGGCAGAATCGGTTGCACGTCTGACTTGATGCATGGAAGGCGAGGCGATTCGGTGCCGTGAGGAGTGGTAGGTTCGGAACCCGTCGGGTCTGTCTGTTCTGTCTTAACTTGGACTATATTCTGTACCTTTGTCTACCCTTGGCGTTGAAATAACACTTTCTGTTTACATTGCTATTTCAGTCACAACGCCTGCTTCCACCCCTCACCATTATGGCCAACATAGATGTTTGAAAAATTGAAAACAATTTGAAATTTCCCCGGAAATTAGCCAGAAAATGCGCACAAACACTCCTAGATATAAAACCATAAGTGGCAAAAATGAACTCGAATCGTTCGGGCGTTTAGATTTTCTTAAAGAAAAAGTCTAGCAACAAACATACTTTCATCAGCTAGTGTATGAGATCCGCCAGTTTGCTTCCTGCCTATACATTACGCCTCAACGAACACACTGTGTAATTTTCTAATGTTTTGACAGGAAAAACCCAAACAGCGTTGTAACTTTCACGATGTCTCTAGCACACGCACTTAGCTCATAATATCAAACACATCCACATTACACAAACAAACCTCACACACACATAGTCATATATATATATATATATATATATATATATATATATATATATATATATATATATATATATATATATATATATTTAAACATAGGTAGAAGTAGAGCATCCGTTTAATTATCACCCAGCCCTGATGGGTACCTTTCTCACGTTAAGGAAATTTATGAGCAGTTAAGTTAAGCAGAGAGATATGTGTGATGCATAGCACGGCTCAGCTAGACATTGGTCAATAGAATGCAATGAAAGAACTGTGCGATGGTCATATGACCAAATGAAGCGTGGGGAGCAGTTGGAGATAGTTGGAGGTAGCGTTAGAGAGAAGGTAAGTACGGTGTTTAGCGGTTAGACGTGTTAGGAAGCAGTTACAGTTAGCCATTGTTAAAAGATAGTCAAGTTGGACCTGTAGATTAGTTAGGGTATAGCTGTAGCAGTAGAAGTTGTAGAGTAGGAGTAGGAGATGGCTTGTTGTGTAAATAAAAAAAACTATAGAATACAAAATTGGACTTGTGTTTGATTTCACACACTGTACCAGTCATACATAAGAAGAGGCGATCCCCGGAATAGAATATATTATATTAGTGTACATTACGGTATAGGGAATTAAATATACAGACACAAAACCTACACCACCACAGTATATCTGTAATTTGCACGTTAAATCTAAATATGATGTAGTTTCCTGATCTAATTTAATTTATTATTGTACATCGTGTGTTTAATATATAAAAATATATAAAACCAAAACCAACCTGAGTTGTGCTCAAAAGCCAAGTAGCCTACACACCAAATGCATCGAGAATAAGGCATAGCTCTTACTCACTAACAGCCGATTGGCTGCTATTTGCACACGGTTTTTACTTTGTATCCTATTACACAGTGTAATTTACAATGCAACTGATTTGGATATAGCGTAAGTTTACAATATAGCAGTCGCTCTTCAGTATCTAGCCGGGAAATTGTACTGCTGACGTTAAGGCTTGTTAGCGAGTTCTAAACACCGCGCACATAGGCAAAATGAGGCTGTGGGGAGGGGGGGGGGATTCTCACTATTTACGGGGTGGTTCAGCAAAATGAAAAACTTAAAATCTACTGTAGATAAGATGCGTTTTTTCCAGTTTAAATTACTTAATGGAAGGGGAAATAGGTGACAACGCAGTAATAATACGAAATTGTTTGAGGTTGATGTAGTGAAACCCGACCTACTGACCTAATGGCACCGCATAATGTACTTCTATAAAAAGAATGTCATGCCTTTAAAATAATCCAAGGTATATTCACAATAATGTGAGGTATTGAAGTGAAAAAAGTCTATCAGCAGAGGGTGTGTGATTACAATATTGTTCTAAATTATGGCAGAAATCGATTGGTACATGTTTCAAGTCGCTAAGTGGTCTGGTTGCCGAGATATGGGCCAAAAACTGCATTTTTTCAAGGTTTTTTAGATTTTACGGGAAATCCATGAAAGAAACCCGGAAATTTTATGGCCTATGTTCATCTTCGTAACTTGCCTAACATAATTGCTTTTGGAACTAGTCATCGATATTGCTTTGTTGAGGAGGAGATACGACTTAAAGCTGCGGACACACATTCATACATTCATCCATCCATTCATCCATCCAGAAATGATGGGTTAATAAACGCAATTCTCCAGAATGGAAATTGCGCTAAAAAAATTATAAACGATTTTAATCTCATATTTCCTTCATTAAACAAAAACAAAATATAAATCAGAACCACTAGAGTCGAATTTCAGATTTACACTTCATCTTTAATATTGCTATTATTGTGTCTTATTAAACGGCGAATTCTTTGCAAATTATTAATTTAGTTAGCTTAAAACTAGGTATATGTATCAATTTAACAACAAAATCAAATGCAAACTTACTTTAAAATGAAATTAAAATTATATGTCAAATTTTTTTGTTTATACAAAAAAGTTGCTATCACTTTCTGGTCACACTCCTGAATATTTGTGCACTTCATAACAAATGTTCAAACGTCGTTAGTAGAATGCTGTCATGTATGTTCCATATTTCTATCAGTCATTATTGTAAGTATTGACATAATATCATAGGTTTTTAATTAGTTGGAAAGGTATGACAACCAGCTCTGAAAATAGTCTGGTGATCTATTTATAATTCTCTTCAACGTGAGTAGATTTTTTTAATGTATTTGAAAAAAAAGTGAAACTAAATAAACTCGTTTTCTTACACATTTTCTTTGTTGCTTTTTAGTTAAGAAAAATAGAATGACAACAATGATTTAGATGTGATTATGCATTTAACCATGCTCCTCCCCTATTCGTCCATTGCATAAAAATTTTCTAAAAGTTTCAAAAATTAAATGTATATCAAAAAAGCATTGTTCAACTCCATCTAGTGAGTTTCTAGAAAGCCTATTGTCGTTAAAAGGTCAAATACTTTCGCTTCAAAACATTGCTACCACTTAACACATCTCTGACCCTATATATATGTCGGCGTACTTTGGCCTACTACACACTGACACGTAAAAATTGGGGAAATTATTTTTACGCTGCGGCGCTTTTAAAAGTAAAAACAGTGGATCTTTGATGTGTTCTAAGGAACATGTTGTGAAGTATTCGTAGTGGGCTAAAAAATGGATGATTTATTTAACCGTGATAGGCGTAAGTAATATACTAATTTACCATTAAACTTTTTAGCGCAATTTCCATTCTGGAGAATTGCATTTATTAACCCGTCATTTCTGGATGTATGAATGTATGAATGAATGGATGGATGGATGGATGGATGGATGGATGGATGGATGGATGGATGGATGGATGGATGGATGGATGGATGGATGGATGGATGGATGGATGGATGGATGGATGGATGGATGGATGGATGGATGGATGGATGGATGGATGGATGGATGGATGGATGGATGGATGGATGTGTGTCCGCAGCTTTAAGTCGTATCTCCTCCTCAACGAAGCAATATCGATGACTAGTTCCAAAGCAATTATGTTAAGCAAGTCACGAGGATGAACATAGGCAATAAAAATTCCGGGTTTCTTTCATGAATTTCCCGGAAAAGCCAAAAAACCTCGAAAAAAGCAGTTTTTGGCCCATATCTCGGCAACCAGACCACGTAGCGACTTGAAACATGTACCAATCGATTTCTGCCATAATTTAGAACAATATTGCAGAAGAAAGTTTTAAAAAATATTCTTTCGTTCGGTCACAAAAAAATTTTGAATTAATTAAAATTTGGACCGAATTATTAGACATTTTATGCAACCACACCACACGCGTCATCACGTTCAATAGCTGCGCCATCACGTTCAATGGCTGCGACGTCACGTTCGGTAGCTGGGCGCGCAATGGTTTTTAGTCATGTTACTCTATTGTAAATAAAACATGTAAAATACTGAAAAAAAAATTAATAAAAAACGTTTTAATAACTAACCAATGGTTTTACTAACCCTGCTCTTGATTTATGCTAAGACAGAGCTATTTTTAGATAACACAAGGAAATTGCGCTAAAATTGTCACTAGACTTTTTTTAATTACTTGTTTTTCCATTTTGTTGTGTAAAAATTGTTTTGACAAATGTATGACAAATAAATACTTGTCCAGTATCTTCTTAGCAAATAATAGTGATTGTATGAAACTACATACTACATGGATGTCAGTGTTGGATTTGTGTTAATACAAATTATTTATACCTCTCAACATTAGTCAAATTCAATTCATCAAAAAACCTACAATGCTTATTTATAACGCAGAAAGACCAATGGATTATAATATCTATAAATGTCTACCGCTTTTCCTGTTACAACTAAGATTAGCCCATTTTATGGTAGTATTAATAGACAGTAGTAAATATTTGATTATTACCATAACCAGTTCGTTAATGTTTGGTAGCCGTCCAGCAAATATGATTCTTTACTTTCGCTGGACTATATTTGAAGTATTTAATTCCAAATGTCAACTATTTAACTGAAATAATTTGCAGGTGCCTTGATATCTGCTGTCATCCCAAGTGAGTTTACCCTTGGTAAACGTTTAGGTAGTGGAACTTTTGGTGAAGTGTTTTTGTTGCAAGATCCTAAAAATAAAAACAAAGAACTTTTTGCTGTTAAAAGAATATACCTCGATGGCATTGACATGGAAAAGGTAAATAGTTTCTTTTTTAACGTCGTTACATTTTCCACAACCTAACTTTTACTTGGTTTTTATTTATTTATTCAAAATTTTACTCTATTAGTTACAATATATTTTCTTTGTTTTATTTATAAAAATGAACATTATGCGTATTTAAATAGATTGGTGTTAATATTTAAAATATTTTAAACTGTTTACTTGTAAGAATATTTGAACTACCTTTAACCAAGGGTGCAGGCTGGAGTTTCTATGTAAAGGTGTTTACAATACTCAGTGCAAAATTGCTGGCTACTTCACTGACTGTATAACACTAGATCAAAAATGAGGCAAATTCGTTCTCAAAGGGATCGGCGTGGTCGAGTCGGTGAAGCTCATGGTTGCTAAACCCAAAAGTCTTGTTCGATCTCTCGGGCAGATGAGGCTCATTAGTTGGGGACAGTCAATCCTCTAGGAGAGCCAACTCCAAAATCAAACAATTGCTGCCTTGTAGTTTGTTCTTGGTTGGACAAAGGCTACAGAAGCAAATACAAACAGAAAAGGAGGCTGAAATCGGCGCATAACCAGTTGACATGTATACCTATGTGTGTTGGAAGAGATACCTTCCAACAATAAAATAAAGAAGAAGCTTAAGAAGTAGATTAATATTCATCTCTAAATAAATACAAATTAATTTGAGCCTAATAAAATTGCAGAAAAATTAAATATTGTCAAAACACTTTAAATACTAAACGACTTTTAAGTTAAAGTGTGAATTTTTGTATTCTAGCTATGCCTAATATTTTATGAATTTAGCTCATGTTAAAAAAATTAATTCTGTAAAAGTAGGGCATATTTAAATAATAATTATTTTTTATCAATGACTGTCCACAGGATATTATATTGCTATAAAATGAAATAACAATTTTAAAAAGAGCCGCCCATAGCAGCATAGTAACGTTCCACGGATTTTCTATGCATGAAAATGTGCCTTGCATTTTTATGGAATACATGCCAATGGTAATTTTTATTTTTGTATCTTTTTTATTATAGACAGTTTCAAACCTACATATTTAAACAATGCAAATGTAGACAACTAGCGCCTTTATATTTTTATTGTCAAATCTATTAATCTCAATAGCATTTCAATATTTTTATAACTTTAATAATTATGTTAGTATTAAAAATTCTTGATTAAAATCCTTATAAAAATATAATAATTGGCAACTATTTTTCTATAAACCAGATATGAGAAAAGGTACACTAATGCCAATTCAGTAATTACTTGAGTTAAGACTACAAATTATTAGCTACTGCAAGTACACTTTGGATTAATAAATAATGTTTTATATCAGGGATCCTTACGACAAATAATTGATTCTAACCTGGACATGTATGAAAGAAATCATCTGGAGCCTGTGATAAGTGAAAACCAAATTTCTCTGTACACATGTCAAATACTTGAAGGACTGGAATATCTTCATGATCGCAGGATCATCCACCGTGATATTAAAGGTGAATTACTATGACCGATGAAGCTGATATACGATGTATTCAAAATAGGCTACACAATGAATGCGACTAAGTCATCATCTATATATACCCCATATTGTACAACCAATAAATATCATTATATAGACCTGGTGAGGAAAAACTGCTGATACGATATTTCTTACACAATAGGCTGTTTTGTGTTTTGTTTTATTTTGTGACAATGAAATTTAATACATTTTGAATACATTTGATTGAACATAATATTGTTTGTTCTAGAAAATCCAGTGAGCTGGCAAACTGTAAAAACATTAAGAGAACATTTGTTATTCAAACTTTAATAAGTTTGGAATTAACACAATTGATATAAATATGGATGATAAATTTCACAAACGGCTTACAATATTACAGTACATCAAAAATAATATACTTTTTAGAAAATATTTAGAAGTTTTTCATCAAGAATATTTTTTGTGATTACAATCCACACGCGACTAACATATTTTTAAATTGATGTGTAAAAGATTATAAAATGCAACTGCAAGCTAGAGTTAGAGTGACAATTAAGTGGTTTTACGTCCATACATTTTTTACTTTCTCGATTATACAAAGTATAGAGAAAGTCTTGTAATCGTGCAAAAAAAAAATCGAGATTTTTACAAATCTTGACGTTTTACACCTCACTGATACGAAAAAACATAATTTTGCAATCTTGTCCGTATGTCTTTGTGTCTGTCTGTCTGTGTGTGTGTGTGTCTGTCTGTCTGTGTGTAAACACGATTACTTGAGTACCGTTACAGCTAGGTTGATGAAATTTCATATATAAGTATTATATCAAAATCGTAGATCCGTATCAATTTTTGAGCGATATCCGATAACCGGAAGTGGTACTTGTTCTACTTTGAATTTTTCAAAAGCCTATAACTTGAGTACTAATTCAGATAGATAAATGAAATTTCACATGTAAGTAAAAGATCTAATTCTCTACCTTCTATCACATTTAGTGAGTAATTTCCGTTGACCGGAAGTACTAATTTACGCTATTTCCGATTTCTCAAAAAACGCATGTAAATTTATAAAGTACTAATAACGCACATTTGGTTTTGGTGCTCGCTTGGTGCGCAATTTTTTTTCTACTAGATTTTATTCTATTTTTAAAAGTTTAAGTAAACAAAAATCATGTCTATATTCCGAGTTGACATCCCACGTAGTGTTATATTAGAATATTCGAGAAAGTTTAGGGGAGATCACTCCTGGTTTATTTATATTTTTGTTATTATGCTAAATAATTAATATTTTTATTATTTTATTTTCAATAGCTGCAAATATTTTGCTTGAAAATGAATCAAAAGTCAGACTTGTTGACTTTAAAGTAAAAGTAATGTTTTCCTTTCAAACCTGACGGTCTATGGGGCAAGTGAAGTAGAGTTCACTTATTTCTGTGACCTCGGTATATGAAGAGATAGTGTGGTCAGCACTATGCCCAGCCGCCTTTACTCTCCCTAACGTGAGTTAGGTACTCATCAGAGTTGGGTGGACTCAGGGACGGTCTACTGACTTGAACATGTACACTAACACAGCTGAAAAGGGTTCAGTACATTGGATGGCTCCAGAAATTTTTATACAGCTGCCATACAACACTAAAGTCGACATCTGGTATGCTTTCTATTTTTACAACATTTATTGAATCTGTCTTTTTTATTAGTAGGTTATTATGTACTTTAGAATATTATAAGATAGTTTGAATAAAAATAATTAGTTAAATATAATAGTTGGTTTTTTATTTATGAAGGAGTGTTGGTGCTACAGTAGTTGAAATGGCCACTGGTCATCCTCCGTCATGGAAGCTAACAAAGTATCAAGTCATCTACAAACTTGGATCTGGTAAACCTCACGATTTCATTTTACCATAATCCACATCGGAAAGTTTAAAAGACTTTGTGGCTCAGACATTCATAAAGGACCCAGAAGAACGACCTTCAGCAAAATCGAGAATTAAGCATTCGTTTGTTGCTGGTAAGTTTTATATTTTTTTTAAATATGCCCTATTGATTTGCGAAATATATGTTATTGGAAGTTGTTTCTTATTTTGTTAAACCAAATTAGACACTATCATTTTTCTAAATATATTATTTTAGTTAAACTTATTATTATTATACAATTCTTTAAAAATTAAACATTGTGTTTTATTTCTTCTTAGTAAAAAACAGGTAAATGCTGCTTCTGTTGTAAACTGTCGTGATTTTTCTGAAGCCCATACTTACTACTTTAATCAATTAGATTTATTAGAGAAGACTTGGCAGATGTATTTATAAAGTCCGAATAAACAGACTACACAACACACCACATGTATAGCCATATTGACCTTAGGGTAAACGGTCCTAGGTGCTTTGACCACAGGTGCTTTGACCATAGGGGGATCGACCACAGGGGGTTTGACCACAGCGGATTTTCGGCCATAGGAGCTTTGTCTACAGTGGCGCTTTGACCACAGAGGGGTTAACCTTAATATATAGATTTTAAAATAGTAATTATAAAGTGTTATTTGATTTAAACTTATGATACAATTAATTCGATTTCAAACATGTTTCATGAGAGTCAATTAATAGAAATTAACTTAAAAAAGTAAAGATAGATATTTTAGTCTCAACATAAAGGCTGCTGCTAGGCCTCATAGATTTATTTTAAATATAAATGGAACACAAATAATGCGACATATAACAAGTTTCACAAATAAATAATGTAGATGTACTTGAAAATACATCGCATATATAAAGAATAAAAAAAACATGCCAACAGTATTGTCAGATAAATAATACTTGTATGGTTAGCTAAATGACAGACGAATTAACATATTACATCCTGCCGCAATTTAATATATAATTACACAACATTTAAAATTAGTCTTTACCATATTTGGACAAAGCGCTTGTTATGAAACGCCAGATCAAACACCCATTGACAAACCACTTGTAATCAAAGACCCTCTGCTGAGAAAACACCTGTGGTCAAAGCCCCGTTATGTTCAAAGCCCCACTGTGGTTAAAACCCCTATGGTCAAAGCCCTTATGGTCAAAGCCCATCCGTGCTCAAGCCACCTATGGTCAAACCCCCTATGGTCAAAGCACCTGTGGTCAAAGGTCCGCGCACCGGGCAAACAATGTTACACGGACTAACAACAACTCACACACTCATTATCACAGGGAATTCAAATTAGCACTAAAAGAGATTCGTCACACGTATTACTTAAAAATATAGAAACAAATGAAACTACATTTTAGTATGAAATATTTATTATATTACTTTACAAGATACATTCGTGTTTTAGAAAGTATGTAATGTATATTGAAATGCTTGTTTAATTAAAAATGTTCTTTATCTTTTTTTTATTATAGCACACATCAGTCTACCTTTAATACATGTTACGCAAAGTATTCAAGTTTATTATTTATCTATATATTGTTCAATGAATTGTACTATTTAGTCTAGGTATTAAAAGTTATGACAAGAAATGTCTTTTTTAATTTTCAATTAAAGCGTTTAAACGCTATTTATCTATAATATAATCGTTTAAAGTAGGTTATAATATTATTATTTTTTTTCAGATTGCAACCAGTCATCTGACTTCGACTATGAAACAATCACTTCCCATGCAAATCGATTAATTAAATGTGTAAAGCATCCTGGTCGTACAGGATTTATTCCAGTAAGAGAACTGACAATCGACCGTATTCCAGGAGAAGACACTGACTTGTACAATTTAATCCTTACATTAGCAGATTTGACTGTCGTGGTAAATTGCTCTTCATTATTTGAATTTAAATACAATTTTTCAGGATTTATAAACTCTGTAGACATTTACACTGAAGATAAAAATGTAAATTGTTTATGTCCATTATGTGATAAATCACAGAAACAGACACAGTCGTGGGCATTGGTTCATGTAATTACAGCAGCTAACCAATATGATAAGATTGATGTTGAGAAAGCTAAATGTTGTGTTGGTTTTGACGATGATTCGAGCCCAAATATTAAGCTCCCGGTTCAAAAAATAGGCATGGCTGACATGGAAGGAGATAGACTAGTGATTTCATTCAGCACACATGATATTGGTTTAGCGAGAAATCTAAAACAGAAATGTCGCGAATATGATGGTCTTTGTAAAAAACTGCACGACAAAACTAGCGGATCAAGTGACAAAGATAGAAATGTTATTATTGTATCACATCCACATGGAGGTCCAAAGAAAGTATCATTTGGTAAATTGTTATACAAGGAAGAACAGGCAGATGGCAGTTCAAGGCTGAAGTATGATACGCCAACTTGTCCTGGGTCCTCAGGTGCTCCTGTCTATGTTACAGGCATGTGTGCATACGCTTCCAATCATACGCACAGTGGTTGTCTCAAGTACGAAAATATGAATTGTAGTGGGTTGTGGTTTATTTAACTTTAAAGTTATGCGGGTTGTCATAAATGCATAATCCTTTTGTTTTACATTGACATAAGTAAAAAAATCACGGAAACACAAGCTTATAAGCAACGTAAAGATTGATATAATTTAGTACAGCTTATTATAAAACGAGCATTATAATTTTACATTGGTTATGAAATTTCTATATGTTTTCGTTTATCTATATATTGGTATCATCAAAGTAGGAAACAGTCGATTACAATACTAAAACATACTTAACTTTTAATTGTAAACATGCTAATTCGTTATTGTTTTGTTTTCGAAATAACAGACAACTTAAAAAACAAACGATTGCGTATAATTACAAAATATGCTTTTCGATATAGAGATCACTTGGTAAGGTGAAATAGACTTTTTATATTTTATAACCTCTGCATGTAAAGTGGTATGTAGTCGGTTTTAGGCTAAATCTATTTAACTTTCTGAAGTGAAGCCTGAGAGAATCATGTCTGGGATTAAAACCTCGAGACATGTGTTTCACACATACACATGTTATAAAACAGTATTAATTTTATTTTTAATACACTTTGTGAATTTTTTTAAATCTTTAATTTATTGTTGGAATAATCAAAAACATGTAATTAAAAATAAATTAACTATTAGCTAGTTGCACATCATGAGGTTTATGTATATGTTATGTTCAAATGCCAATTGTGTTGATGAAAGGGCCTCAGATTTTTAAAATACACTTTTTAAACTGTCCTTCCTTCAATGAGCATTGTTGCTTAAATTGCTTATTCTTTGCCTGTTAAGGTATGTAGAAACACATGTAATATAATATTGTAAACTTTATATCAAATAAATATTGCATGACAGTGTGTGTGATGTGTTTCAATGTTGTTATTGAACTTGTTGTGCTAGTCTAAACCTACGTGTAAAAAAAATTTGTATCTTATAAAATAGTGTATTTTTATTCTTTATTCCTGTTTGGCCCCTTAAGAGCAATGGGCTTTAGGCAGACCTCTCCATCGGACTCTGTTTTTGGGCAGGTCTCTTTATTTGCGCCCTCGTAAGCCCGGCAGTCCTTGACTCTTCTTCTGTTGTTTATCTCCAGGACTTCCTTTGCCGTCCTACTTCCTCTCTTCACCAGGGTATTCCAGTCTACCATTTTCCTTGCGATATTGTCCTCTCCCCTTCTCAGGTTATGCCCAATCCATTGCCATTTGCTGGCTTTAATATAATTGTCAATTGGCTGTTGTTGGTGTTACTACATTTTTGCATGGAGATAAATAACAAGAATATTTCCACGTGCGTTTCTGAACACATAAAAGAGATCAGGTACTTTTGCCAACATGGATACTATCTATTTATATAGCACATTAAACTGAAGAAAACGTGATTACATTATGTTCACTTTTTTAAAACAGTACTTCATATAGAGTTAAGTTGATTTACTAATTACATATTGACCTTTGTACTTGTGCAAGATAACAGCTAATAATAAGCTCAGCGGCTTGCTGTTAGTTATCAACTCTTACACACGGAAATCAGAAGCATTTCTAAAAATGGTGTTATAAAGAAGTTTCATTTAGATTTTTAAAACTTAAATTACAAAGATATCAAAGAAGTATTTTAAAGTATTTGAACACAGAACACAATAGAGACAGAGAGTGAGAGAGAGACATGTGACAAAAACACGCTTTTCATTTAGCAAGGTTAGAAGCACTATTTGTTTTTTAAATGTTGCTTTTAAATACACACCTAGTAATAACAAGTCTACGTTTACAGTGGCGTAGCTAGGAGAGGGCGGGTGGGGCGGCCGCCTCGGGCGCCGACCCCAAAAGGGTGTCAAAAGGGGTAGACAAATTAATTTTAATGCTCATTTTAAGCTGAAGTATTGAAATTTAAACAGTTAAAGTTACGAAAATAAACGACTACAAGATTTTTACACACTGATTTAACTGTTTTCTATTTCAAGTTGGTGGCACCGAAATAGAAAATGTTACGGGATAGTAACAGGGAAGAAGCGCCACAAACCTTTCATACTGCCAAGGAAGGCGCTTTTTTACAGACAGGAATAACTATCGGAATAGGTAGCTACGCCTCTGAACGTTTATGTTTGATTTTTTTTCTTTACCATGTTGTAGTGTATGTAATGTTACTAGTTAGCCTCTTTACACTTTTCTTCAGCATCTATGATAACTTTAAAGTGCTGTAAAAATTATGTCAGTTAATTCATTGTTATCGCTTTCAACGTTACCCCGAAAAATAATAAAATAACACAAAAGTGTAAATATTTTTAACGTTAAAGGAGTCCGTATTAAAACTTGATAAAATTGTGTAAAGTACTAATCTGAAGTAACATGTTTCCGATAATAGGAGGCTAGTGGCAGAATTATTGTTAAGTTTTGATGTACGCCGTTACACACCTAAACGTTCCAGAAAATATTTCCTGTTTCCAGCCTCGTAAATGTACTTGTTCTAAAGGCAAGGACCAGTATTGTCGAAAAGAAAATATGTTTCTCTTATCAGATCATTAGGAGGGGTAGTACTTCCAAAACTGTGGAGAGTGTATTTACTTTCCCAGACTCAAATTCAGATGCAGATCAGAGCTGAATTTATTCAAGAATGTCTTACTGACCCGAACTTGAGACTTTCGTATTAGGAATCTTGTGGACGTAAAGTTTCTTCTACCAGCTACAACACGCAGTCAATATGTCGTGTCCGCTTGTGTCAACCAGAAAAACTTACTGAATCAACATTAAAAACACTCAATAATATACAGCAGCATTTTGACATTAATACTGTCATCTATTGTTTGGCTTCTTTGCACCAATTAACTAGCTAGTTCTGCAATACAAGTATTTTTCAGAATGTGGGAGTAAAATACTCCCGTGTGGAAATCCGTCTGCAATAAAAAGAATAAATTTACAGAAAAACTGTGGTTTGAAACTACTAATATTTATTAAAATACCACTAACATCGACTAACACAAAAGCTTTACAAATTGACACAATCATTAAAATAAACTTTAATATAACAGAACACTCCAAAATATTGAAGAACTGAGATTTAAACTAGTCTAAAGATTTAATTAACTACGCAATGTTAAAGCAGATAAAAGGTTCCACGTTTATTTGAAGAAAAAAAAATACATTTAATTAATAAATGATACACACAAAAAAGTATATGATTAGTATTTTGTTAAAGAAAAAATTACACGCCAAAAGTTATTACAGTATATAAGCATTAACAATTATTTTGCAATTTTAATCAAGGACATCATATAGAATGGAAAATAAAACGAGTCTTATTTGGAATTGTGAAAAGAGTAACTTTTTAATATAATATTCGATAATTAATATGTGTTTAAGTGTGCAGCATATTAATTTATACTAAATATATGTTTAATGAAAATAATTCTAAGTATATAATCCATCCATTCCTCTTTCTCGCCCATAATGGGCTTTGGCCTGCTCCTCTACTATATTCCTTTTTGACTTGTCTGCTGTCTTGTTTTTCCATGTCTTCCGTGTTTTGACACCAAACTGCTTGAGGTCTGTCTCACGTTAACTTAAACCTGCCTTTAGGTCTTCTCAGTTTAATGTTTTGATTGGTTTTAACTCTATCCCTCTATTGAATGTAGTTCTTTCGTAGTCGTCCTTTTTTTACTGCCATTACTGTTGGGATTTTGTACAAGTTATACAAAATATTTGAATCATTTGGTGCAAAGAAACCGCAAGCTACCGATGTCAAAATATCTAATTATTTTTATCTGTTAAACTAGAATAATTTTTGTTTTTTTTATGTTTGTTATGGATGTACTAAATAAAGAACAAACTTTAAATTATATTGTATTGTTAAAATTAAAGTATAATCTAAATATTACTAGGTACAATTATTTTAGTGAGGAAAAATTGTGCAAGATACACATAACGTCACCAAAACAAGTGTGAAGACTTTAAACTCTACAACAATTAAAAATTCCACTTATTGGTTTTAAACGTTTCAGTGTGGATTTTTTTATATCCAAAAAAAATTTAAATATATCAAAGTCTTTACTTTAACACATGAACTGTCTCTATGTATCATTTTTAATACAATACAAATTTTAATACAATTTCACTAAAACGCATAAAAACTTTTTTAAAAACTTGTGACACGTCACAAATAATCCTTTATAGTTTAAAAAACACATATCATTGGAAAAATGAAAAAAACAATGTAATGAATTGAAACATAAAAATGCAGTCATTAGCATAAGTTAATTTAAAATTTTAAAAAAATATTATTTATATACAAAGAATGTAACTCTAGAGTTAAGAGTAAAATAATAATAGAAAAATGCGCTAAAATAGTGACAATTGTGACATTCAGTACTTTATTACAATATGTTTGCTTAATAATTAGTTTTGTATGGGTACATTGGTTTATACAAATTCTATTATTTATAGAAACAAGTTTAAGATTAGTTATTTTGTAGGATAATATCACTTACTTTTATTATATATTTAAAACGGCGAATTATTTTAAAAAAATTAGAAATAAAATTCCCGCTATACCCCACATTGCATAAACAGTGAATATAGATTGATGATTTTACATGCAATTTAGTCTAAAACAAAACTACGTTTACCATTACATTTTATAAGAAAAATTGTTGTAAAAAATTGTTGTAATTTTTCAGAGCTTCCTTCTTCAATAAAACACTAAAAATGGTATTAATTTTTTAACTGTGGTGAACAATTAAAATAAACAAAAATAATACATATACGTCCGATTAATATGTTTAGTAAAAAAATAGTTAAAGGCTTAACACGAATATTAATACATGAGTTTTCATTGTAAATGTTTATAAACCGTTAAAAAACTGTCTAACATACAATTAATATTTAACTAATAAGCAGAATAAACGTGTTACAATATATTTTGTAGGGATTTGTATTGCTGATTATTTACTTTAAAATTGTATTCTAAACGTACATTCCTATTTCTAATTATTTCAATGTTAAGTTTTTCTTTATTCATGTATCAATACGATGAATATCAGCACAACAAAAATTAAATTCTTGATTTAGAATTGCTTAAAATACTAAAGGGTTTTGTTTCCAATGGTATTCATTTTAATGTAACAAAACCATAAACGTATGTCTTACGTTTTTTAAAGTTTACCTTTTTTGGTAAAGTTAACCAAATTGAATGCCAAGTTCGCCCATTTAGGAATGGGCTGTTTGTCTGATGTGCGATTAATTTTCTCCAAACCTTTTGGCGCCAGTCTATGCAGAGTTCTGATGGGCCACAGAAGTCTGTGACAGGCTTGATGTGTGAGCACATCAATGTAGCAGGACATGAGGACGCCGTCCACAACAATGGTGCCGCTTCTGGTGAAAGGTGCAAACAGACCTTGACGGTACTGACGTGTGACGTTTGTAACACTGGACCAAACAGGTTCACCTGATTCCACCTGCAGGATCTCATCCCCAACGTTAATCTTCCCAGCCGCCAGGTAATGTTCTTTGTTTTTCTTTCTGCATAAGATCAGGTGGTTTTCCGTCAAAGTAGCTTGGTTGGATCTTGTGTGGATAACGACAAAAATAGCTCCACGGTTTTCGTCACTGTGTCCAAACATGAAGACTTCGTCAAACACCAGCTCGTTTTGTTTAATCACTGTAAGTATTTTTTCTCCCAGTCTCAGCTGGCTAAGCGTAACTAACCTACCATCATGTAACTGTACAATTGAATTACCAGGAAAACATCCACCACTTTCCTCGACTTCTGCATGAACTTGTTGCTCTACCTTTTGCTTAATTTCTTCGTCAATTTTCATTATGTTTTCAAGGCAAACTTTTAACCTTTCACGCGTTTCTTGGCGAACAGTGTATGTTTGGTCTTCATTGCTTTTCTTTTGAGCTTCATATATGAACACTTTAAGGGCAGCTAGTAGGTCGTTAAAAGGTTTATCATTAACAGCTACAACATTTTCTAACTGTCTGGTAACCTTTATTGATTCGCTTAGTAATGATGCATTGGCAATTTTTGTATCTACTTTTATCGCAGTAAAAATTGTCTGTACTTTTTCAAAGATAGAGCTGTCTAAAAATATTGCGCTCTTGGACTGCTCTTTGATAACTTTGGAAAATGTCTCATTTGCATTTTTTAAAATAGGACATGTGTACGGCTTAGTGTTCATTTTTTCAATTTCTCTGATTAAAAGTACAACCTGCTCTTTTTTCAGTTTAGGGTCTTTCTCGTTATTGTTGAACAACACAATTCTGTAATTGCATCTGCGCATTAAATTTTTGAAAAATTCATGATCTTGCTCATGAACCCAGGTTTTAAACGTCCTATATTTTTTACGATCGAAATTATCACCACCAGTTATAACAAATATACCATGGGTGTCAATAAATTTTTCCCCTACTACATTTTCCATCATTGCTATGCAGTGTCTTTCTTCGTTTGTTATTCTAGTACCGAGTTTTAAAACCAGTACAAAGGCATGCACCCCCCGTATGCACTTAGTTATGCCAGAACTAATGGATTTAACTAAATCTTTTTTTATCTCATCAGGTTTACAGAAATGTGTTGTTTCCGCACCTGGAACATCTACTACAGTAATACAGCGGCCATCAATGATTGCACTTTCACAAGAAGCTTTAGTTGTAATTGAAGACATGCTATCTCCATACTCAAAAGCATGTTTGCCTAATATTGTATTTCCTGTTGCACTTTTACCATGTCCAGTCTTACCAAGTAACATTAACCTCAACATACCGCCATCAGGAAGTGTTCTTGTTATTTCCTGTAGTTAAAAAGCAAACAAAAAATATCATTTATTAAGATTGAAACTAAAGTTTTAATCTCTTACATCTTTTGAAAAGGATCAATATGTATTTTTCACACTGACTTAGCATGAGTTAGTAAGGGTAAATCAAAGCACTTGCATAATCATAGCATTAAGATATGTAAATAGTGTGGGTATGTATGTGAGTATAGACATGGACATGGGCAATAGCAGGGACATAAAAATGGACATGGGAATATGGATAGGATTAGATATAGATAATTGGTCGTAGTGGTCGTCTAATAGACTGACTACCCGAAAGACTTGAGTACGGAACTCGGTATTTTGTTTGTAGGATGTCCTTTATATATATATATATAGATGTTGATGTGGATGTGGATTTGAGTGTGGGTGGGGCTATAGGTGAAGGTGTAGGTGTAGTTGCAGGTGAAGATGTAGGTGTAGGTGTATGTGTAGGTGTAGGTGTAGGTGTAGGTGTAGATGTAGGTGTAGGTGTAGGTGTAGGTGTAGGTGTAGGTGTAGGTGTAGGTGTAGGTGTAGGTGTAGGTGTAGGTGTAGGTGTAGATGTAGGTGTAGGTGTAGGTGTAGGTGTAGGTGTAGGTGTAGGTGTAGGTGTAGTTGCAGGTGAAGATGTAGGTGTAGGTGTATGTGTAGGTGTAGGTGTAGGTGTAGGTGTAGATGTAGGTGTAGGTGTAGGTGTAGGTGTAGGTGTAGGTGTAGGTGTAGGTGTAGGTGTAGGTGTACGTGTAGGTGTAGGTGTAGGTGTAGGTGTGGGTGTAGGTGTAGGTGTAGGTGTAGGTGTAGGTGTAGGTGTAGGTGTAGGTGTAGGTGTAGGTGTAGGTGTAGGTGTAGGTGTAGGTGTAGGTGTAGGTGTAGGTGTAGGTGTAGGTGTAGGTGTAGGTGTGGGTGTAGGTGTAGGTGTAGGTGTAGGTGTAGGTGTAGGTGTAGGTGTAGGTGTAGGTGTAGGTGTAGGTGTAGGTGTAGGTGTAGGTGTAGGTGTAGGTGTAGGTGTAGGTGTAGGTGTAGGTGTAGGTGTAGGTGTAGGTGTAGGTGTAGGTGTAGGTGTAGGTGTAGGTGTAGGTGTAGGTGTAGGTGTAGGTTTAGGTGTAGGTGTAGGTGTAGGTGTAGGTGTAGGTGTAGGTGTAGGTGTAGGTGTAGGTGTAGGTGTAGGTGTAGGTGTAGGTGTAGGTGTAGGTGTAGGTGTAGGTGTAGGTGTAGGTGTAGGTGTAGGTGTAGGTGTAGGTGTAGGTGTAGGTGTAGGTGTAGGTGTAGGTGTCGGTGCGGGTGCGGGTGCGGGTGCGGATGCAAGTACGGTTCTGGATACGTTTCCGGATAAGGGTACGGGCACATGGACAGGTATATTGATAATAATGATATGGACACAAAGACAGGGAACTGGCCGTGGACAGGCACAATTACATACGCATATTCAGATGCAAATTCAGATAAAGATGCAAAAACAGAGGCAGAGAAATATGTACATGGAAAAGCACATGCACATGTTCTTACACAATTGCATATCGATACATATACGAATACACAGATGAATATACATACCCCGATGCATCTGGGTATGCATATGCTGATTCAGATGCAGATGAAGATAGTGATACAGATACACATAGATGTTAACATGTTTATGATAATGAAATAATTAAAATAACTTACTTCGTAGTATTGTTCTGCTTCATTTAGTAATTGTCCAGCAGACTGATAGTTGGGTTGGAACTCTTTGGGATGGATAAATCTCATATCAAGTCCCGAAATAAAATCTTTGCTTAGTTTCAGTAAAGTCTCCAGATTTTCTATGGCTTTTTTTATCAGCTTAGTGTTGACGAAATCGCCAAAGTCCTCATTATGCATTAGGCCCTGTATTAAAATGTAAAGACCATCATCAAATACATGAGTGTGTGCGTGCGTATGTGCGTCCATCCGTCCATCGGTCCATTCCTCCCATCCATCCATCTGTCCGTCTTTATTCAGTATTATTGCATATTTATCCATCCATAAATTAATTTAGCCACAAATTCATTAAACCATTATTTCACACTAACAATAATGCATTTCTCCATTAATCCACCCGTTTATCCAAAATTACATCTTAAAACCATCCACCCACCTTTTCCCTTACCTGATATATTTCAAGAGCTTTTATAATGTTACAACGGCTTGAAAACAGGGAACAACAGGCATCAATGGCTTCTTCTGTGTACTGTTCAGACAATGTCACGCATGGTAGATCTATAAAAGTGTTAAATATGCTTTACAATTGTTATTATTTTATTAAACATCTGACATTTAACATTTTCTCTCTTTTTTTCCTCTATACAGTGTATATATATATATATATATATATATATATATATATATTTATATATATATATATATATATATATATATATATATATATGAATATATATATATATATATATATATATATATATATATATATATATATATATATATATATATATATATATATATATATATATATATATATATATATATATATATATAATCTACCACTTAAAGGTATACTTTTTTCCAGATACATTTTTAGTTTGTGTGAATAATAATAAATTTAGGTTAATTTTGTACTTTACGTTAATTTTTGTAACATTTTTTTTTTGAGACAGCAAATTAGATTGATGAAGAAAATTAAAACTTTAAAAATTGTACACGATGGTAATTAAGTCGCGTTTTTTACTATATGCACATCTATCACAAACAATTATGTTCGTCACCAACGAGTCTATTTTATCTGTATGATATATATATATATATATGGAGGTACCTCGACATACGAGCAATTAAACACGAGAGTTTTTAGAAACAAGCCGTCGTGCGTGCCACTTTTTGTTTTGCAATATAAAAAAAATAAAACACGAGGACCTCCCTTCAAGTGAAAGTGGGGAAAGAGTAGCGAATGAGATTTAAACCAGCGAAGAAAAATGCAGTGATAATAAAACGAAACTTAAAAAACAATTGTAAAGTAGCTGTTTTGTTTTTAAATGTAATGTTGAGGAGAGTTCCCCAAACACAATCAAGTCTTACATGTCAAAATTTTAAACGCATTGTGGTCCGTTGACTCCGATTTCAGCCTGCTTACTTTCTGGATTTAACCCCATAGCTTTTGTCCACCAAAGAACAATCTACAAGGCAGCAGTAGCAGAGGCGTAGCGACGTTTCCCGGCGCCCGGGGACAAACTTTCGATTTGTACCACCCACCGCAGAGTTTCGATTTGCACCCCCCCCCCCCTCAAACTTTCGATTTGCACCCCCCCCCTTAAAATTTTGATTTGCAACCCCCTCAAGCTTTCGGTTACTTTTTTCCAACCCACTTTGGCGCCTCTAAGGTCGGCGCCCGGGGACATATGTCCCCCACCTGCCCCCCCCCCCCTATCGCTACGCCTCTGAGCAGTTGTCAATTTTAAAATTATCTCTCTCCAAACATAGCTGTCCCCTACGAGCTAGCTTCATCTGCATGTAAGGGGTGAGGCAAATCAGGGAATTTTTTATGGCACTAGTTGGTGAATTTGGTTGTATTTGTGGCACTTCCTGTGCTTTTAAGCATGTTGTTGTTATGTATTGCACTGATATAAGCACTAAAACAAAACACTAAACGTTACCTGCATTATAGTTTACACTTTGAAGTGTCATCTTTAAAGGATAAAATGTAAGCTTGCTAGGTTGAATGCACCTTACATTGCCAGATTTCTCTAGTTAGAAATTATCAGTAAAAATAGAGAACGTTAGATAAAGTGAAAACTCTGATTGATTTTTAAAGGAAGGATGATTGATCCTTTCGTTAACAATTTTGCAATGTTTTTTTTATATTTTAAACGTTCATATATATATATATATATATATATATATATATATATATATATATATATATATATATATGTTAGGCTCAAACTGTCTGTTTAATTATTTAATTGTAAGCGTGCAGGTAAAATTAATTTTGTTATAAATGTTTCATAATCCTTTATTTTTATTACTCGATTGATCAATTATTTTCTTCAATTGGAATAATTTTATATCGGTTTCTTTATTATTAAATTAATGTCTATAGAAGACATGCAGCATATTCGAATGACTACGGCTGCTTAAATTTAAATAAGTATAATTTGTTTTCTTCTATACAGAAACAATACATTTTGTCTTACAAACTATAACAATTAAATACTAAAAACAAAAGACATTAAGAATTATTTTAACTGTAAATGCAAAATTAGCCTACATTGATATAATCTTATTCCTAGAACATATTACATTTTATAAAATTTGAATTTCTTACTGCCTCCACTGATTTTAAGATTTGCAAACCTAATGAAACACCGTAATGTACTAAACTTAAAATCAAATTGCGAAAAAACAGTTGAAGATTTTTACATATTATCCCGTCAGTTTTTACATTTTATTTTTAAATACTTAAACAAAAATCATGCGTTTATAAAACAAAAACCTTAACCACGCTTTCATAATGTACTTGATAAAAAATTGATAGTTTATAAATTGCTTTGCTATTTCACTTCAGTTATATACATTTAGCTTCAAGTTCTGTTATATCATATACACCTTTGCTCTAACGTAAAAGCATTTGACGTGGATAAAGACAAAACTACCCGCACTGAGTTACAGAAAGCACTCTCTCACCGTGGCCGTCCATTCCCCCTTATTAAAATATTATTTGTTTTCTACGTCAAGCAGCATATATTTACAATTATGCCAATTTAGTATATTACAGTTTTCCGATTATGTTGAAGCCATTTAATATAGCAAATGTTATTATCCACCAATTTTAACGCAATTTGCATTTTATTATTACTGAGGTGTAACCTTTAACATGTAATTTATTACTGTAATATGTCACACAACCAATTTAACCAATGATGAAGAGCGTTTGGAATTATGCATTATTAATGTAATAGCAATGTAGGCATAGAGACGTTATTTTAATGCACAAGACACAAGACAATAAAATCATAGGGGAATAGTTATTCTAAATATGTTTTAGTCACTTTATGCTAAGTTTTTTAGTGCAATGACAAGCGTATAAATCTAGATCTCTAAAGATTATAAAAATTTACGCTTTTCTTCCTGTAAATATAATATACAATTTTAAGCGTATCGAAGAGTATACTTACGAATTTCTTCCGAATTAAAACTGCTGTATGTTGGAGTTTGATCACGCACACAATCATAATCAACTTCACCTGACCACTTGTTTTTAAAAAAATTTCGGAGACATTCAATGACCCCAGATGGGCTTTTTGGACTGGTGGAGTCAAAACTGGCTGTGTTTATTTTAACTTGAATCTTTTTATATTTCTTATCAATTTTTAGTAAAAACTTTTTTAAGTTTTCTAAAACATCTTCATTTAGATCTCCTTGTTCGGATTTCAATTTTTTCAGAATTTTTTGTTTTAACTCGTCTGTCTTTTCTCGTTCTGCAACTAAAAATGGGTTACTTGTTTTAATCTAAAAAAAAGAATTTGTGTAGAAATTTTCCGAATAATCATTACACTGGGATTAAAGCGTTATATTAACAATCGTAAACAATCACAATATTCAACAAGACTTACCTTTGTGCTTAACTGTTACAGCTATCACGAGTTCATTTCCGAAATAAATTTCTTTAATCAAGTGAGTTACGTTCTTGTTATTATGTCCATCTTGCTCACCAACATCATCAACATTATGTAGAACTTCTTTTTTCTGTAATTTGAAAAAACTATAATTATATAATCAAACATGTAACTTCACTTTCCAAACATTTTCACAACATGGTTTTCGATTTCTTAACATTTCTATATTAAAGTGAACGTAAAGTGTTTGTAATAACGGTCAGAGATATTTAGACGAATTATTTTGTTTTCCGTGATGCATTTGTGGATTTAAAACACAACGGTGCATAAATCTCGAAAAAAAACGATAAATGGAGATTATATATATATATATATATATATATATATATATATATATATATATATATATATATATATATATATATATATATATATATATATATATATATATAATTAGTTAGTAAACCCACACCTAACGGAAACCAACCTGTCCTAGTTTAACTAAACCTTACTTAACAGCATATATATATATATATATATATATATATATATATATATATATATATATATATATATATATATATATATATATATATATATAATTTGCATAAGATATTCTTTTAAAAATTTAAACTATACCTACCTTTTGGAAGTTTAACTTTAGACAAATTGTTGTTGAATCTAAATCTTCGAGCTCCTTCAACAAAGATAACAGCCAATCGTTTTGTATAGCATTTATCCTGACTTTCAATGCGTACTCCATTGGTAATTTTAAAAATTGACATAATCCTTTAAAATCTGATGCCAATAAAAATGTTTTTTCCAAAATGTCAATCCGCTAAAAAAAAATAAGAAAAAGTTGAATTTATTAAAAAAATATATATGTATATATATATATATATATATATATATATATATATATATATATATATATATATATATTTATTTATTTATACATAAAATGTACATATTAAATAACAGCCTCGATGCAAAAGAGAAGAAGCATAGCATACGTGTAAGGATATCGACGTTCTCAATGGTATTGATATAATTCGTTACGTGACAAAGAAAGCTGTACGTCACGTAAGCTTTTATTAACATTTTATTTATAGAACTACACTGTTTCTTTAGAAGCCTACATATTACCTACCCGACTATAGGTTCAAAATTTCTCTAGGTTTGCTATTTCAAGAAAAATGTAGGACTTTGTCCGCAGATTCCATCCTCCATGAATCGAGCAAGGTGTCAACTAGAACTTGTGTACGAATGCACTATCACCATGAGCACCTAATTCAAACTCTATTCATTCGCATTCAAACATTATTTTAACAATGTGACACGTTTGCCAACAAGTGTTGTCAAATTAAAGGTGGAATAAAATCCAGAGAAATGTAACATTTCATACATGCTTATTACACAAACACTATTCTCAAGCATTTAAAGTGAACATATTAAACAACCGAAATTGTCATAACATTTTTTACAACAATTTTTAAACATAAAGACTGTGGATTACTTGCATCGTGCAACATTTTGTTTTGATTACTGTCACGGGAATTCACTCAGTATTAAAGGATAACAACTGTTAAAAGCTAAAAGTGATATACACAAGCGAGGGTCAGGATTTATTGAAAAAAATTCATAAAAAAACGTTTTAATAACAAGCTTTATTGTACTAATGCACTAAAAAGTAGAAAATAAATTATAGACTATTATTTAAATAACTATAAAGAAAAGAGTGGGTCACTTTAGTATCTATTGGATACCTTTACTAATGTTAAGGAAGACACCCACGCTTTTCTTTATAGTTATTTAAATAGTAGTCTATAATTTATTTTCTACTTTTTAGTGCATTATAATATAAACGCTTGTAATTAAAACGTTTTTTATGAATTTTTACCGCAATTTTTTTACGGACACTTGCGATTATTAACTCGTCATTTCTGGATGGATGTATGAATGAATGAATGGATGTGTGTCCGCAGCTTTAAGTCGTATCTCCTCCTCAACGAAGCAATATCGAGGACTAGTTCCAAAAGCAAATATGTTAAGCAAGTTCCGAGGATGATTGTGGGCCAAACAATTCTCCGAATTCCTTCATGGATTTCCCGGAAAAGCCAAAAAACCTCGAACAAATACATTTTTTGGCCCATATCTCGGCAACCAGACTACTTAGCGACTTGAAACATTTACCAATCGATTCCTGCCATAATTTAGAACAATATTGCCGAAGAAAGTTTTCAAAAATATCCTTTCGTTCGGTCACAAAAAAATATTTACTACTTTTTTAAACTGAGCATCATGTAGGCCTACTCGTTAAAATAAAACTATTTCCCTTGATATAGGTTAATATAGTTGTCTATTTTTAGCGCAATTTCCATACTGGTTTCTATTTTGTTTTGAATTATTAAAACTACTTGTGTTGCATTATTTATTTGCTGAATATATGATTTATCTCGATTTAAAGTTGTTATGGATAACATAAGGAAATTGCGCTTAAATTGTCACTAGACTTTTTATTAACTTGTTTATTTTTCTTCTTTAAATAAAATTGTGGTTATACATTTAAAACATCTAACATATTATTTTCAACAAAAGTCCGTAGAAAGTTCTTCATATATCGCTGCAGTTTCTGATGTGATGTCCGGCAAAAATATTTTGCGGACAGACAGAGAGAGAGAGAAGTGCGCACGGGGCCATTATATATTATGATATGCGGTTTTTGAGAAATCGAAAATAACGTAAATTAGTACTTCCGGTCAACGGAAATTACTCAGAATTTGACATTAGGTAGAGATATAGACCTTTTACTTACATGTGAAATTTCATTGATCTATCTGAAATAGTACTCAAGTTATAGGCTTTTGAAAAATTCAAAATAGAAAAAGTACCACTTCCAGCTATCGGAAATCGCTCAAAAGTTGATACGGATCTACGATTTTGAAAAAATACTTATATATAAAATTGTATCAACTTATCTATAACGGTACTCAAGTTATCATGTTTACACACAGACAGACAGACATGGAGAGGAACATGCTGATTTAATGTGTGCCATTGTATACCAAAATTTCGGAACATTTCCTAAATATTAATTGATCAAACAAGTTGTCATAACAAGTTTTATTTTTCGCACACTATGAAATTATTAGTGACGAATAAAATCACCACACTCTTTTGCATTTTTCTGCACTATAACCTTATGACTACAAGTCTTTAGTCTTTAATGAATTTATTTTCACTCTATTTTTTTAGATTTAAAAATCTTTTTGTTGTCTGGCACATGATCTTGCCTTATTGACATTGTACTTCAAAAATGTGATGTCACATTGAATTCTCTTCAAATCTTGACCCTCGTACCAACTTAGAAACGAATCTGTCAGTTAGAATTGCCCGAAATTTTGCTAGCCTGTTTCGACCTAGGACACCAGACTGATTGACTACAGACAGACAGATGAAGCAAGTTAAATAAAAACATGTTATAAAAGCTTGTAAAAAAAGTTTTATGTGAAGAATTACCTCATCTCTGTGTCTTGCTATTGAATTGTTAGTTTGAGTAGATTCAAATTTCCTTGCGTCAAAGAAATCGCCGAGGCGCGTCCCTAACTTAAATGGGGCTGATCTCAGCATAGCGGACATCTACAAATACAATTGTACAAAATTTTCAATAAAAATAAAATTTTCTCTCTTTACTAAAAGCTTTGGTTGCTAAAACGTGTAGGTTTCACCCTTACATAGAAGATATATAAAAGCAAAAACAGATCAAAATAATCACAATACAAAGTGTTTATTTGAGAATACAAAACATTGTTGATCAAGTGCAGTTTTTTATTACAAGCAAGTCTTCGACATTTCCGCTATCCACATCCACATATATATATATATATATATATATATATATATATATATATATATATATATATATATATATATATATATATATATATATATATATATATATATATATATACATAAATATCACACATATATCAAGGACCGAAAAATCTACTCACCGTTATAGTTGTTCACCAACATAAAATGATCGATGCACAGAAGTAAAATACAAGCTGCCAGCAATAGATATTTTCTAGGAAAAGAGAAATCCCCGTAAAAAACATGCGCTGTAGATGCTGGGGTTCTCAATTCTGAGAGAGAAGACAGAAAAATAAAATTTTAATTAAACAAATGACGTATATGTCTGAATGATACTATAAAAGAAAAAACATACTTGCAAATTTAATTCTCGCTTCAATCAAACAGTGATTACAAACATACATGCCCAAATTCGAAAAATGTCATATTGCCACAGATTTAATATTAAAGATTTAAACTAAATCTATTTAAACGTGATGAGTTATTTAGTACAGAGATACAAATTCACACAAACTCACACAAATATTAATTTACAACTTGCATTACTCTTTTTTAAACTATATATATATATATATATATATATATATATATATATATTGCGTTGAAACAATAACATTAGAACTGCTCACCATATCTAACAATATTTTTATTATTCCCCTTTCTCCGCGCAATTTCTTTGTCATTTTCCTTCTCAGAAAGTCCAAGTCAGCTATTTGTAACATCGGGAAAATCCACAATTACGTAATTACCTCCCTCAATTTTCCATTATTTTTAGTTTATTTAATGCAGCTATACACACAGTATATGTTGGCCTATATAATAGGCATACGTATTTTATATATAATGCATACATATTACATGTATATATAATGCATTTATAATAGAATGTTAGCTATGAATAAAAGTATTATTTTATAACTTACAAAAATTTTAAAGATTGAAAATTGAGATCAGTAGTAAACTCTTTGGCTTAATAGCCTAGCATCATCACCAATATGTTCCCTACAGTTGATAAAAAAAAGTTGATATGATACTGATTCTCTTTTTTTAACCAGGTAATACGATATACAGTGAAATATAACGTTTTTAACTTTCTTTTATAAACTTGAAGTATGTGCTAAGGGTTGGGTCAAAACAAGAAAGATTGTTTAAAAATGTAATTGATTATTGAGTAACAAGCTAAAGTAAACTAAATACGCAGTAGTCAAACGCTACACAGCAGAAAGACAGAGAATGGAAATATAATGAATATATTTTTAATATTTCGCACTGACCACTCATAACGTTGAATGCAGCAAATGACTCATGGTTTTATTTTTAGAAAATCATTATTTTAAATGTTAGCGTTTTAGTAACATTTTAAAGCAGTTGATGATAATTCATAAATCCCCGTTCCATTTCTTGTATATTCAAATCGACTCTAACATTCATCGAACATAGTTGGTAACTACTTAGAGGTTTATTAATATCTAGCTATAACTTTAGCCGTACAGACTCTTGATTATGAGCTTGTGAATCGAACGTATCAGTTATTCATAGACAAGCAATTAATCGAATGAAAACATTTCCAGAAAATATTGTAAGCGAATTATGTTTGATGTTGTCTCACGTAAAGTGTGGCATGGTCAAGCTATAGAACGCTGACTTGTAAACCGAAAGGCATGAGTTTGGTAAAGGGCTATACATCTCCACCTGACATATCAAATGCTAAAGAGATAAAAGGAAATACCTGGCGGAAAGAAACAGATCAACAAGGCTGGTTACATACGTTTCTAACTGCTCTATTCACGACCATACAGAGGCGTAGCGAGGGAGGGGGGCGGTGGGTGCGGACCGCACCGGGTGACACTATTTAGGGGGGGGGGGGGGTGATACCAAGGCAAAAAATAGCAAAATATATAGAGAAAATGATAATTCCACTTAATTAAGTGATTAATTCGAGTGTTAAATAGTGTTTTAAGAGGTGCAAATCGAAAGTTTGAGGTGGGGTGCAAATCGAAAAATTAAAAGTGTGTCCCCGGGAAGGATCGCTAAGCCTCTGGGGGTGACACCATTAAGTGCCGCACCGGGTGACACCCGACCTCGCTACGCCACTGCGACCATGTAATGGTCTGCCTGGTTTAAGAGGATTGTACAAATCGGAGATGAGCAAATCGGATGTTTTATTAGGTAAAACAAAAATTTTATTTACTATTTTATCTTGATTATGTGTTGATTGTTGTCATTGTATATCGTGAATGAAAATTGCAACATACTCAGTTTCTGAAGCATAAGTGTGTGTGCACAAACCAATATCATTAAAGCAAAATAACTGTACACTAAAAATGTAATCACCTCAAGCTTTTTGTTTCTATAGCGCATTCAATGGTTTATCCATAAAGTAAACAAGTATTTAGCTGGGGGGGGGGGGGGGGGGGGGGCTAAATATTTAACGGGATTTTTTTTTAAAACAATACCATCCACTAGTATAAATAATATTTTTTATATGTATGTTTAAAGCACTATTTTTTAAAACGAGAATGTATTTCGAGCCTTGCCGTGATTGCGCTGAGCATTCAAACATGTAAATGTTGATTATGAAGCTAGGAAATTGAGAATACAGTTACAAAAATGTGTTCGAAACAGTATTAATTGTAGTATGGCATGGATTTTTTAAATTTAAATTTGTCATCTATAATTTACTCTTGAAGACACATATTTAAAGTATCTTAGTATATCTCGATTTATGTTTTAATTATACCTTTTGTACACACACACACGCACACTCACGCATTATATGTATATATGAACAAAACTAACAAACAAGTGAATTTAAATGTAAAAATTTATTGTAAATTACACTAAACAATTGCTTTCGTCAGTGACTGCCTACTGCTCCAGTGCCTGACTCAACACATTAAATATAATAACTGCTGCTGGGTACTGGGTTAAACTGAAAGGAATTTTAAAAATAAACATAAAATTTTTTTTTATAAATATAGATTTAATGTATGCATGTTACGTTGAGGTTTCACAAAACCATGATGTAAGTTAGCATTGTGCCGACATTACAACATACAAACACAATGAGACTTATTATTTCAATTGACTTAAGTCTAAGTTATAAATGCAAGTCGGATTATCGATGTCATACGAACTCTAAAAGTTAGAAATGCTAAGATCTCGACAACCAATAACCATTATGTGTACATAAAACAGATAAAAAATGTATGCTTTGTAGTCACTATCGTAATATTGTAATTTACTTCTTTTTTTTTTTAATTAAGTAAGCATATTTTTGTTATATTGAATGCGAGAGAAGATAAGAACTAATACAACGAATATTTTAAAATGTAGTTACAGCTGTATATACTATTTACATGCGTTATGCTTACGTTTTGCCATGTATATTAAGTATAATTTAAGTCCTCACCCTTTTTCATGACTTTACTTTTGCCATTAAGTATTAAACTTAGCGTTTTTTTGTTGTTGTTGTTGTTTTTTTTTACTTTTTATTATTAGTTAATTTTTTCGTATGTTTATCAAAAATGTGAAACAATATTTTATGATCTTACAGAAGGGCGACATCCCAGGAAAACCTCCACCAAACGGCTGGGCGGGACTCGAACCTGCGGCGGGCGTCTTGCCCCCAGCTAGCTGTTGCATCATGAGTTGCTGTAATAGCTGAAATATGGCACAGTTCACTAGAGGTAAGATTATGTTACTGCTTAGACAAGAGGTAAGGTTACTTTATGTTACTACACTAAAGTTAAGGTAATTGTATGTTACTGCTAACTATAGAGCTAAGGTTACTGTATGATTCTGTCTCTCCTAGAGCTAAGGTTACTTTAGGCTACTGACTACAGTAGAGCAATGGTTACCTTATGCTGCTACCTACACTAAATTTTAGATTACTTTATGCTACTGCTTAGACTATAGGTTAAACACAGGTGAGTGTCAGGTAAAACACATGTGATGTCAGGTAAAACACATGTGATGTCATGTAAAAAACAAGTGAAGTCAAGTAAAACAACGGTGAGAGTCAGGTAAAACACAGGTGAATATCAGATAAAAAATCAGTGTCAGGTAAAACACAGGTGATGTCATGTAAACCACAGGTAAAACACAGGGGATGTCAGGTAAACCACAGGTAAAACACAGGTGTGTGTCGCCCTACCTGAGCCATCTGTGGGTTCTGGAACATCTGCATCATCTGGGCCATGTTGTTGGCTGGATGTGCAGGTGTGGCGGGTGTGGCTGGGGCTGTTTGTGGTGCAGGTGTTGCAGGCGTGGCTGCTGACCCGGTAGATTTAGGGGCTAATGAGATAATTAATGAACTTATGTACACATAAATTGAAGAGAAGTTCATTAAGATGAATATATATTTTTGTTTTTATTTCCATTATACGTTGCAAAAAAATGGAACAGGTTATTATAAAGCTACATGTGTCAAAATCATACAAAGTATTTTAACACACTACAGTCATAGCTAATGTTTGATTATATATTAAACTCGTGCAGTCAATGCTAAGTCCGTGCAGTCAATGCTAAGTTCGTGCAGTCAATGCTAAATTCGTGCAGCCAAAGTTCGTGCAGTCAATGATAAGTTCGTGTAGTCAATACTAAATTCGTGCAGCCAAAGTTCGTGCAGTCAATGATAAGTTCGTGCAGTCAATACTAAATTCGTGCAGCCAAAGTTCGTGCAGTCAATGATAAGTTCGTGCAGTCAATGCTAAGTTCGTGTAGTCAATACTAAATTCGTGCAGCCAAAGTTCGTGCAGTCAATGATAAGTTCGTGTAGTCAATACTAAATTCGTGCAGCCAAAGTTCGTGCAGTCAATGATAAGTTCGTGCAGTCAATACTAAATTCGTGCAGCCAAAGTTCGTGCAGTCAATGATAAGTTCGTGCAGTCAATACTAAATTCGTGCAGCCAAAGTTCGTGCAGTCAATGATAAGTTCGTGCAGTCAATACTAAATTCGTGCAGCCAAAGTTCGTGCAGTCAATGATAAGTTCGTGCAGTCAATACTAAATTCGTGCAGCCAAAGTTCATGCAGTGCCTAAGAAATAACACCAAGAGAATCTACCTGTGTTGCCTCCAAACCCAGGCATAAGGGCGGCCATTAAAGGACTTTGACCCACTGAAATAAGAACAATTATTTTTATTATAAACTTGTACAACTCTTTTTACAGCCAACAGAGTTGATTTTTTTCAACTAAACCTAAACAACGTGATTATAATGAAAAGATGTTTTGAGGTTTTTGAACTTACTCATCGATGCAAATGGGTTGGATCCTCCCATGGCTCCAGTGCCTCCCATTCCAGGCAGTCCTCCCATTCCTCCCATTCCTGAGAGACCCCCCATGCCCCCCATACCACCCATCCCGCCCATCCCACCCATCCCCCGCATCATTGGAGCGTACATCTGCATGAGGAGGACAGTGGGGTTGACCTTGCCGTTACACTGTGGCCTTGAGCACGGGTCTGAGAAGGCAATCAGTTATAAACGTGATCATATATCCACCACAACATATAATTATAATAATTTATTCCACACAAATTCCATACACTATCATTCATTCGTGAAAAACTATGCATTATTCTTTTTGGATAAACTATAAATAGATATTAGTTTGCTGACACAAAGCACTATCATAAAAATAAAACGATTGTTGAATGATGTACGCATATAGCAATAGGGCTTGTAAGTCACGGTCTCTTTCGATTAAAATTCGAAATCTTGTTAGCCAGGGAAAAAATCTACATGTTCGAACTTAAATAATTGTTAACATGATGCCAATATTTAAAAAAAAATTATAGCTATATGTTTTTAGGCCTCGTTCAAGATTTAATAATACCAAAAGTTCCAAAAAAAAGGCAACAATTATACATTGTTGTACTACTAATAAAAACAAATGAAGTAACGGTACGCCTACCGCTTGCACAGGCTGTCCGGTGACCTACTTACAAGCCCTATTACTTAAGCTGATGAAGTTTCAAAATAAAGGGCTCAGCGGAAAATTATACTAAGACCTAAGTGTAATGTGATTGTTTTGAGCAAAAAGAGATCGATTTGTGTTCAATGGTGTTAAAATAAGTCGAAGTTTTTTTTTTACAATTTTATTACATTCAAACACCTGGGTACTTTTCCCATGACTAAAATTTACAGGAATTGTTTAGGGGAAGTAATAAAATATTATTCAAGTCCTAACCCAATTTTTAACTGAGCCCCATAATGAGTAAACGTATTTGTAAAGATATAACAGTTTACAACATCACCACACATCAGTTTCAAAGACGGAACTTTCAACGAAAAACTCACCAAGGATCATTGGGTATTCGATTACTGAAATAAAAAAAGAAAGAAATTACTCGTACAAAGCGAGGAATGTTACGAATAAATTATTGATTTCGTCCAGCTTGCAGAGACAGCTGGTGAGTTACTTCAGAATGTAGGCAACGTGTGCATAAACTGGGTCGATTACAGTCTATTCTAAACCTGAGCCTATTACAATCTATTTTAAACCTAACCTAAACAAGAGTAATGTATAGTCTATTCTAAACATGGGTCAATTAAAGTTTACTCTAAATCTGAGCCTATTACAATCTATTTTAAACCTAACCTAAACAAGAGTAATGTATAGTCTATGCTAAACATGGGTCAATTAAAGTTTACTCTAAATCTGAGCCTATTACAATCTATTTTAAACCTAACCTAAACAAGAATAATTTACAATCTATTATAAACATGGGTCGATTACAGTCTATTCTAAACATGAGTCAATTACAATCTCTTCTAAACATGAGTCAATTACAATCTATTACTTTATGATAGCTAGTTTAAATAAACATACGTAAATTAACCTGTTTTAATTATAATAAATTTTATAAAAACTAAAATGTAAAACGTTGTGTTAACAAACCTGTATCGAAATAATCTCCAAACATATCTGAAAGTAAAACAGAAAGTGATGTAAGAATGTAATTTAGAAGAAAATTAATATTTTAAACGTATATATAGCTTTGTACATGAAAATTGTTTTTGTATATTTACAGATAGGATAATAGTTTTATAAACAGTGTATTGTTTGATAAAAGATTTTATTAAAAGAGTTTGTATCTATAAATTGTGAGAACTTACTTCCTGGATCTGTATCTGAAATTGTTGAATAAGAAAAAAAATTAATAGATTTGAAAAAACTGTTTCATTTTTTTTAAGTCAAATTTTTAGTCGCAAAAAGGGTTTCTTTTCATAAATGTATACTAAACTAAACTATTATTAGGAAATCGTTAGACTATTGAAATATCAATTTGATTTTTAACTAATGTTTTATTTGGTATGTTTGGTTCGATGTATTGAGCAAACTATTACGATGATGTCTAACTAGAAAAAAATTATGAACTATATATCTCGTGCACTGATTTAGGTCTGGAAAGGGCAGGTAACTGCACGTAAAAATGTTAGAGTAGTGTAGCACTTACTTCCCGCCATTCCTGGCATCATACTGCCAGTGGCTTGGTTGTACAGGCCTGAAATAAGAGAATGTTTTATAATACCCCGTCTGTAAGGAACTAATATAATTTAACAAAATTTATGAGCCATATAAATATTGCACCAATCGTCTCTTAAATTTAAAAGTAAACAATGTTTAAAATGTAAAATATAAAAATTAATCTAATATGGATAATGATAGAAAAAACATGAATCGATAAAGAAATAATATAAAAAATGTATATAATTTTTAACATGTTCACTGTTATTTGATTAAGGTGTCTCTTTTGCTGCAACCCATACAACAAAGTGTGCACAAAACAATAAGTTTGACTTGAAGCTAAATACCATAACAACTCAATACTAATATTATAATTCAAAATGGCATTTCACAGAAAAACAGACACATTAACTACTATCGCATTATAAAAAAAACAATTTTAAATTCTATTTTATCTATAGACATTTTCTTCCGCTGTCAGATTTATTATATCCGGGCCTAATCCCTCACCTCACAATTTAGTAATATCTCCTCCAAATTAATATGGATATTCAAGAATGATAATGAACTAATGCGACGTCTAACACACGCTCACATACGACAAAAGTTAAAACAAATCCACAAGTCTTACACTGCATCTGTGGGTCATTGTGACGTCTAACACACGCTCACATACGACAAATGTAAAAACAAAACCACAAGTCTTACACTGCATCTGTGGGTCATTGCCTCCAGCCATCGCTCCGCTCACTCTCTCTGTACGGAAAATAGAATTGTGTATATACAAAAACATTTAATGAAATGTATTATAATAATATAAGCCGCTAGGTAGTGTGTCAGTCCTTCCTTCCATCGACGGTATGGCGACTTTGTCTTCGTTTTTCAGAGCTGGAAGAGTGCGATCTTGCTTGGAAAGGGATAGAACGCCCGGGGATACGTGGCGATTTAAATTACACCAGGAATGAGGGTGGGGGAAATCTGTGAGGGCGTTACGCCATTTTTTTTACCGTAGCGGACACGGGTACAAGATAGTTGTAATATAAATTACAACGGTAGAGTGCTAGGCTGTTAACTCGAAAGTCTTGAGTTCCGGATCCAAGTCAGTTGAACGTCCCTGAATCCACCCAGCTATAATGAGTACCTAACTCATGTTAGGGAAAGTTTAGACGGTTGGGCAAAGTGCTGACCACAACTTCCCTTCATATGCCGAGGTCAAGAAACGTATGAAATCTACATAGTCATTATAGTGGATCGCTACATCTAAGGAGGATTCTTTTTTTATTTATTTTTACATCACTCTACTCACGTGTGTGGAAGTATTTAGAAGCAGCGCCCATTCCGTCAGCTGAGAACGTAAAATATATTCAAATAAAATTGTCATGTTTGTGTAAAATATGATTAATGTGTAAAGTGCTAAGTAGGCTACTCAATAACAACATTTCACATAAAAACACTTGCTTGTATTCGCTTATTAACTAAAAGGTAATCGAATACTTACACAAAGCTTCTTTGCCACCGAACATCACTGTGGAAAACATCGTTAGAGATTAAACACTGTGTGCATAACGTTATCAAAAGTTTGAGCAAATAGCCGTCGGAAGTAATTGTTTTAATTAACTTAGGACTTAGTGATGTTAATTATAAAATTTCTACTGACATTCTGTTGCAAAATGTATTGTTTTCATTTACATACCACTTTTTATGTTTACAATCAAATTAAAAGTGTAACAAATATTACTGAAATTACTTCCATTTGATATGGTGTTTAATCAATAATGTATCAACTTACTTAGCTTTCTGCAAATATCTGTGGAAGAAGAAAATATTAAAATGAATAAAACCATTACTAAAGTTACCGTCAGAGGAATCTGCTTTTGATTTTAAGCTCTCCACTGAATACATCAACATACAGTAAGTACCGCAGTACGTGACTTTCATTGTTCATTCCCCTTATTAGTAGTCTGTACACTTTAATAATCCTCAAAATTCTGCGTTAAAACGCAGAAATGCGCCAATTTTCTTTACTCTTAACCACCCCCCCCCCAAAATCTAAAAAAAATCAACTCTAATATACATCCCATCAATCTGTTCCCCAGAGCACCACCAATACCCCTTCCTTCTCGATATTGAATCTACTCCCTTTGTACCCACCACACCCACAATACAGAGAGGCACTTACCTCCAAGTGATAAACCTTGAAAGTTCACACCTACATAAAAACAAATAAAATAAAATAATTATCACAAAATGTATGCACAAAGAAGCGAACTTAATGTGTGAGAATAAATAGTTCGTTAAGATTGCAATATATTTGACTAACAGTAACAGAACTAGTACTCTAAACAAAGTATATATATATATATATATATATATATATATATATATATATATATATATATATATATATATATATATATATATATATATATATATATATAATATATAAATAAAATAACTCAGTGAAGAGTTTTAAGGACCTACCAAATTAATCGCACGTAAAACAATGAAAGAGACCTATATAAGTTTAAGCTGTTTAAAACGGTCCATAATTTAACACAAAAACTAAATTATATCGTCTCAATAAAATTATAGTTCTTGTAGTATAGCCAATAAAATTATCAGTGTACAGACGTCTGGAAAGCTCTTGTCAGCGGCCTATGTCCCAGTAGGGACGACAGGCAAACATGACATGACATGACAATAGATCTACAAACCAGGTACAGTAAGAAAAGTGGGATCCGGACAAAAGGCCGACATGAAGAAAAGGCCGACAAGACAAAAGGCCGACAAGACAGAAGGCCGAAATATGTCGGCCTTTTGTCCTACACCCAAGAAAAGTATTGGTGATGTAAATGTGTAACAAATACGTACGTCCTCCAGGGTTGAAAGCTGTGGCGGGGACGTTGAAGAACGAGGGTACGGGCAGCATTTGGGCTGTCGTACAGGCGACCAACAGGGCTGTTTGGGTGAGAAAAGTTGATGTCGTTATGTGTACATCACATTTTTACACATATCTCAACATCAATTATTATGTTAACTTAAAATATTATACAAGATTCAAACATTCATGATCATTAAATTCAAACAGAAAGTTGAGTTTATTATAATACAGATTTCAAGAGTATAATTATTTCTTGTGTAAGTAAAGCGTTTTAAACGAAGCAATGATGTATGTGCTTTAGTTTTTCAAGTAGGCTAGTCGGTCAATGGGGCATGAGATTTAAAATAGTTTATAATCTTATGCCGTCGTTCTAGTCAGTTGTCTGGGCATGTTCCTATGGTTTACGGCCAAAAATTTATTTTCGTGAATTTAATTGTCTTCTCTCGCCAACAATTTCTTCCAGGCATCTCTTCGGATGGGTGAAGGGAGGGCTCTCCCCTCTAAGAAAGTCTACCGCCCCCCCCCCCCCTCCAACTAAATGGATTTTATATAGAAAATATATACTTTTAACAGTGTCCGCCCTCGGAAATTTTAGTCCGCCCCCCGAAAATTTCAAGCCCCCCCCCCCCACCCCCTGGAGAAAAATGTCTGGAAGAAGCACTGCTCCCCAACCAGCAAATTAATAGTTTGTACCTGGTTAAAATTAGATTTCCAATGTTTATTTCCGTGATTTATTTAACCAGCAAGGCAATAATTTGTATCTTGTCAAAATTAGATTTCCAAAACTTATTTCCGTGATTTATTTAACCAGCAAGACAATTATTTATATCCAGTCAAAATTAGATTTCCAATGTTTATTTCCGGGATTTATTTACAAGCCCAAATTTCCGGCTCAACAGGTTGTTTACGGTAAACATTCCCCTGGTGAATAAATGACGGCCTAGAGGACAGGAAAGCCTGCTGACGTGTCACGATCTGGACCCAGGGGAGGGGCGAGTGGCCGGAAGCTGTCAAAGACGTCTGACACGTGACGTAGCGAGGATGTCCCAGACAGCACGTTTTGAACGTTTGTGATTTAACACAGACCGATATAACTTATCAGTCTAAAAATACACTGGACGAGTTCATTGTGATTTACCAAAGACCGATATAACTCTTCAGTCTAAAAATAAAATTGACTGACCGATATAACTTATGTGTCAAAAATACTTGACGATTTCATAGTTTTGATAAATATAGTTCCCTTGACTCCACTTCTGATATTAATCACCTCTCATCTCCCCCATTATTTGAATCTTACGTAAAATTTAAACGGTAGGGCCTATACGTTTTTAAAAGTTAAACATGTTGTTTTTTTTTAAACAACGACAATTAATTTAAGAAAACGGATATGCTTGTTGAACGAGTGTCTACGAAAACTTTTAAACAAAAGATAGTAGTTACAATTTCTCAAAGTTAACCCGGACTAACCGTTTTACTCCATAGACAGAGCCATAAAAAACACCTCACTTTTAAAAATTATTCTCAAAATTATATCATCCTACATTCAAAATCTTTAAAATGGCAAGTTTGTTAAAAAGTAAAATTTCAACTTTGAAAACATATTTTGATTCTGAGAGTGATGGTATGCACTCTTTAGTCACAGAAACAACAAAAAAATGTGTTGTAAGGTATTACATACGAAGGTCATTAAAATTTTAGAGACAGACGTGTTGTAGTTAAGAAATAGCAACTTACCGAAAACAAAAGGTTTCATTCCTAACATCTTAAGTTTCAGAGTTCACAAGAAGTTGATGTAGTAGTTTCTTGATGTCTAAACTTGATTGTTACTTGTCTTGGATTGTTACGTTAATACTGAAGAATAAAACATATTTTAATTAGATTGAGTAAAGTATTAAAGTATTTTCCAAAATTAAAAAGTTTAATAAACTACTTAAACAAGTGACAAAACAGTTAATGATAAATTTATATTCCAACACAAACCTAGAAAATCGACATTTTAAAAAACAATATTAAAGGTAAGATAAACAATAAATAAGTAAGAGATTAGAGTATATGTATAATTATTTAAAATCGTAAACAATTATAATGATAGAGTACAAGAAATTTAACACTAAGTAAAAATTATGATTTTTTTTTTAAAAGAAGCTTGCAATTATTATTATTTATTCCAATCGGTAACAGCTGTCCTAAATGTAATTTATAAATACAATAGGCACATCGGTATATGATTTAATTATAATATTACTACAACATTTTATAATTGTTGCATCTTGGGTTTTCATTTTAAAATCTTAAAGTGAGGCTTAGAAACAAATAGCCGCCATGTTTTTATGTTATTTATGAGAATCATCTTCACAAAAACAAATTAAGCTCGAAAATATATCTCTCCCTGGCTAACGAGACTTCGAATTTTAAGTGAGAGAGAACGAGTCTTACAGGCCCTAAATCAACAAGCACAAGAATAAATGGCTACATGACATGACATGTGGACAATGGCATCTATCTCTGTGGCGTAAACATGTTGTGACGTGTTCGTGAGGCAAGAGAGATTACGTCTACATTTATTTCTCACATTTAAAAACAAATGACAAATTCATTTGTCACTCCTTTGTTAAATGGGATGATTTACGTTCTAGGCATTTTACCGTAAACACGTACCGTAAAACACGTAGAAAGTATTTTAAAAAGTTGAAAATATTTCTGGTTTAATATCATCATCTTTTACCATTAGTACCGTAGACACATGGGGCAGAGTTTTAGAGACTTCGGCATATGAAGAGATAGTGTGGTCAGCACTATACCCAGCCGCCTTTCTTTTCCCTAACGTGAGTTACGTACCCATCAGAGTTGGGTGGACACATGGACGTTCTACTGACTTGAACCAGGATTCGAAATCGAGAGTTTCGGTTTAGCAGTCTAACTCTATACCGCAAGGCCGCGCAGTTTTTACTTCATGTATCCAAGGGCTTGTATGGGAAGCTCAGTTACGAAAAGTTTGTAAAACACGTCATTAACTCATTCATGCCCAAGTTGTATGCTCTATGAAACCTTATAATAGTTTAACTTGGCGAGTCCGCTGGTTGTTCATAGCTTGCCTTAATTACCAAACTCAGAAACAGCAAGGCCTCTGACGTAAGGCGTAATGGAGATTAAGTCTACACTTTCGTTTCAAGTTGTAATACAAATGACACATACATTTGTCACTGTTTGTAAAGGGGGATAATTTACGTTCATGGTATTTTACCGTAAGACATGTCGCTCGTATTTTAAAACGTATTCACTGCAGCTACGATTTGTATTTTAAAACGTAGGAAATATTTCCGTTTTAGTATAGTCACATGTTATTGTTCTTTGAAAAACAAGTTTATATTAGTTATTTTCCTTTTTACTTTCTTTCTTTTATGTAGGTTGCATTGTGGAGTTAAAAGGGGAGAAAATTGGGTTGTCTACCGTACAGTCACGGTGTGAGAGTTTTCTCCCCTGAGAGTTTTGACACTTCCGTAAACGCATCCACGACAACAAGGAAGACAACTCAGCCATGACAGGTGTGGAGTTAAAGGGGGAATACAACATTGGTGAATTTAAGGAATAATTAACATACAGCTCCACAATATAACGATGGTTAATTCACAGCAATGCGTTTATAAGCATTGTATGGGATGGTGAATTTGAATGGTAGAGTGCAGAGTGCTAAACGAAGGTCACAGAATTAGGCGAACTCTACTTTATCTGCATCATGGAAATATGCATTTATATTCTCTTCCCACTCACCCAATCTCCAACAAAATTATTACCTAGTTAGTTGTGAAACAATACAAATAAACAATAGTAAAAAAATTAAAAGGTCCCTTTTCGAACATGACGGTCAATGGGGCAAGTGAATTAGAGTTCACCTGTTTCAATTACCTCAGCTTATGAAGGGATAGTGTGGTATGCATTATGCTCAGCCACATTTGCTTCATATAAATAATTAGAGCTTTGAAAATATTAGATATGGAAAATGTTTTTATTGGTGTATCGTGTGATCCAAATAAAAAAAAGGAATGTAGTAGTTTCCCCTCTAAGCAAAGTTCAGCCATACTTGGCTTGCCTCCCATTCTAGTGTAACTGATATTAAACCCTCTCATTAAAGCCTCATCCTTGTAGACACGTGACAGTTATGTCATGGTTGTCATGGCAAGCAAAGCCATTAAAATTCACAGACTTAAATGTCTTTTAAACTCCCAGGTATGAAGTTTCCGACGTAAAACATGACGTCAAATTTGTAATTTAACGTGTGTTACGTCACAGTATAACACTTCTTGACAAAATTGCGCACCAAGTTATAATCATTTTAAACGAAACAAAAGTATTTTTTTTTGCATCATTCAAGATAAATATGTATAAATGTTTAAATAAATGTATATATATATAATGTAATATGAAATAACACAATCATATATATATATATATATATATATATATATATATGTGTGTGTGTGTGTGTATGTGTGTAAATGAATGTATGTAGTCACTATGTATATGTATAAAAAAAAGCATGTTTTTTCTTTAAGATTATCATTTTAATTGACTTGCCATGCTACACTTTTCGCTTTATGATACTTTGATCTATAACATAACAGTATATTACTTCAAACTACATGTCTATATTTTACTCAAAAATATACATATAAAAATTATACTTTTATCCTGTTTAAATATGCTTCATTGTATTTCTTTAAATGTGTTCTTGCTAATCAAAAACTAAACACTGAAAACATCTTTAGAATTAAATTGTGTTTTTTTTTCATCACACTTTATCCCAAGTATTTTAAAAGAATGCTATAAATTCATATTCTATATGAGACAAACGCAAAACTTACTGTTCAGTTTCTTGGTTACCTGTCTCTTGTAGTGAAGGCAGCTCATGTACTTTAACTCTCGCCTTGTCTCGGCTTTAGAGTGGTCTCCCTTTTATTCTGGCCCCTAAAACTCGACAACCACAGCGTCACGACAGCCACTCTGTCATCTGATGCGCATGTCTGAAAATAGACTGCCCTCTGTCTGACAATGAACGCTTGAGTTTTTCGGTCTGAATGCGAAATTTTAGAGTGATTAATTAATTTTTACTTTCTCGTATATACAAAGTATAGAGAAATTGTAATCGTGCAAAAAAAAAATCGAGATTTTTACAAATCTCGACGTTTTATACCTCACTGATACGGAAAAACATAATTTTGCAATCTTGTCCGTATGTCTGTGTGTCTGTGTGTGTGTGTGTGTGTCTGTGTGTGTGTGTGTGTGTAAGCACGATAACTTGAGTACCGTTACAGCTAGGTTGATGAAATTTCATATATAAGTATTTTATCAAAATCGTAGATCCTGATCAACTTTTGAGCGATTTCCGATAACCGGAAGTGGTACTTTTTTTACTATGAATTTTTCAAAAGCCTATAACTTGAGTACTATTTCAGATAGATAAATGAAATTTCAAATGGAAGTAAAAGATTTAATTCTCTACCTTCTGTAAAATTTTGACTAACTTCCGTTGACCGGAAGAACTAATTTTTGCTATTTCCGATTTCTCAAAAAGCTCATGTAAATTTATGAAGTACTAATAATATTGCGCACTATTATGCACATTTTGTTTTGGCGTTCGCTTGGTGCGCAATTCTTTTTTCTATGAGATTCTATTCTATTTTTAAAAGTTTAAGTAATTAAAAATCATATATTCCGAGTTATATAAGAATATTCGAGAAAGTTTAGGGGAGATAACTCCCGGTTTATTTTGTTACATTTTACTCAGCCATATTATCATTCTCTTATGATTAGTATAGCTGTATCGAAATTTTCCTTTTCAAACATAATTAACAAAATAGGCTTTACAATGTGGGCAAGGCTAATCATTTTGAGTTAACGAAGATAAAATCTACCACAATAAAACTAGCTAACATTGTAGGCTTACTTCATAATTTCTATTAGCAAGCAAACGAGAGAAAAATGTTAAATGTGTATTAAGTTTATTATTGTAACTAGAATTACAAGTATAATGGGATATCGTGGTCGAGTAATAGAGTTCTCTACTACAAACACCGAGGTCTTGGATTCGGTTCGTGTCTGTAGTGTGTCACTCAGTCCACTGATGGTTACCTAGCGAGAGTTAGGGAAGTTGATGTATGCGGTATCATACTCAGAGTTTCTTCCAGGCATCTCTTCGCCCCCCCCCCCCCCACCCGCTATAACGTCTACCGCTAATCCCCCCCCCCCCCCCTCCACCCACCCAAACAAAATATTTAATTAGAAAATATATACTTTTATCACTGTCCGTCAGTCCCCGAGACCCCAAGCCCCCCTCCCCCCACCCCAGAAAAAAGGCTGAAAGATACACTGAGCATACTCCTAATAAAAAATAAAAGAATAGTTTTACTATAATGAAGGGTTGGGTGTTGCTATTCTTATAGTAACACTACCCCTATAGTAACACTCTATATTTATATTAACACTCTACCTTCGTAGTAACACTCTAGAGCAGGGGTCGGCAACCTTTTGAAGCGGAAGAGCCAAAAGTTACAATTTTCAAAATTTCCCTGGTTTTAAAGAGCCACTAACATTTTTTTTATTTCAAATATTTTATTTTTTTATTATGATTATTAGTATTTGTTCAAGGAGCTGGAGAGCCGCATCTTGATATCAAAAGAGCCGCATGCGGCTCGCGAGCCGCAGGTTGCCGACCCCTGCTCTAGAGTGTAGGCTAACTATGAGAGTAGAATGTTACAAGTTTAGAGTGTTAATATAGGGGTAGTGTTACTATAAGAGTAGAGTATTACTATAAGGGTAGGGTGTTACTTTAAGGGTGGAGTGTTACTATAGGGCAGAGGCGTAGCGTGGGGGGGGGTGCGTACCACACCGGGTGACACCATTTAGGGGGGTGACACCAAGGCAAAAAATAGTAAAAATATATAGAGAAAAATGTGGGGGGGGGGGGTGCAAATCGAAAGTTTGTGGGGGGAGGTGCAAATCGAAAGTTGGGGGGGGGGTGCAAATCGAAAGTTTGAGGGAGGGGGGGGGTGAAAAAATTTGTCCCCGGGGAGAGTCGCTATGCCTCTTGGGGGTGATACCATTAAGTGCCGCACCGGGTGACACCCAACCTCGCTACGCCACTGCTATAGGGGTAGTGTTATTAAAAGAGTAGAGCGTCAATATGAAATTAGTTCCGCTGAGCGGTTTTATTTATGTATTGTGTTTTTTTTTTCGTTTATTTTTTTTTCTTTTGGGGGAAACTTTGTTCGAGGGTGTTATTTTGTATTTCCTTTATTTTCATTTGTGTGTTCCTCTCCAGCCGTGGTGTTTGAGTTTGAGTGGTGTCTGTTGTGTCGTCCGAAATATAATGTATGGGATCTTCCGCTTATTAACATCTCAGTAACAACAAAGGATAAAGAATCGCAAGTAAATCAAAAAGGAATTTAAAACGTTAATGGTTGTCTGTTTAGATTATATCAAAAATACTATTACCAAGTTTTAAAACCAAGCACATTTTAACTCACTCAACAATATATAATATTGTAAATATCTAATAATGATCAGCTTTTGTAGTATTATCACTGCATAATAAAATGTAACTTCTAACGACTTTTAAGAACATTGTTGCAAATTATTTCCTTTGGATCTGTTACTGTGTATATGGGAGGTAACTGAATTTTTATATGCATAAATGAGCAATTCATACAATAGTTTTGCTACTTTAGAGAATGCCTAGTACGGGTCTTTGTTATAACAAGTTGACTGTTTTTTTTTTTTGGATTTCATTTCTTATTCTACAGACAATATTTTTGCACCAACACGATGTCGCTAAATTCAGCAGTGTCAATGGGAGTAAAGTACATTTTAGAACCTAAAAGGTCCATGGGGCAGGTGAAATAGAGTTCACCTGTTACAGTGACATCGGCATATGAAGAGATAGTGTGGTCAGCACTATGACAAGCCGCTTTATTTTAGCTAACATGAGTCAGGTGACCATCAGAGCTGTGTGGACTCAGGGACGTTCTGGTAACATGATCACGTGATTCCAATTCGAGACTTTCAAGAAACTGGTCAGTGAGAGATGGGTGACTGTCGGGGCGACGACAAGTACACGGGGCGGGTTAGTTACTGTGTCGCTGTCATAAGGTTAGAAGTGCAAGTGTTTATAATAAACAGAAGCCGTTGACTAGAATTGAATGTGTTTTAACCCTAAGAAAAAGTTGACCTGAAGTGTGTACTTTAACACAGAGAAAAGTTGACCAGAAGTGCGTGTACTTAAACACATAGAAAAGTTGACCTGAAGTGTGTACTTTAACACAGAGAAAAGTTGACCAGAAGTGTGTGTACTTTAACACAGAGAAAAGTTGACTAGAAGTGTGTGTACTTAAACACAGAGAAAAGTTGACTAGACGTGTGTGTACTTTAACACAGAGAAAAGTTGACCAGAATTGCGTGTACTTTAACACAGAGAAAAGTTGACCAGAAGTGTGTGTACTTTAACACAGAGAAAAGCTGACTAGAAATGCGTGTACTTTAACACAGAGAAAAGTTGACCTGAAGTGTGTGTACTTTAACACAGAGAAAAGTTGACCAGAAGTGTGTGTACTTTGTAACAGAAAAGTTGACTAGTAGTGCGTGTACTTTAACACAGAGAAAAGTTGACCAGAAGTGTGTGTACTTTAACACAGAGAAAAGCTGACTAGAAATGCGTGTACTTTAACACAGAGAAAAGTTGACCTGAAGTGTGTGTACTTTAACACAGAGAAAAGTTGACCAGAAGTGTGTGTACTTTGTAACAGAAACGTTGACTAGTAGTGCGTGTACTTTAACACAGAGAAAAGTTGACCAGAAGTGTGCACTTTAACACATAGAAAAGTTGACTAGAAATGAGAGTACTTTAAAACAGAGAAAAGTTGACTAGAAATGCGTGTACTTTAACACAGAGAAAAGTTGACCAGAAGTGTGTACTTTAACACAGAGTAAAGTTGACCCCCCCCCTCGCTACGCCTCTGTTACTGTTAAAAGTCAGTGACCGGTGAAGAGCACTATAGTATACATAGACGGGGGAGGGAGAGTGGGGGCGCAAAAGTGATAGTTCACACCAAGCGACGGAAGTGGTTGAAGTGTGTTGCCGTCACATTTGTCGTATTTAAAATCCCATCTACGCCACTCCCACTGCGACGTTTAGCGTGAATACAGCGTCTATAAAAAAAAAGATAACAAAGCTACGCCCCTGTTCGTATTTCCTGTTTCGGTTTACAGTTAATGTTTTTTTTTACCGCTAGGTCTGGATGTTAAATGAGGTCGTACCGCTGATCTAAAAAAAATTTAAAGAAATATCCCATTTGTTTTTCTAAGTGCATATTTTCTTTTTAAAAATAGTACGCTTAGGAGCGGTTTTTCAACGCGTATAATATTTAGTTAGGTAGGGGGGAGTTGAAGAGGAGCCGGGGGTAGGGGGGGGGGGGTCATTGAGCATTGATTGGGAAAGGTACATATATATAAATAAATAAATATATATATACATATATATATACATATATATATACACATATATATATATATACATAAATATATATATATATATATATATATATATATATATATATATATATATATATATATATATATATATATATATATATATATATATATATATGTATATGTATATATATATATATATATATATATATATATATATATATATATATATATATATATATATATATATATATATACGCCTATATACAAACAAAAAGCCGCAACTAAAGGTACTATTTTTTTTAAATGCAAAGCTGTGGTTTTTTTTTTTTTTTAAATATCCCATTTGTTTTTCCTAAGTGCATATATATATATATATATATATATATATATATATATATATATATATATATATATATATATATATATACATATATATATATATATATATATATATATATATATATATATATATATATATATATATATATCTTTTTTAATTTCGTCCCTGGGTTGTGTGTGTGTGGGGGGGGGGTGAAAAATGATCACTAAGCAGATAGGTTGTTCTAAAATTAAAATTATAAATTCACACAAAAATAATCGGATTGCTTCCCTTTCACGAGAACTAAACTAAGAATAGCTCTTCTTTTTGTTTTCTCAGAAAAAGAATCTAAACTTCAAAAAATATATTTTTATTAATTCGAGGTTTTTACAGATACCTATGATTTGTTTTCATATTTTTAAAGCCCAGAAAAAGTCTTCCATTTTAGTTATTGTTTTATTTATTGCAGCGCAAATTTTAGTTTTTAGCATAAGGCTAAAAATGTAAAAATTAAATTCCGGATTTTCCCGTATTAATTTGTCTTCTGTGATCAACTAACAAATAAAATACCAAGCTGCATTGTTTTGTTAGTAGTGTAATATAAATTATATTATGTCAAGCTAATTTACATTTTATCATTCTAATTAGATCTACTAAGGTTTATGTAAGTTGTAAATACATATTTAATAATTATTTAATATTTAAACTTATAAACTTAGAATAAACTTAAAACTAAATACTAAAAATTAGGCCCTAATTTGTTTTGGTAATCTATCGTTTTTAGGTAGAATCTACGTAAAATCGCCAGCGGCTAGATCTAGTAATGTTCGAAAAAGTTACCTCATTGTCAAGGCTTTAATAGAAGTATTTTGTGATATATTTGTGTCAAATATTATAGATAAATGTATAATAAACTTAAATCAATGGCTAAATATATCAATTATCAATATAGGCAAGAAATTAACTTTAAACAGCAGTGTTTTCGAGCAGGATTTGATATATAAAAAGCGGCCATCTGTAAGTTAGAGTGGCTTCCCCTGAATCTTGCGCTAAAAGTTTACAATAGAAAAAATAAACAAGATGGCTGCTATAGTAAATGTCGGTGTAGTAAACGAGCATGATGGTTGCATCTGTTGGAAACATCGCAAGTCTTCATTTATTACTGAAAATTTTTAATTCAGTTGTTTAAAAACAGGTAGATCTACATATATGAAACAAGGAAACATTTTTGTATTTTTCAAAACATAAATCCTCCTCAAAATGTAAAATAATTATTAAAATTTAAGGAGTCACCTGTTTTTCACATTACTAGTCGCGGGCGATTTTACGTACCTAAAACGATAGATTACCATTTTTTTAAATATTAAAAATAGTAGGCTCTACGGCCTATAATATAAAATTATTTTATTTAATCTATTATGCAGCCTATAGTATAGGGCCTAACCTAAACTTATAAATTATATTTTTATGATACACTGGTGTTGGGAAATAGCAAGATGCAAAAAGCGAAATTGCGAGGCGGTAAACTGCGAGAAGGGCGGGAAAACCGTCAGTCACTTGATATTTTTGCCTCTCATTTATTCACCACCCAATACTTACACAGGTTGGTGCGAAGCTATCTGCGAAAATTTTACAGCGACCGATTTACAGCTATATTTGATGCAGACTTCAAAGACTTTTCATTTACGTCCTTCAGGAATGTTCTTTGTATAGCCAGACACGAGTCAGACACTGGCCCCTGCCCACCCCACTCAGGGAAAAATTATATGGGGCACCTGCCAAACTGGAGACCACAGTCCGGTTTGTTCATGAAGTTGGACTTGTTGTCTGAATCCTCCACCATATTCTCAATTAAGAACGAAGAAGAAGAAGAAGATGATGCATACTTCAAAGACTTTTCATTTACATTGTTAAAACTTCAGATTTTTCTGTCGCTAGACCATCTTTTGTTTTGACTAAGAATACCACCTTGTTCGAAACCGCTCGAAATACCGCCGCCGATAGATCAACTTATTTCTTTTGTGTAGAACACCGAGGCCGCCTGCCGCCACAAACTAATATGTATTGTTACAAAGTATTTTTGCTTTGTTACGTAGCAGAACGAACCCCCGGTGTAGCCTCAACAGGTCACATACCACACGTGCATAGTGTTGTGGTTGTGCTGTAATAAATTTAAACTAATAAACTAAATAAATAAACCTCCCTTTATTTTCTTTAGCGATAATTAAATTAACTAATTGATTAAGTAATGTGATTTCGAATTTCCTGTATAATTTATTTTTACTATTACAGAAACAGCTGTGTTGTTTCAATACCACCCGCTCTCTTTCTCAAATCAAACATTACACATATGACCCTGACCATGTTAGTAATTTTTTTTTAATGCTGTGGAGAAGAAGAGGGAGGGATTTCATACTCACTGAAACCAAGCAAAAATAATTCACTGAACTATTGACCTTGAATGATGTTGTGGCAATGGCCTCGCCATTTCGCTTCTCGCAATTTCCCAACACCTAATGTAAACTATAAGTAATTATTAATCATTGTACAGTTAGTACTAGTGGGCTGGGTTATTCCATAGCTGCCTACTTATACAAGTGTTTGTCCCGTAATTTTATGATTTCAATACCCAGGTTACACAGAATTAAGATTATACCTCAAATGTTACACTTTTGCCTTACATAAAAATCACAGTCATTGTTAGCATAAATTAGTGGGGGATTTTTGTTTTATTTTTTTCTTATTGCAACTTTTGGTTCCTTGTCTGAAGTAAATGCCAATAAATGTGTTTGATTTGTATGTGAACTTTTTTTATTGCAATTTGTTAAATTCTGTTATTCTTTTCACAGAAAACTTGATTACTTATATTGGTTTGCAAAGCTGAGACCTATAGAATATAAACTAAAATGAGTTATAATTTTGGTAAGTTAAGATAGAACTCAACATATTTTTTATAATAGTACCTACTTTGTGATTTTAATTTTGTTTTATGGAAGTAAACTTTTATCACTTTAAATAAAAATTTTAAAATTGATACTTTCTTGTTAAAAAACTGAACAATGTACCGAATTTTTTTTTTTTTAAATACTAGAGCATTGGCTACTTTGTTGTGTATTTTTTTTGTTAATGTATCTTAATTAGCTGTAAGTATACATAGTGGCAAAATGAGTAAGTTTATCTATTTCTTGACAGTTAAAAATGTTAAAAATACATCATTTTTATTTGAACACCTTAGAATGAACCAGAGAATACTTGTATGGTCACAAAACTATTACTAGTCAAGGATTGTTTAAGAAATAGAATTTAAACCTTTCATCAGCATTTATTAATATGTATAGTTATACAAGTTTTTCTGTTGACCTCAGCTTAATTTCATTTTAGTAAAATGTAAAAAAACAAAGTTATACAATTAAGTCAATAGGGCAGATAAAGAAGAGTTGAGCTGTTTTTGTGGCCTTCGCATTTGTATTGGGATGGCGAGAGCTATACTGCTTACCCAGACGTTTTGAGTTTGAATCCGGGTTCAAGTCAACATATGACCTCAACATATGAAGGGATAGCGTTGTCAGCACTATACTCAGCCACTTTACTTTCCCTAATGTGAGTATGGTAGGCTACCCATCAGAGCTGAGTGGACTCACTGAAGTACTACTGACTTGAATCCAGATTAGAACTTGAGACTTTCTGGCTCGCAATTTAGCGATCTAGCAGAGAGAGTATACCCCACCTTAATAGTAAGGTAAAGTTCCCATTCAAACCTGACAGTCTACAGGGCAAGTGAAGTAGAGTTCACTTGTTTCTGTGACCTCAGCACATGAGATGAAGGGATAGTGTGGTCAGCACTATGCTCAGTGCCATTACTTACCCTAATGAGAGTTAGGTACCCATCAGAGTTGGGTGGACTCAGGGATGGTCTACTGACTTGAATCCGGATTCTAACTCAAGACTTACGGGTTAGCAGTCCAGCTCTCTACCGCTGGGCCACTCCGTCCCATGTTTAGTATGGTAATCGGGAAAACAAAATTATTTAACATGTATCTTTTTTTCAGCAATAAATAGAAATATCTGTGTTAGTTATGAAGAGATAAACATAATTTCTTCTTAAGCAATTACAATAAAAGCTTTTTTCTTGAAAAAGTTTAATGAATGTATCTTTTGAACAGCACAAGGTCAAGAAAAGCCTATGCGTGGTAAATTGAAAGAACAGGATGAGCGTAAAATCCGCAGCAACTGGATGCTGCTGCTGGAAGAGCTGGACGGGGAGCATGTAGTGAATCAACTGTACCAGAAGAACATCATCACATTAGATGACATGCATCAAGTCAAAGCTGAGAAAACTCCCAGGAAAAGGACGGAGGCACTGCTCAAAGTGGTTCTGCATGCTGGACCAGGCGCAGCGTTTAACGAATTTGTTTCTGCTTTGAAGGAAGTTTACCCACATGTTGCAGAGAAATTATCTTAGTTTAAGCTTCTTTTTTTTAAATTAATTTTAATTTTGCTGTATAGGCTTCATTGTCTTTTTATATTGTGATAATCACTTCAATAACAATGCAAATGTGTGTTTGAATATATAAAAATGAATTTTTAAACCTGGCTTATTAATTTTTATTGGTATTTGTATGCATGAGAAAAAAACTTACTTTTACTATTTTGGTTACACTTACATTTACTTTCTATGTACTCATAGTGTAAAAATTCGAAATCTGTTTAGAAATCAGAAGAAGATAAAAAAAACAGTGCATAACTGTTGTAACTATTCTAAATGATTATGTGAGATAGTATCAGTATGGTTGAATTGTAGAGAGCTTGATTCTACCTACTAAATAGCTTTAGTTTCAAGGGCTCAAATTCATACACTGTCCCAAGCAAAGACCAGCAAAAACCATGTGGTAAAACTGTGCTATTAAACTAATTAGTGCACACACACAAAAATACGCACAATGAAATATGCACACTCACACACAAAAAAGCATATAAAAATTCTCCCACAGGGGTCGTCCATAAATGGCATCACAATCGTTATTGATTTTTGTGACTAATGGGGGAGGGTTCAGATAGTGTGATGTCACATGATTGCGTTAATAAAAGGTTATGCTAGAAATTGTATTTTAGCGGTTATTTTGCATTTTTGAAACCTTTTTTTGTAAAGCGTAATAGGAATTGATTAAAGTACTTTGTGTCAACTGAGCTGGGACAATATTTTAGAAATAAATAAATTTAAACAAATAAAAATTAAACTGCAATTTTAAGGACAGTTGTAGATTGAGATGTGAATTCATTTGAGGGGGTGGGGAATCTGGCTATTTGTCAAGAAGGGAGGGGGGGGAAGGTAAAAAATAATAGTGTGTCGTCATTTATTGACAAGCCCATGCAGAAAAAAAAATTATGTCTAAAAAATTATTCTAAAATATGTAGATAAAAGTTACACACAAGAAAACGTTGCAACTTTTACAACAGACCAAACCAATAACACAAGAAAGTGCATTATTGAGATTACACTTACTCAAAACAAAGAGCTGAGAAGAAATTGTTGCAAAATGAAATTAGGGCGTTGAGGGAGATATATATATATAATGCACACAGATAATGCAATAAGAAGGGATATGTGCATAGTATAAATTTAGCTCACAGAAAAACATACGCCTCGTAATATTATAACGAACGTTCAACCATTAATGATGTTACACTTATTTGTGGGATATACTTCCTTCCTCCCATCTTCAGAAACAGTCAGGTATATAAAATGACATTTCAGTCCAGAACTACCCCCCCCCCCCTCAACCCAAAGTATACATTTTTTCTATATAAATTTAATAAAGTATAGCCCAGGTCTATCTATATATATAATTCTCTTCTGGGAGACGCTAGAAAACAAGCTGTAAACGCGCTCCCTACCACCCCCACCCCTACATGGTCTGGTGAGCTGTGGTTCACTCTAAATGTTTACAAACAGAGCCGGGTTTAGTGACGGCTATTAGGGGCAGATAATTTAGTTTGAAACGATTTTAAACGTAGGGGGGGGGGGGGGTAACTAAGTGGAGTTTACTTTTACGGAGGGGGGGGGGGAGTAGGGGGGGGGTATCGTCCTCAACGAGCTAATTATAGTGTTTTAAAGAAATATTTTCAGTGGCAGCGTTCGTAGTGTCGAATTCACAAATTATGAATAACTGAAAAGTAGAAAAAACAACAACTAGAGTCTAAATAGCGGCGTATGATATGCCGCGGGGCGGCTCGTATATTTTTATTTTGTCCTTGAAGAGATGCCTGAAAGAAACTCCTGCTACTACGATGGTGGCATGAACAAAACTAACACTGAATTTAAATTTTATAAGATTTTAGTAATAGAGCAAGAAATTTTTAAAATCAGACAATTTAATTTCTATAACAACGTTACTTTCAAGCTGTTAATAGAGTCCTTGCAAACACGTGACCTAAATCACGTGATACCTACGCCCGCCGCCACAGTGGTGTACATCAGACGTAAACACAATCAGCTGTTCGCCAGCGCTGGACGTGTTCACCAGCGCTGAACGTGTTCACCGTATGTAAAGAATCGCGCCCGCGGAAAAGGAAAAATATGTTAAAAAACTTGAACTCTTAGGAATTGAAGATACTTATACAGTTATTGACAGTTTCGTGGATAATATAAATATGTGGCCGAAATTTCTAAATAAAAATACTGTTAGTAATACCGTTTGCGTTTAGAGTTTAAGTAGACGAAGCTGATCAAATGCAGTAATATATTATAGGTTATCTACTGTAGCAAACGTGAGACCACTTAACTCCTACAAAACCCACACTACAACGGCTAATATAATCCATGGGTAATAACCAATCTGGGTAGCATGTTATACAATTTAAGACCCTTATAATCCAGCAGGGAAGTAATCAGACACATTAATACTGACGTTCAACCCTCATGGTGGCTGCCCCCACCTGTATCTAGCCCACAATAAAACCTAAGAGGAGTCTGCCCTGCCCTCCCCTGAAAATGTCTCACCTCCGTGATACCCAGCCCCACAGAGATAGTATTTCTTATATAATTTTGACCCTCAGGGCCCAGCAGGGAGAACAAATGGGAAAGTCCCACTGCTCTCCCCTCAACACTTCTCACCTCGGTGTCATGTTATGTCATTTATAGCACACATGGCTTATCAGGGGAAAGCATTAAGGCATTAAGAATCTTAACTCTGGACAGCTACACACTAGTATACTAGCTACACACTAGGTGCCTACTGTAAACTACTAGACTGTAGGCCCTATGTAGACCTGCAATTGTATCAATTGTAGACTGGGTCCATTGTTATTATTCTAAACCATCTCACTTATAATGTTTCTAGCTTGATTTTTTTCTTTTATAAACAGTGGATTTTTTTTTAAAAATTAGCCTAATCATTAACCAAATAATAATAATGTGGTTATTTGTTGTTGGCTGGTATGATCTAGATTGTACTACTAGGCTACAAAAACTTAGTAGACCAATTACTAGATATGAATTTGAATTTAATTAAACTCAGTCCAGTATCAGATACATATTGCTGTAAAAAGACAACAAAGTAGGTAGGCCTTAGTAATTTATTAAAGCCTTCTACTACAATAATATCAACTACATGCTTGTATAAAGTTTTTACAATTTAATTTAAGTAGCAGATTCTAGATCTAAGTCTAGTCATACTAGAATTTCAGAAAATTTCGTTTGCTAAAAAAATGATTAGATAATAGAGCAAGATTTTAGATCTTAGAGACAATTAAATGCTTTATTAGGCCTATTATGACTACTTTTGATTTATTATGGGTGTATTTTGAATCGAATGTAGATCTAAAGTAATTAAATTTAAGTAAAGAAGTAGATTCTAGATTCTATGTCTACCCAGCGGAGCCAGGTATTAGGCCTACTATTAGATCTTATTATTCTTATTATTACTTTTGACTTTGTCTTTTACTATTTGTATTTGTGAAGGTCGAGCATATTTGTTTTATTAATAGTTATCTTTTATAATTAAAATGGAGTTTATTATTTTACTGTCCTTACCTGAAACAAAGTATCGAAAACTGCATTTGATCAGATTCGGCTACTTTAACTCTAAACGCAAACAGTATTACTAACAGTATTTTTATTTAGAAATTTGTCCACATATTTATTTATACGAAACTGTCAATAACAGTATAAGGATCTTCAATTCCTAAGAGTTCAAGTTTTTTAACGTATTTTTCCTTTTCCGCGGGTGCGGCTCTTTACATACAGTGAACGCGTCCAGCGCTGGTGAACACGTCCAGCGCTGGCGAACAGCTGATTGTGTTTACGTCTGATGTACACCACTGTGGCGGCGGGCGTAGGTATCACGAACGGACGTGACGTCATATGAAAGGACTCTATAAGATCTAAATGTGTTAAGTATTCTTTCTGTTGAGTTTTGTATGTTAGTTATACCCCAGGGAATCAAAGCCCAGCAAATAAACTAGTCTATATAGTCAATAGTCTATGCCTAGTGGTAGCCTAGGCCCAGCATCTAACTCTAGGTATAACTAGATTTTAAAATGTTTCTCTTCCTTCAACTCAAAAAAAGAACATGCATAATTGCATCGCATAATTTATTAATTTCATCCACAGTTTATTAGGGTTTGTTTAGTTATCTTTTTCATGTTCAGTTCAGTAGTCAGTTGAGTTTTCATTTCTTTAAATAAAAATCGGATATTCCCTATTTTTTGTAGTTTGAGTTTCCGCTTAGGGCTTGCTTAGGCTACTCATACTGTAAGTAAGCGGCTTTAAAAAACTAGCTTACACGGTGGATCTACAAATCTAGATTCTAGATCTATATTCTACTATTCTAGACTAGCATTTCTATTCTCCATATAACGTTAGTTATTTACAACAGTGAACTAACAGAACTATTGTATAAATCAAATCAATTTGGTGGTACACTAGCTAGTTCTAGTCTAGAGTCTAGCTGCTAGCTAGAGCCTTACACTACACTTAATTAATTTTTAGTATATATTATATAATTACACTACAGTAATTTACACTTTACAATTACACTTACTAAAATACTCAGACTAGATCTATAAACTATAAATTATTACTAGGTCTAGATCTAGATTCTAGATCTATAGATTATAGATCTAGATTGTAGATTAGTACGGTTCGTTGTTAGTAGTGTAGGCCTAAGAAGTGTGTATAGTACTTTAAACTAGATCTAGTTTAAACTTACTAGATCTAGATCTATTTTTTAGTGTACTTTTACTCTACTACTAGATTTTATCTAGATCTAGATCTAGTACTAGCAGTAGTAGAATTTAGTACTAAATCCAGATCTAGACTAGTTAGGCCCCTACTTGTTAGTATATCACTCAGTATCATTTTTTGTAGATCTATCATCTAGTTATAATTTTATTTTTAGGAATAGGTAACCTGCCCCTATACTCTATAGGTAGCCTACCTATATATGATTTTTCTCTATATACGGTAAAAAAAAAATAAAAGTAAATGTGCTTCGACACTGTTCATCTAAGTGCCATGAAACTTTGGAGAGTAGATGAGAATACTCCCAAGAAGATTTCTGCGAAAACAAAATTAAAATTCCTTATGGGTGACGCCTGGGTGGAGCATGTTTTGTCAATACATGTTTTGGCCCCCAGAGTTCCAGAGCGGCTATGTTAGTACTTGGCATCCGTTAATCGGGCATTCTGTATAGCGAGTAAGGTGTACTACTATATTCCGCTGCAAAACTGCAACAGGCGCAACTGCCTGCGCCTTGTCCATTGCGCGACCCGAAGTGCCCCGGGCCCACCTGCGAGCACTATGGCGCCTACGTTTGTTTTTCAAAAAAGGTTATACATTATAGACATGATAGGCCACCAAATCTTTCATTTTGAACAGCACGATAGGCTATGGATACAATGGGTTACTATAGTCGCTCACTAAATCGAATCAGGCGTTCCTGCAGGGTGTGATTTGACCTTAGTTTTAAGGAGCACCCTACAATACGACATTCGATGATTAAACCAAGCTAGGGGCAGTATGCGGAGTAACTAAATATTGTAATAGAATAGCGAATGTTTATTGTTTATTATTGTTTATTTTTATTATTATATCGTTTATTACCGAGTATTGCAGAATAATTTTTGTTATGGGTTTTAAAAATAAAATAAAATAATTTTTAATATTTGTGCATTGAGCTGAAGAGCCGCATCTTGACATCAAAAGAGCCGCATGCGGAGCGCGAGCCGCAGGTTACCAACCCCTGTTCTAGGCCTATAGGCTATAGTATAGGCCTATGTTACAATATTACATATTAATAACAATTATTCCTGAAATTGAACCAGGCCTATTTGTAATGTACTAGAAATCTACCCGCTTCTTATCTGATCTAGAGATCTTTTACAAATTTTAAAGAAAGAATATAATTAGGCCTATAGGCCTACTCCCTATAGTAAATACTTACATAGTATAGAGCAAGGGGAAAGTGGGTAACTCCTACCCCTGCCCTAAGGAAAAATATTAATAAAAACAAACTCAAGTGAAGTTGGGAACTGTTCCTTTCTTCTGTGAAGCAATCCTATTGTAAACTAGACCAAAAAAGTATGGTTTTAATGTGTAATTATTAAAAAGAAGTGCACAGTAGTTAAGATAGAAATGAACAAAACTGTACTGGCACACATATGATTATAACTATTGATAATATAATATCTAATACTAGGGCAGTTAGTTAGCACCTGGGGTAGATCTACATTTTATCTGCTAGTGCATGGATGGTTTAACCGACTTTGACTGCAAACAAATATCTGCTTCACGTTTGTTATTGACGAAGTTTGCCGAACAAAAACATATTTATATTTGAAGTAGAGTGATTTTATCAGTATGTTTAAAACTTGATACGCGGATCCTCTACAGTATAGCACAGTTAGAAAGATAGCCTAACACTACATCAAACAGTGACAAAACACAAAATAAAACTTCTGGCTTCTCATTTACAATCAATTCTGCTATTTTTTTGTCAGCATTTAGATCTCATTGTTTAGAATTATGCAAATGTGTAGGCCTAATTGTGACTCTATTGGTTAGGTTAAGCTTGATGAGGGTGCTACGGATTTCCCACATCTACCCTGATAGCATGCCTTACTATAGACTTCTATAATAGTTAACTATCTGCAGAATTCTAATTTGAAGTGGTCCTGAGGTACTAGAACTAGAGATCTAAATATAGTCTTATATAGGAGAAATTTCACTTTTTTAACAAAATTATTCCAATATCACATTTTATAGTTAATATTATCTGATCTAAATCAACTATCAGTTATTTATACTAAGCCTAGACCTAATGTTTATGAATCCAGGTCAGTTCTATAGTCTATACTTCTATGCCTTTCCTTGTTCTTGGGTTGAGAGGGAACAAGCTAAATGTTGTACAAATTTTATCATTCAACTAAAATTAAAGCTCTTCCATTAACATATTTTGCAATTGTTTGGAACTTACCATGTACGACATTAAAGCCTGCTTAAAACCCATGCTTGATACATTATACTACAATAGACTGTAATGTATAGCATCATAAGTCTCCTTTTACTTAGTAAAAGTTTAACTTGTGAGCTCTTTTGTGAAGAATGAGGCTATTACAATAGACTGCACATCCTTATATTTATATTAGTTTTATTGTTCCAGTACTGAATCTATGTGGTATTGTTGCTAATTAATTAAAGCTCTCATTATTTACCACAGGACTGAAATTTAAATTGAAGTGCTATGTCATTTTTTTAATAACATCCTACATTACAGCTTCCAAGATGTTTCATTAAATATCCAGACAAGACTTCTATATAAAGGGCAAGATGGCCGATACCACATCAGGTTAGTTAATTAAAAGCAATTTATCTACACCTACATTTAACTTGGGATAGTGTGGTCCAGTAGTAGAGCATACTAACCTGAAGGTCTGTAGTTCAGACAATGTGCTCAAGTTCTTTGGATGACCTTAAGTCCACCTAGCTCTGATGAGTACCTGATGCTTGTTAGAAAAAATGAATGCTGTGGCATTGAATTGACCACACTATCCTTTCTTATGCTGAGGTCACATACATTGCCTTAATGACCATCAGGTTCAAAAGGATACCTTTCACTTAAATAATTGTCATTTAAGAATAAATAACTTCACAGAATTTAGTGAATTTGTAAAAAATTAGCAAGCATGATTAACACCAGACTAATTGGTACAAATAGTTTTGTCTGATTTATCACATACATGATGGTAGTTGTGTCTCAAACTGAATGTGCAACAGCCAATTTACAAGAATCCCTTTGATGAAGAATTTGTTAATATAGAGTCGGATCCTGTTTAACCTATACATTTCTTGGAAGGGGGGGGGGGGGTGTGATTTTAAAAATTTCCACTCCACGAAAACAAATTTCTTTACACTAGCACCTATAATTTATCAAACGGCTTTACATTGTTTTTAATCAAGTTTAATTATGAGCATATTTTTTTAATTAAAAAGAAATGTTTGGCAAATGTAAAGAAAAAGCAAAGTTCTCCTTTCAGACCTAATGATCAGTAGAGCAGTTGAATTGGAGTTATGTTTCTTGGCACTTGTCTTTACTTTCCCCAACATGAGTCAGGTACCCATCAGAGCTGGTTGGCTCTACTGCTGAACTGAGATCCGAACTTAAGACCTTTGAGCTAGTAGTAGAGCATCCTACCACTCAATCACGCCATGACATGTTCTGCATATTTAGTCTAATTTAAATAGTTATTTATTAAAATTGCCAATTTTTATTGTCTACCCACGTATCTCAGAGTCTGTTGTTTACAATATATTTTTTCTTTATCTAACCAGTATCTCCTGAATTTATTGTCTATCCACGTATCTCAGAGTCTGTTGTTTAAATTTTTTTTTATTTATTTATTCAGTATCTCCGGAGTTCCCAGATAACTGGGAAAAAGGGGAGGCTATTGGTAAAGGACAATTTGGAGTTGTGTTTCTTGTAGTGGACAAAGATCACCCACAAGATAAAAAATTTGTAGGGAAAGAAGTTCAGGTTTCCTCTGACAAAGAAAAAGTAAGCAAATGTTTTTTATTTGATCTGCCAATGATAAGTATTATTGTATGTCCAGGTATTTCTTTTGTGAGTATTGCTGTAAGGGTTAAGCCAATGGTTAGGGCCTGGTTCGGGTCATGGGTAAGATTTTGACAGGAGCAGAACATAACACATTGTCAAATACCCCTTGCCAATTCCCTAACCCTGACAATTTTCCCCACACCCCCCCTCCCCCATTTTGATAACCAATTAAACCACAGTCAGTAAGGTAATCTTAGGATTTTAAAATATTATGGAGGGTTGGTCTTGTCGGGCTGATAGTTGCTAAACCTAAAAGTCCTGAGTTCAATATCCCTGGAAGATAAGGCTGGATAGCTGGGTACATCTTGTAGAGAGAACAAAATCAAACAACTGCTGCCTTGTAGTTTGTTCTTGAATCGCTGCCTTGTAGCTTGTTCTTGAGTTGACAAAAGCTATGAAAGCAAATTCTGATAGAAAAGGAGTATGAAGTTGGAACCAACGGTCAATATGGTGCACAATATGTTGACAGGTAGTTCTCAATTATGTTGGAGGAAATCCTATTCAACATTACAATTAAGAACAAAGAAGAACTAATATTCTGGAGGGAATAAGCTTATTTTGCAGTTATTTATTCCTCTGTTTGTATGAAATAGGATTATAAAGAATACAAGTTTTCTCAATTTGCTTGTAACAATAGGTATTTGCTAGAAGGGTTAGTTACCATAATTCCCTATTCCTGAATTAGGTGAAGGGGTTTGAGTCTCTGTGTGCTATTGTACATTTAACAATATAAACTAAACACAACATCTGATATAGCTCTTTTTGTAATCATATTGTTAAATTATTCAGTAGAATTTGCTTAGCGCCCTGCAAGTGGTCATAGATGATCAATAAGTGTTAACATTAAATTTGCTCATAAAATTAAGATTTTACTGAGAATTTAAGAACCATTCTATGGCATAAATCATTCTTTTCTATTTTCATGAGTAACTGGGTTTGTTTGTTTTTATCAATATTCTGTTAGCTAATTGTTCCTTTATAATTAAGCATGTAAAAAGTGTTGCAAAAAAGATAAAGTTTGAATTTGGTTAACGATCAAAATGATATGATAGGATTAGCAGTATTACTCAACTTCTAATTAATTTTATGATGATATCAGAAACAAATTTCCCTTTTTTGTAAATTGCTTATATTTTTTCACTTACAATATTATTTTTATTCTATTGTCATTTATTATCCCTTTATTTGTGTAGTTTATTTACTTAGAATATCAGTTTGAACAGTAATGTTATGCAGAGATCCTTATAGCAATTCTTTACTCACTTTCAGCAAACTCAGAGTGCAAGAGAGCTAGAGATCCTAAGGTTGCTCAACCATAAAAGAATAGTTCCATTCTATGGCTCGGTCAAAAAGAAAGATACAATTTACATGTTTATCGGCTACATGAAAAAGGTCAGTGATGAAAATGTCCTTTTGTTCTTCCTTTACGTTTCAGCATTCAAGGATTATTAGTTAAAAATGACAAACGTTTAAAGTAATAAAAATAATTTAACTTTGTTAAATCTTTTATACCTAGCCCTGTAACATTTTTCTTGTTTGAGATGAAACAGTGTATTACAGTATTCTTCTATTTATAATAGGACAAACAATAATTAAAATTTAAGTAATTTGAAAACAAAAAGTTATTTTCTCCACCTGTTATTTTGCCCAAAACGTGATACCATTATAAATAAGTATGTAAAAAGTGTTGCAGAAATTATTAGGCTTATGTTTGAGCTTAGAAAAAGATTGAAATGCTGGAGTAAGAAGATCAGTTTCTTTGTTCTTACAAAATCTTTTAGTTTAAAAAAAATGAAGTTTTTATTATAAACGAAGCCTTAAAATTTATAAAGTGACTAGTACAAAAAGGTCAATATCTCAAAAATAAAAATATAGCCTATTTATAACTGTCATTTACTTTTATGCTTTCAATTAACAAAAGAAGAATATTCTGGAAACTGGAGACACCAATAGCATCTAAGTATTTTTTTGTAAAGAAAAAAAACTACTTTGAAAAATCATTCAATTGATTTTATAAAATTAATCTATAGGGCTCATTAACTGATTATATACTGAAAGAAAATGGATTAACAGAAGAGAAAACAAGACTTTTCACCAGGCAAATCTTGGAAGGTGTCAACTATCTACATGCTCAAAAGCCTAATATTATACATAGAAATATAAAAGGTAATTCTTAAAGAATTATTAGAATTTTAAATCAATTTAAAATAATAAAAACTCAACTTTGAATTTAGAGTTAAAACAAGCTTTAAAATGTATGCGTTATCCTGATCTTCTTTCTTCATTCTTAATTGTAATTTCCTCCAACACAATTAAGCATTATGTGTCAATCTGTTATGGGCCGTATAGGCTGTTGACTCCAATTTCAGCCTGCTTTTCTTTCTGAATTCGCTTCCATAGCTTCTATCCATCCAAGAACAAACTTCATGGCTGCAGTTGTTTGATTTTTGAGTTTTCTCTTCCAGCTTGGTTGCTGTCCCCACTTATAGAGCCTCATCTGCCCAGGGTTTTGAACTTGGGACATTTTGTTTTAGCAACCATGAGCTTTACCGGCCAAACCACTATAGCCTTATCCAGATGTTTAAATTTACTCCATTTGTAGAACAGCTGCTTGAATACTGTCTTTAATTACTGAAGGCCTATTTTTAACTTAGCAACACTATTCATTGGCCGCAGCAATCTTGATTTTGTAACTCTGCTTTTCCTGTATAATTTTAAATTATTTTTATTTTGTGTCTTTTGTGTATTTTAAAATTAAATATTCTTGTCATTAAAATTAAATGTGAGCTGTCGTTTTTTTTAAATATTTCAAAATAAAATTTCTTTTGCAGCATTTCTTTACAAGAAGAATACACAATCTATTCAATAAATTTTTCCATATAAAAATTTTATGTTACAGGTAAAAATGTTCTCCTTGAGGATGACAATAATGTCCGTCTAACTGACTTTGGTTTTTCAAAAATCTTGCACGACAGCACCAACGCTCGCTCCAATTTGGGCACGTACAAGTGGATGGCACCTGAAGTCGTTTGCGCTGTTGGAGAAATCTGCTATGACGTCAAGGCCGATATTTGGTACAGTGTGATGATATTTATGTAACATTTTAGTCCTTCATAATATGCATAATGATTCATAAATTTTCTAATTTTTTTTAGCAGAAGATCACTTATTCTGGAGTGTAAAAACATACCTGTTCAAAATGTAAATTATTATAATTAGGTCTTCGTCTTTATAGATCTGTTTTCAATGAGCCAATTAATGAAGACATATTTATTGCTTTAATTATTATTAAACCCATTAGCAAGTCTATTTGTCTTTCACTGTTAAAACCAGCTTCTAAAAAACATATATTTAATATTATTTTGTTGGTTGGTTTGTTTTTGGGCTGTCAAAGACAGTATTTTAGTATAGAGCATTAGACCACTATTATCACTTATTTAATCTGAAAGCTACTTCATGTAAACTGCTTTATCCAAAAAAAATGTCATTCATACTACTTTTTTCTTTAACTCTTTTGTCATGTAAACTTGTTGATCTGAAAGATTTTGTCATTCATACTTCTTTATCTGAAAGCTTTTAAAATGTATACTTCTGTATCTAAAACTTATGTCATTTAAACTTCTTTATCTATTTTATCTGAAAGCTCTTGTCATCCATACTACTTTATCTAAAACTTAGGTCATGTAATTTTAACTACTTTATAAGCTCAATTCACGTAAACTACTTTATAAGCTCATTTCACATAAACTACTTTATTTGAAAGCTCCTTTCATGTAAACTACTTATCTCATGAAATCACCAGGAGCATTGCTTGCACAGTTGTAGAGATGGCCACCACGTCGCCGCCATTCCCAGAGTTAACTCCCTTTCAGGCACTGATTAAAATAGGCCGTGGTGATGCACCTCAGTACAAACTTCCAGAAAATTCCTCAGAAGCTTTAAGAAACTTTCTCAATCGTATATTTAAACTAGATCCCAAGGAACGTCCGACATCTGAGGAACTGTTAAAAGACACATTTATAGCAGGTAATCAATCATTTTTTTTAAATTAAAGTTTTTCCATACAACTTATTTTCATTAATTTTTACGTAGTAAATGTCTAATACCCAAATACTAATTCAGCTGGCAAAATAAAAATTTTCCTATACTATGAACATGCATTTATCTTATTGAAAGATGCAGTTGGTAACCTAATTCATCATCTTTTCCTCTTTGTGCACAAGGCGCATGGGGCCACCACAGAAAGCTCCACTTTTGTCTGTCACCGGCAATTTTCCTGGCAGTCCCCCAAGACAATCCTGCCTCTGCCGGCTGCTTCTGTGCCATGCGCCTCCATGTCTCCCTTGAACTTCCCTGCTTTATGTTTCCCAGAGGCGTCCTGTTTATCGCCTTTCCTGCGATATATTCTGGATTCATTCTTAGGACATGCCCCATCCAGCACCATCTACTTTTTTCAATTATTTGGAAACCTAATTATCTGTGTCATATGTTGGTGAAGTTACCTTTTTGAACTTGGCTGTTTAAGGGGCAAAATAAAGGATTTACCTATGGTATAAGTGGCAATATTAAAATATTAATTACTGATGTGTAGAAACATTTAATTTTGGGATGGTGTGGTCAAGAGGTAGACCCTGTGCTTCATAATTAAAAAGCTTCAGCTTTTCCCAATATTACAATGTTCAGGAAACCAATGGATCAATTCAGCTGAGTCTTAGACAGGGAGAGAAAGTTAACCTTGCGTTAAAGCACACTAGTAGCACTAGTTGTTACAGAAACTGAAAAAATTCAACTTCACTTACCTTATGGACACACTAGTTTTAAACGTTTACATTACGTATGAGGTTTACTTTCCAATTGATTTTTTTTATTTCTATACAGTGAGTAAATTATCTGAGGATTTTCCCAAAAAGTGGACAAAAGGCAGACTTGTCAGTACAGGGTCACAGGGTGATGTTTACATTGTACAAGATGAGGACAATCCAGACGATGAATCGTTTGTTGTTAAAGAGATGATAACAACCATCACATCTAAAGATTTGCTATTGGTAATGTCAAGTGTTTGTGACTCAAATGTTATTTGTGAAATTCCTATCTTATATTTGATATATGAAGACCTAAAGATGTGCATAATGTATTGTTTAAAATAATTTTTTAAATATGATTTTATAAACATACTATAACAATGTTACATAGTTTCTTTTTTTTAACCTGACGGTCCATGAGGCAAATGAATCAGAGTTCACCTGTTTGTGTGACCTCAGCATATAAAGGGATAGTGTGGTCAGCACTATGCCCAGCTGCATGTACTTTCCCCAACATGAGTTAGGTACCCATCTGAGCTGCGTGCACTTATGTACGTTATTCTGATTAGAACCCAGAATCAAACTTGAGACTTTCGGGTTAGTAGTCTAAGTGCTGTACCACTATGCCATGCCATCCCACATAGGTATGTATAATGTTGCATATAGAGCTTTTATTTGATGAAATAAAACCTAATTTTAGACATTCTGTAACAATAGTTGTTTACTAAGTGCTATCTGTGATACTGTATTTTTGCTGTGTGTTTATATTTATTTGCAAGTAAATTTAATGAATGAGATTTAATGAATGAATTTAGAATTGAAAATTAATTAAGATGTTTTTTGTGTTGCAGAAACTGTTCAGAAATGAGACAGATGTGCTGACCAAAGTAAAACATGAAAAGATTGTCACATTTTACGGTTTCTGCGAGTCAGGAAACACACTGTCTCTCTTCATGAGATATATGAAAATGGTAGGAATGTTTTATCGTAAATTTGCAGTGACAGCTCTAATTATTGTTACATGTTAATGTATTGAGTTTAGGTATATATTTAACTAGCTTATACCTATGCTTCACTATGGCAATTAGAAATTATGCAACGCTGTCACTGACACCCGCCAAATTTCCCTTCCACCCTTCTCCTTGGTTTAATTTAAATTGCTGTTGAACAACATGCTTCCCCCGCCATTTGCGCCAAGGAGAGCAATCAACCTTCCCATGCATGTTAAACTTGTCTTCCCAGGCATCCATACCCAGGGAGAGCACTCCCCACGCATGACCACATTCTCCAGCTGTAAAAGTAAAGACGAAGTGGCTATACCAATGACAGTAGGAATGAAAGACATAAGGTTGCACCAAGGGACCTTGCGCCATCTATGCTTATCATATAGATAATGCATGAAAACAGAAGTAGTTGTAATATTTCTGTTAAAATTAAACCTACCAGAACATGACAATGGGTTGTTATATAATACTAATTCCATAAGTGAATGAAGAGAAAGTCTCTTCTTTGCTAAACTGAGGCATAATAATCTATCAGGCTTATGGAAAATGCATAAACACATACTATAACAACTGCAATGTATACAAATTAATTAAACACAAGATCAATTACATTTTCTTGAATTCCCTGAAAATTTTCATGGATTGAATTCTTTCCTTATTAATGGGCAAAGGCTTATTGAATTGTTTGGTTATTTAAAAAAAAAGAGAGGCAGAACATTAGAAAGAAAAATTCTTACCACACCGAAATAACTATGATAAAGTCATCTTATAAAATTATTTTGAGGTGGCTAACTGAAATATATATTAATTAAAATACATTACTCAATGTAATAGAAATGAAATTTCACAAATGTTCTTGAGTTAGTTAAATATTTCAATAATATATTTTAGGGATCTCTTGAGAACTACATCAAAACCAAAGGACCATTGAAGGAAAAACAGGCCCAGAAGTTCACCAAAGACATCCTGGAAGGTGTCCAATATCTCCATGCCAACAATGTCATTCATAGAGATATCTCTGGTACTTTATCATAATTTTAATAATTTTTTTTTTTACCAGGACTTTTTCTACCATCTGATTAAACAAATAACATATACAAAATCACTTTCCTCTGTTATCTTCTTTACAATCTTTATGACTCATCTTTTTATTTTTTGCATGCAGAATTTTAGGCCTGGAAAATCTACTTTTCTTAAACTCAACTTCTTTCTTACTTATTTAAAGTTGTTATTTTAACCAATACAAAATTCATATTGGGTATGTTTTATACAAATTTGTTACTGGAAAGTAAATACATCCTTAAGTCTCTATTAAAAAAAAAATTTACATTTTTTTTTTTCAACACATGGCTACTTGACTGGTGTCTGCGTGGTTGAGTCGGTAAAGCTCATGGTTGCTAAACCGAAAAGTCTCGAGTTCGAACTCTCTGGCAGATGAGGCTCGTTAGCTGGGGACAGCCACTCTTCTAGGAGAGACAACTCCAAAATCAAACAACTGCAGCCTTGTAGTTTGTTCTTGGTTGGACAAAGTCTATGGAAGCAAATCCAAAAAGAAAAGCAGGCTGAAATCGGAGTCAATGGCCTCAATGGCGCATAACCAGTTGACATGTAATCCTTAATTGTGAGGGAAGCATGGTCGAGTCGGCAAAAAGCTCATGGTTGATAAATTCAAAAAAAGTCTCGAATACAAACCCTCTGGCAGATAAGGCTCGATCCCTCCCAATACTAAAAATTAAGAACGAAGAAGAAGAAGAAGTTTCACCATAAATAACCATTTCACATACACATTTGCAACTGTGTTTCTCGCTAGTGTCCAATAAATGTGTGTTTTCAGGCAAGAATCACAGAAGGATTGTGTAGAAATTTTCTGTCATGTTACTGAGTTTTAGTATTTTTCCTCTCTTGATCTCACATTCTGGCTATAGAATAGGCCTTCGTCTTTAATAATAGCGTCATTGTCATATTTAAAGCTTAGTCCAACGTATACAAATATTGAAGCATGTCTATTCATCAATGAATACTTCAACACCCCCTGTTGGAAGTCAAGTTTCCTTATCAGACCTGTCTAACAATGGGGTAGATAAAGTGATGTTTATCTGTTCCTTGAGCTCAGCTAATTAAGAGATAGTATGGTCAGCACTGAGTCTAGCCAGTTTTATTTTCCCTGACTTGAGCCAGGTCGTCATTAGAGCTGGGTGGCCAAAGGGATACTCTACGGAATCAAGCCTGGATCTGAACTGGATCTTATTTTTGGGTTAGCGGTTGCGCACTCTACCATCCAACTATGCTGTCCCATCCCTAATACATAGTTTAACAAAAATGAATAACTATGAATATTTTTAAACTGCCATGAATTTTATCTTATTTTGTATCTATATCTTTAGGTAAACACATCTTCCTTGAGTCTGAGGAGAATGTCAAGCTTGGAGGGTTTGGTGTGTCCAAAATTCTCCGTGATGACTGGAATGTCAAGATTTTACTGAAGCAGGAATCTGAGTTGATCTCACCTGGATCCATCAACTGGATGGCGCCTGAAATGGTTGCCGCAATCATGGATGACCATGGCAGTAGTTATGATGATAAAGTGGATATATGGTAAGTGGATTTTTAAGTCTTGTAGCTGTCACATTTTCAATTAAAGCAAATCTCAAATTAAAAGTAAAAAGTCATGAAAATATCACTGTATATTTTTATAAACTTGTTTTTACAACAGCTTGATAGAGTAGGCCTATGTCATGATCCATACCTTTTTAGGATAAACACCGATTATCTGCAGTATAATATTTTACATCAAAATATCTCTATGTGTATAATTAAATCGCAAAATCGCATTTAATTTTTTAAAATTATTGTAAATATAGTCATTTTGTTTAAATGAAAACAGAACATACATGTCGTTCTTACTCAAAAGCTGACCATTTCTTAGAGTTGTAGTTTAAAATAACCTGATTGACTTAAGTAGATATTGATCATTCCTTTACTGCAGTCAGTCGTAATAGTATTTCCCCTACTTCACTTCAATGAATACTTTGATTTATTTCCCTTGTTTCTTTTTTTTTACTGTTACCTCCCTTGGTTATTGGGGGTTTGGTTTTATATATATATATATATGTGTTTGTGTTATATTTTTTTCTTTGCTATAAAAAGATATTATTTTGATGAATTTAATGTGTTAGGAGTTAGTATCTCACTCTTAATGTTCCCACCTCCAGGAGTGTTGGCTGCACTGTTGTCCAGATGGTCACTGGCAACCCACCATTTATGGACCTGGAACAGCAACAAATTACATTTCAACTGGCCTCAGACAAGCCTCCAATCTTCAGCCTTCCAGAACATTCTTCCCCCGCCATCAGAAACTTCCTGCAAAAAACTTTCCATTCTCAGCCCAGTTTAAGACCTTCAGCTACTGAGTTGTTAACAAAAGATGAGTTTCTGATAATACCAATGTAAAAGATTTATTTCTTACTATATACAAGTGGTATATTTCTTCCTTTGCACATGTTAGAAATGCATTTCTTACAATGTCACATAAAAAATGTATTGCTTTCTATACATATGTAAGAGATGTATTTCATACAATGCCAATGTAAAAGATACAATTCTTACAATGTCATTGTAAAACATGTATTTCTTACAATGCCATATAAGAGATGTATTTCTTACAATGCCATATAAGAGATGTATTTCTTACAATGCCATATAAGAGATGTATTTCTTACAATGCCATATAAGAGATGTATTTCTTACAATACCTGGGAGATGTATTTCAATGTCAGCGAAAAAAAAGTATTTCTTACAATGCCAATCTAAAAAATATATTGTTTACAATGTCAGTGTAAAAATGTATTTCTTACTATACTGCTTTAAGAGATGGTTTTATTGTTACTGTAAGATGAATTTTTTATCAAATAATTATCAAAGAGATTTTACTACATCATATAACAGATAAGTATTTGCCAATCTCATTGTACTAGTTTTTCAAAAATGTCATTGTATAGGTTAAGCTGTCAACAGTGCCTTTGTAAAATACCATCATTTTAAAAGTTGGTTTCTTTTATCAATGTTGCTATTAAAGGTGATTTCTTGATTATTTTTGTGTGTGCAAAGGATGCCTCATGAGTGTTTGACAGCATCAGCAATGATGACTTAACTGTTGACCACTCGCTTATAGAAAACAAATTTAAAATACTGTTGAAATGTAATGATTACATATTCTTAGGAATTGAGACGTTGGTAGTTGTCTTCTGTTTGATTGTGTACTAACCATGTAAACACTAAAACAAACAACAGCTTAAACTTCCCTTGTAGATGTTTATAGTTAATGATTCAGTCAGTTTTTATTTAATGTTTTAAAAACTAGCCTACTTTTTGTTTTAGTGTGCAACATCAGCTGCTACTTAATGTCATTTGATTTAGCTGCAGATGTCATCTAGTTATGTTGATTCTAGCTACATTTTTGAAAAATTACATGAAACAGTATATTAGTTAAATTTTATTATGCATCCTTTTTTTTTGAAGGACAATGTGGTCGAATGGTAGAGCATTTGGTTGCTAGACAGAAGTTCTTGAGTTCAGATCTTGGTTCAGACTTGCGATTTTAGGACGTTTCTGAGTCCACCCAGCTCTGATGGGTGCTTGACTTTTGTTTGGGGAAAGCAAAGGCGGCCATGCATAGTGCTGACCACATTATTCCCTCATATGCCAAGGTCAAGAAACATTAACTCTACTAATCGATCACTAGGTCTAAAGAGGAACTTCATTTAATTTTACATCCCTTTTTGCATCCTAACTTACATCATTTTACTGCCTAGTTTTTTGTGTGTTAACCAGTCTTTTAAATAATTCCTTATTCCACATTTACTTGGCGAAATGTTAAGAAATATTTTGGACATAAATTGTTTTTTCTGGCAACTGCTGTAGACCTGCCTTCTGTTTTTCACTACCCATTTAGTGTTTTTTAATGTTTGAGAAACCCATTATGTCTCAATGCTACAGCACTCTCTGATCATTACACTAAGCTGTTAGAAATTTTGTGATATGGTTAGAAGGGCAAGTTTAAAAATATGATGTGGCAGTTAGATTTTTTTAAAGATAAAAGTAAGAAAATGTTGATGTATTTTCATTAGAATTGTTTTTTTTTTTTAGTTAAAGTTAAAGGCAAAGCTTTGTGAGAGGGCCCACATGTTGGCAAATAAAAAAAAAATCTGCAAATTTTCAAACACTTAACCAGCTTTTTATCTTTCAGCCTTGTTACCTATAATTTATGTAATGTTACATCTTTTACTGTGTTCTTACTTGTGGATTCATAGAACAATTTTCCGCTAAAAATAAATTTAGCTTTTTCTTGTCATAATTTTTTGTACCAATGTGGCAGATTCAAAGATGTAGCTTTTCTTTTAACAGGAAGTTCTATTTTTCCTTAATATAATGTTGATGAGAGACAGTATTTAAACTTTCATTTAATGTAATTTTTTAGTTTTATTTCCTTAAAATTTTTATTTCACCCGGAAAAAAAATAGAAACACCTTGATTGATTTTTTTAGGATATTATAGCTGTATTATATTACACACATGTAACATTCTGATTAACTAACTTAGCCATTCTCTATCATTATCTGCCGGTGAATCTTTATTAGAGTATTTTAATTATATTTATTTATCCCCATAATCTGTTTTAAATTATTTTAGTTAATTACTTCAGTTAAAGAATTTAAAAAGATAGATTATTTATTGTGATAATAGTGATAACAGTTGAAATTTTAATTTAACAGTTGAACTGAAGGAAAAAATGAACACAAGTATAGACTGAAGGTTGTCATGTGTACTTGTTTTTCATGTGGATGTTTCTAGTTTTTATATTACTGATGTAGTGATAGTTTTACCAGTGCTTTACTTTTGTTTATTATCAATTTATTTAATCTTTTCTTACAAGCATAATCTTATTTTTTAAAATGTATCTACAAAATATGTTTTTGAGTTGCTATTACATTTATGCAAGACAAATAATTTTTTCAAATCCTGAATCCATCAGTTTATGTAAATATGAGATACCTGCTGACTAAATTCTGTTTGAACACAATTTTTGTTGTTCTTGCTCTGCCTTAGATCAGAATAGGTGAAAACAATATTAGTTATTCTTGCCCTAGATTAGAATAGGTGAAAAAAATATTAGTTATTCTTGCCTTAGATCAGAACAGGTGAAAACAATTTTTGATGTTCTTGTCTTAGATCAGAACAGGTGAAAATAATTTTTGATGTTCTTGCCTTAGATCAGAACAGGTGAAAACAATTTTTGATGTTCTTGCCTTAGATCAGAACAGGTGAAAACAATTTTTGATGTTCTTGTCTTAGATCAGAACAGGTGAAAACAATTTTTGATGTTCTTGCCTTAGATCAGAACAGGTGAAAACAATTTTTGATGTTCTTGTCTTAGATCAGAACAGGTGAAAACAATTTTTGATGTTCTTGCCTTAGATCAGAACAGGTGAAAACAATTTTTGATGTTCTTGCCTTAGATCAGAACAGGTGAAAACAATTTTTGATGTTCTTGCCTTAGATCAGAACAGGTGAAAACAATTTTTGATGTTCTTGCCTTAGATCAGAACAGGTGAAAACAATTTTTGATGTTCTTGCCTTAGATCAGAACAGGTGAAAATAATTTTTGATGTTCTTGTCTTAGATCAGAACAGGTGAAAACAATTTTTGATGTTCTTGCCTTAGATCAGAACAGGTGAAAACAATTTTTGATGTTCTTGCCTTAGATCAGAACAGGTGAAAACAATTTTTGATGTTCTTGTCTTAGATCAGAACAGGTGAAAACAATTTTTGATGTTCTTGCCTTAGATCAGAACAGGTGAAAACAATTTTTGATGTTCTTGTCTTAGATCAGAACAGGTGAAAACAATTTTTGATGTTCTTGCCTTAGATCAGAACAGGTGAAAACAATTTTTGATGTTCTTGCCTTAGATCAGAACAGGTGAAAACAATTTTTGATGTTCTTGCCTTAGATCAGAACAGGTGAAAACAATTTTTGATGTTCTTGCCTTAGATCAGAACAGGTGAAAACAATTTTTGATGTTCTTGCCTTAGATCAGAACAGGTGAAAATAATTTTTGATGTTCTTGTCTTAGATCAGAACAGGTGAAAACAATTTTTGATGTTCTTGCCTTAGATCAGAACAGGTGAAAATAATTTTTGATGTTCTTGCCTTAGATCAGAACAGGTGAAAACAATTTTTGATGTTCTTGTCTTAGATCAGAACAGGTGAAAACAATTTTTGATGTTCTTGCCTTAGATCAGAACAGGTGAAAACAATTTTTGATGTTCTTGTCTTAGATCAGAACAGGTGAAAACAATTTTTGATGTTCTTGCCTTAGATCAGAACAGGTGAAAACAATTTTTGATGTTCTTGTCTTAGATCAGAACAGGTGAAAACAATTTTTGATGTTCTTGTCTTAGATCAGAACAGTTGATCCTGAACTTAAGGCATGCTTGACCTCTCACCTAGGAAATGCTGTCATCTCCTTACACAACCTCAGATTATACTTGCCTTAGATCAAAACAAGTGACCCCTGTACTTAAGTCTTACTTGACCTCTCACCTAGGAAATGTCCTCTCCCTACACAACCTCAGATTATACTTACCTTAGATCAAAACAAGTGACTCCTGATCTTAAGTCATGCTTGACCTCTGTTGTCATCTCCTTACACAATCTCACATTATATTTATTTATATTTCTAGAAAAAACAAACCCTACTGCTCTACCACCATACAATTTTTAAAAACCTCGCCATATGAAGGGATAGTTTAGTCAGCAGTATGCCCAGCCGCCTTTAATTTTCCCTAAAGTGAGTTGGGTACCTATTAGGGACATTCTACTGATTTGAGCCTATATTCGAACTGGATACTTTCTAGTAGCAATCTAGCGCCCTACCGCTAGGCCACACAGTCCCATCAAGAATAGGTTATGCGAATCACAGGAATCCTCTTTCCCAATGTTCATAAAAAAAACCGTTGATCATCATCACTGCCTGTAAACACTGCCGGTGTATAGGCAGCAAACAAAATATCTGGCCTTAGAAACAGTTGTCTAACTTTCGTGTGTTAAATAATGTGTAACACACTAAATAAGCAAATAATACGTTCATTCTTCACGTACACAGAGATAGATACACACATTCAAGTATACAATAGGTCGCTTTGCTTAATAGGCCTAAAGAAAACAAAAATTTATTTTGATAGAAAAACAGTAACCAACTTTAGGCTAATTTGCCCACCAAATAAATCAACAAAACCATAAACACTATAAATAAAAGGAAACCATTCCAAATTATTTTAGTCGCGTTTATTTCAAGTATGTGTGATGTATTTCACATCTCCCGTTGTCCCTGTCACAACTCACGCCGAAAAATATTGAGGTCTGTGCGCTTTGAATGACACAGTGGGTGATATACAGTTGACTAGACCCCCAGTCCTCCTCACTTATAGTTTAAGCCTTTTTTGGTGACCCTGTGAAATAACAAGAAACAATCTTTATGGTAGACGAAACAAATTGGTATAATTTCAAATGTTAAAGTAGAATATGTTTAGCCCTGTAGAAAACTGCAGCGTCTTGCTAGAGAGTAGAGAAATGGTGGGATTATAATGGGGAATAAAAGATGGTAGGTCTGTGGGAATAAAATGGGCTGATAAAAGATTGTAGGCTAATGGGAATAGCTGGATTATAATGGGAAATAAAATATTGTATGTCTATGGGAAATAAAAGATCTTAGTAGGATTGTAATGGGAACATATTAGTCATCTTATTCAGTTTTGGTATCATGCACATAATACAAATGACATTTTAAAAGACTAACTATCTTAATATCCAATAACCTACCCCATCCCCATCAATAGGACGATTGATTTTTTTTGTCTACTTTTATTCTTCGACAATTGGTTTACAGACAATATTTGGCCTAAAGAAATGTGGTCTACAGATAGTCAGGGTACATTAATTCGATTACCAAATTTTTTACTAAACGTTATCAAATTTTTAACCCTAACCCTCTAAAGCTAAGTAGCCTACGTTTCAATGGACTAAATGTCGGTAGGCTTAATGTCGGGGTAGACCAAATGTCGTGGTAGACCAAATGTCGTGGTAGACCAAACGTCATGGTATACCTAATGGAATGGTAGACCTAATGGAATGGTAGACCAAATGTCGTGGTAGACCAAATGGAATGGTAGACCAAATGTCGTGGTAGACCAAATGGAATGGTAGACCAAATGGAATGGTAGACCAAATGTCGTGGTAGACCAAATGCAATGGTAGACCAAATGGAATGGTAGACCAAATGGAATGGTAGACCTAATGTCGGGGTAGACCTAATGTTGCGGCAGACCTAATGGAATGGTAGACCAAATGGAATGGTAGACCTAATGTTGCGGCAGACCTAATGGAATGGTAGACCAAATGGAATGGTAGACCTAATGTCGGGGTAGACCTAATGTTGCGGCAGACCTAATGGAATGGTAGACCAAATGTCGTGGTAGACATGTTGTGGTAGACCTAACATCATTGTAGACCTAATGTCAGGATAGAACTAATATCGTGGTAGACCTAATGTCGTTTTAGACCAAATGACGTGGCAGACCAAATGACGTGATAGACGTAATGTCATGGTAACCTAATGTCGTGGTTGACCAAATGTCGTTTTAGATCAAATGTCGCATAAGGCAATATGTCTGTAGACCAAATGTCCGTAGACCAACTGTCCATAGACCAAAGGTCTGTAGACCAAATGTCTGTAGACTAAATGTATGTAGACTAAATGTCTGTAGACCAAATGTGTGTAGACCAAATGTATATAGACCAAATATCTGTAGACCAAATGTCTGTAGAGCAAAAGTCCATAGACCAAATGTCTGTAGACTAAATGTCTGTAGACCAACTGTCCATAGACCAAATGTCTGTAGACTAAATGTCTGTAGACCAATTGTCCATAGACCAAATGTCTGTAGATCAAATGTCCATAGACCAAATGTCTGTAGACTAAATGTCTGTAGACCAACTGTCCATAGACCAAATGTCTGTAGACTAAATGTCTGTAGACCAATTGTCCATAGACCAAATGTCTGTAGACCAAAAGACCAAATGTCTGTAGACCAAATGTCTGTAGACTAAATGTCTGTAGACTAAATGTCTGTAGACTAAATGTCTGTAGACTAAATGTCTGTAGACCAACTGTCCATAGACCAAATGTCTGTAGACTAAATGTCTGTAGATCAAATGTCCATAGACCAAATGTCTGTAGACTAAATGTCTGTAGACCAACTGTCCATAGACCAAATGTCTGTAGACTAAATGTCTGTAGACCAATTGTCCATAGACCAAATGTCTGTAGACCAAAAGACCAAATGTCTGTAGACCAAATGTCTGTAGACTAAATGTCTGTAGACTAAATGTCTGTAGACTAAATGTCTGTAGACTAAATGTCTGTAGACCAACTGTCCATAGACCAAATGTCTGTAGACTAAATGTCTGTATACTAATTGTCCATAGACCAAATGTCTGTAGACCAAAAGACCAAATGTCTGTAGACCAAATATCTGTAGACTAAATGTCTGTAGACTAAATGTCTGTAGACTAAATGTCTGTAGACTAAATGTCTGTAGACTAAATGTCTGTAGACTAAATGTCTGTATACTAAATGCATGTAGACCAACTGTGGAGGAAACATCAGTAGAAGAGTAGGCGAGATCATCTCCCGTCAACACAGAGGCGCAGCGAGGGGGGGGGGGGGTGCGGACCGCACCGGGTGACACCATATAGGGGGGGGGGGGTGGCACCAAGGCAAAAAATAGCAAAATATTTAGGGAAAATGATAATTCCACTTAATTGATTAATTCGAGTGTTAAATAGTCTTTTTAAGAGGTGGAAATCGAAAGTTTGAAGGGGGAGGGGGTGCAAATCGAAAATTGAAAGCTTGTCCCCGGGAAGGGTCGCTACGCCTCTGGTGGGGGTGACACCATTAAGTGCCGCACCGGGTGACACCCGACCTCGCTACGCCACTGCGTCAACATAGAATACAGTCCCAGACTCATGTCAGCCAGTAGTACCAACACATTTACTCAAACTTTGTTGCAAAAAGTAAGTCAATGCTTATCCCGTTCAACGCCCCAACCCCATGTACAAAATGTAATCAGATAACAAACCAAACCCATGTTAGGGCTATAAAACAACTGCACTATCCCTAGGGATTAGAGACCCAAGATATGTGTATTTGTTTGACTGAGCGTGATTTTATAAAGGCCAAAGCATCTAGAGATCTGTACGGTGTACAGTCATGAAACACACACATCAGGTTTTGTTGTTTCTTTTAGCCGGTTCCCAGACAGTTAACATTCCGAGAAGTTCGTAGCTTCCAGACTAGACAAATACTTATAGTGTACTTGCAGCCCTAATCCAGACTAACTTAATACAGACAGCCTTAATCCAGACCTTATCCCTAATCCAGATAGATTTAATCCAGACCTCAGCACTAATCTAGACTTTAGTCATAATCCAAACAGACATAATCTAGACCGTATCTCTAATCCAGACACTTAATCCAGACATCAGCACTAATCTAGACCTTAGACATCCAGACCTTAGCCATGTTCCTGACCTAAGACCTTATACAAACCCCAGCACAAATCCAAACCTTAGCCCTAATACAGACATTAGACATCCAGATCTTAACTATGTTTCAGACCTTAGACCTAATACAGACCTTAGACCTAATCCCGACCTTTGCCCTAATCCCGACCTTTGCCCTAATCCCCACCTTAGAGCTAATCTAGACCTTTGCCCTAATCCCGACCTTAGCCCTAATCCCGACCTTAGACGTAATCCTGACCTTGGCCCTAATCCCGACCTAAGACTTAATCCCGATCTTTGACCTGATCCCGACCTTTGACCTAATCCCAACCTCGACCTTTGCCCTAATCCCAACCTCGACCTTTGCCCTAATCCCGACCTTTGCCCTAATCCCGACCTTACCACTAATCCAGACCTTAGACCTAATCCAGACCCTAGCCGCGATTCTGATGGCACTAGCAGTAATCGTAACCATAGCCCTTAACTACATATTATACTTAATTCTAACACTAGATAATCCTGACCCAGGCCCTAAACCAGGTCATAAGCCAAATATTCGTTCTAGCCCATAAGCTAATACAAGCTCGAATCCTAACCCTCACACTAATCCTGACTGTAGACAGTCTAACCCTCACACTAATCCTGACTGTAGACAGTCTAACCCTCACACTAATCCTGACTGTAGACATTCCAACCCTCACACTAATCCTGACTGATGACATTTTAACCCTCACACTAATCCTGACTGAGTACATTTAACCCTGCCACTAATCCGGACTGAAGACATTTTAACCGTCACACTAATCCTGACTGTCGACAATCCAACCCTGAAACCAATCCTGTCGACAATCCAACCCTCACACCAATCATGACAGTCGACAATCCAACCCTCACACCAATCATGACAGTCGACAATCCAACCCTCACACCAATCCTGACAGTCGACAATCCAACCCTCACACCAATCATGACAGTCGACAATCCAACCCTCACACCAATCCTGACTGTAGACAATCCAACCCTCACACTAAACCTGACTGTCGACAATCCAACCCTCACACTAATCCTGACTATAGACTTTATCCCCATGATAGCCGCACTACTAGCTATGTAGATCTTAGCCCAAATTATGTCTCCAGTTCCAATAATGACCCTAAAACTAATCTAGAAATTAGTAATAATTCCGATCAAAGCTTTTAACATTACCATAGCGTTTACCCTAACCCACAACCCAAAAACTAGAAACAGGGGCGTAGCGAGGGGGGGGGGGGTGCGGACCGCACCGGGTGACACCATTTAGGGGGGTGACACCAAGGCAAAAAATAGCAAAATATATTGAGAAAAACTCAAGGGGGGGGGGTGCAAATCGAAAGTTTGTTGGGGGGGGTGCAAATCGAAAACTTGAGGGGGGGTGCAAATCGAAAGTTTGAGGGAGGGCTGCAAATCGAAAATTTGAAAGTTTGTCCCTGGGAAGGGTCTCTATGCCTCTGGGGGGGGGGGGGGTGACACCATTAAGTGCCGCACCGGGTGACACCCGACCTCACTACGCCACTGACTAGAACATTGCTCTTATCCTCGCAGTCTTACAGATTCTTACCCATGACCTAATCTGGCTCATTACCTTAATCCTAACCCTAGTACTAATCATGGCACTAGCACTAATGCTGAGACTGCCGAATCCTGACCCAGACCCTATACTTGACCCTAGCCCGTAATTATAATCATTGATAAATGCCAGACTTTATTTTCTATCTAAGATACCGACAGAAAAAAGTACATTAATGCAATACTGTATTTTTTTTCAAGAAGAGAGACAATATAGGAAGTCAAGAAATTTTAGCCGATGCCCCCCCCCCCCCCCACTTTCCCTCTATCCCTTCAACCCTTGGTTGGTTATGGTTTTTAGGCCAATCACAAATACACTCGGTATTACACGAATGTGGTATATTATAAACATAATCTGTGGGGATCACATCCATTTGAAGGAAATCGTTTGTTATTTTTTATTAGCACAGTAGTCAAGTCTTGTATTAAATGAAGTTAATAAGCGACAATGTGTTCATGAGTGATGTAAACGTATTCATTAAACCAATCACAACTATAGGGCTATTTTGCCCAGACAGTCTTTGTCTAGAGTTTGATTCACTATCCTTAGTCTGTAGCATGTCATTGAATTCACTCAGCTCTGATGGGTACCTGACTTGAGCTAGGGTAAATAAAACCGACTGGGAATTGTGTTGAACTCATTACCCCTTCACATGCCAATGTTAGAGAAACAGGAGAACTCTACTCCATCTGTCCCGTATACCTCCGATGAACTGTACCATCGTTACTATTCATGAAAGCAGAACTTTGTCGAAAAATAAACAAGAATTAAATCATATCCGTTGTAGTATATCAGTGCTGTATACCATCTAACTTCCATATTTCAAAGAAAGTACCGAAATCAGGGTGAAAAACCATTGTATGCCCTCTTGTTGCAGTATCTTAGAACCACTTTGTTGGAGTTCTAGAAGTATCGAGTACTTTAATCGGGTTAAGGTTAGTTACGCCAAGAAAATCCATACTGTACAGTATTAACCATAACATTGATATGCATTATGTATATACTAGGCAAGGTAAGACAAGGTAAAGCAAGGCAAGGCAAATCAGGCATGGTAAGGTAAGGTAAGGTAAGGTAAGGTAAGGTAAGGTAAGGTAAGGTAAGGTAAGGTAAGGTAAGGTAAGGTAAGGTAAGGTAAGGTAAGGTAAGGTAAGGTAAGGTAAGGTAAGGTAAGGTAAGGTAAGGTAAGGTAAGGTAAGGTAAGGTAAGGTAAGGTAAGGTAAGGTAAGGTAAGGTAAGGTAAGGTAAGGTAAGGTAAGGTAAGGTAAGGTAAGGTAAGGTAAGGTAAGGTAAGGTAAGGTAAGGTAAGGTAAGGTAAGGTAAGGTAAGGTAAGGTAAGGTAAGGTAAGGTAAGGTAAGGTAAGGTAAGGTAAGGTAAGGTAAAAATGTAGCCTTACTTTTTCTTGTCCGGATCCGTAAACTTACAGTCCTCTTCCCCTGGGGGTGGGCCACGATATCTGCAGGGTGGTAAGTTCGGTGCGGGGCAGGGGCACATGGGCATCGCTGGTTCCGGTTCGGGCGGGGCCACTTTGTGGGCACAGGGGGGCAGCACGGGCATACATGGCGGCCTGACGTACTCCTCCACCTGCATGTCCATTGGTGGCGGCTCCTTTGGCAGAACGGGCTTCGTGCAAAGGCTCTTGTTCGTCATGTTGAATGAGCTGAGCTGGATTCACAACCAACAGGACTGAGAAGTTCACTGCAGTGGGAAAGCTAAACAAAAACTACACTTGAAGGTGCTGGTTCTTACCTTAAAAAAAAAAAAAAGATCGATGGTATTGTCTTTATAATCAGCGGAGGTAAATGAATTCAGTTGCGGTTGTTTTTTCCCGTCGGGATATTTTCCGACATGTATACGGGAGAGACCGGCATGATATGACTTGAAGGTGCGGCGTTGTTATGTGAGGGTTTTACGTTCAGTAATGGTGCTGTGTTCGAAAGTTTTGGTCTACGGCGGTGCGCAAAGTTTGTTGTTATTATAAAGGGAAGTTAGAGCGTCTGGGTTTATTCATAGCAGCTTAAAATATACCTATCTAAACCGGCTCAACTTTAAAAAGTCTATTTGTAATTTTACAGTGAAACAACAAAATTAAAATTAATTTTTTTTTTAAATTAAAAAAAATAAAACTAGAACGACAACAATAGATATCAATGTTTTAACTTTATAATGCTTTCAGATTGTAGTTTTTTTTACTGAAATTAAGGAAAGAATTGAGTGAACTTATGTTTAATCAATAATCAATGGCAGGACGAAATGAGATTAGGTGGTCTTTAAAGTTTAAACCGTATGTCATCGTTAAGGTTGGTGCAGATAATTTATGTAATACAATGGACAAAGGTGGTTCATATGTTGCTATACAGTGGTATGCGGGGCAGAAGATGGTAGGTGCATTGTTATAAAGAAATGTGTTTGATAACACTAAAGCCAATTATGTATATATATATATATATATATATATATATATATATATATATATATATATATATATATATATATATATATATATATATATATATATATATATATATACTAGCTTATACCCGTGCTTCGAGAGGCAAAGGGGTGCGGACCGCACCGGGTGACACCATTTAGGGGATTGACACCAAGGCAAAAAATAGCAAAATATACAGAGGAAAAACTTGAGGGGGTGGGGTGCAAATCGAAAGTTTGAGGGGGGGGGGGGGTGCAAATCGAAAGTTTGAGGGGGGGGTGTGGTGCAAATCAAAAACTTGAGGGGGGGGGGGAGGTGCAAATCGAAAGTTTGAGGGGGGGGGTGCAAATCGAAAACTTGAAAGTTTATCCCCGGGAAGAGTCGCTACGCCTCTGGGGGGGTGACACCATTAAGTGCCGCACCGGGTGACACCCGACCTCGCTACGCCACTGAACATGGTCCAAATGTTTCTATACTAGGAACAAATGTTGTAGAACTTTCAGAACATGTTGACCTAAAGAGATAAATCCAGGTACACTGAAATCTTGACCCAAATTTTCTAGACTACGAATACTCAGAATTTGTTGTCTACTAATTAAACCAACCGCAACTGCCTTTAAATTATTTCTGATTAAAGCATTCCAAAATCCCAGTAAATGTTTAAGTTTACAGTTTAAAATAAAGATTATATCGTTGTCGATGCTTTGTGTTCAGAGTTTCTTCCAGGCATCTCTTCGGGGTGGCCGAGCGCCCCCCCCCCCGAAGAAAGTCTACCGCTCTCCCCCCCCCCCCCCCCCTCCCCCGAACGAGATGGAATTTATATAGTAAACATGTATTTTTACTGGTGTCCCGTTCCCCCCCCCCCCCGAAAATATCAATTGCCCCTCCTTCCCCCCCCCCCCCCCCCCGGAGAAAAAAGTCTGGAGGAAACACTGTTATATTTATACAAAAGTAAAGATTCCACTTCACACCTTTGGGCAGATGAAGTAGAGTTTATATTTATTTTTTCTTGATCTCGGCAAAAGAAGGGATGGTGTAGAAACACTTTGCCCAACCGCCATTATTTTCCCCAGAGGCGTAGCGACCCTTTCCGGCGCCCGGGGACAAACTTTCGATTTGCACCCCCCCTCTCTCAAGATTTTGATTTGCACCCACCCCCTCCCCCTCAAGATTTCGATTTGCACACCCCACCCCCTCAAACTTTCGATTTGCACCCCCTCAAGCTTTCATTTTTATTTTTCCAACCCATTTTTTGGCGCCCCCTTAGGTCGGTGGGGGACATATGTCCCCCCCCGCCCCCCCCCCCCTCGCTACGCTACAGAGGTACCCATCAGAGCTGGGTGGACGCAGGGGCTGGGGACGTCCTATATTCACACCTTTGACCCGAGATCAGAGTTTCTTCCAGGCATCTCTTCGGGGGGGACGGTGCCCCCCCCCCCCCCCCGAAAAAAATTAACCCCCCCCCACCCCGAACGAAATGAAATTTATATAATTTATATAGAAAATATATACTATTAACAATGTCCGCCCCGCCGAAGAAAGTCTACCGCCCCCCAAAGAATTTCAAGTGCCCCCCCACCCCCCCGGAGAAAAAAGTCTGGAAGAAACACTGCCCGAGATCCGAACTCCAGACTTGCTTTGGAGCCTAACGAAATCGAACCATGTCCATGGCCATATCACTACATTGCAGAATGCAGTGCAGAGGTCGATAGTTCCATTTAAAACTTGCACAGTAATTTATTTTCATTATGTGACCTTTGTCACAAACTCTGACCTGTAACCGGAAGTTACAATCCAACCTCGTCCAAGATTTGGACCGTCTACATTTGTCCGATTCAGCAAACGCGAATTTAACTGAACAAAAATTACAGTGGGGGAGGGGGGGTTATGGCCGTACTTATGAAGTAAAATATACACAAGCGATCTGCATTATCTTGATTTCAGATAGCTATTTTTTTTTTTAAATTTATATAAATGGTTAGAGTAGAGAAAATAAAAGAAGCAACAAAAGCCAACAAAAGGATTTCCCCTGTCTATTATTATCTTCAAATGGGGTTTCCCGATGTTATTTTAGCGAAGACCAATGAAGAGCTATTTTGCCCTCCTTAAATGCATTTTAATAATGAACTTAAAAAATAAATAAGTCTTTTTAGGCGAAAAGTGAGTAAATACAATGTTTTAATAGTTTACTTAAGATAAACAAAAATTATAGTTACAAACGAAAGATTGAAAAAAAAGGCCCAATATTAGCACTTCAGTTTAGTTAACAGCTACTTCTGCTACAGTCTAGGTTTTTTAAATATTTTAGGAACCTGTACAAATTAAAATTAACGCCTCGATGTGTCCTCTAGATAGATTCTACTGGATTAGGCCTATGTTTTATGTGTGGGGTAATTTCTAAATTGTCTTCATCCATTAAATCCTACCAATCTTAATATTTTTTATTTATTAAGAAAAATATTATGAGGTAACTTGTTTTAACAAGCATTAGCTAGACTGTATGAAAAGGAAATTAACCTTGTAAATAATTGCCTTCATAGTTTGTTAAAGTATATACATATATTTAAAATTTAGACCAATATTTTTCGAATTCGTTCAACTTTCTTAAATTATTTAAATACTGAAGCCAGCATGGCAAATCTAACATCTCTGATACTAAAACCAGACGCATATCTGGCAAGCGTTTTTGAATAAAAAGCCATTTTAAAATTATTTTTAAAATTATAGATATTTAAATAATGTTATAGTTATGGTGTTTTTAGATGTAGAAAAAACTATTAAAATTAATGTATTGTCTAGTTATCGATATGTGCCAGTGGTGTATAGAGATGGAGTGGGGGGGGGGGGAAGAGGGGGTAGAATTCACATTACCTACTTAGATACTATATAGATCTTATTATTTTTTTAGTGTTGACAAAAGTTACCACTTGAATCAACTTAGGCTATAGCCTCAGGCTCATAACCTTTTCAGACTGTCATCATAAAGTAGAATGTAATCATTAAGTAGATAGCAAAGTTATCAGTTATCTTTTTTTATCATAACTGTATTTTATATCCTGTGTAGCATTCGTGACGTAAACAATAATAAACAGTTGTTAACCCGAAAGTCACGAGTTCAAATCCGTGTTTGTCGGTAACGTCCGTGAGTCCACACTGCTCTGGGGTCATCCATAAATGACATCCCGCTTTTTTTGACGATTTTTACCACCACCCTCTCCTCCGTCACACATCATCTCAAAAAGCCAGACCCCCTCCTCCACTAAAATTACGTCACACCTGAGCCTTTCAACCCCCCCCCCCTTCCCTCAAAATCGCAGTTGAATTTTTCTTAAAGTACGATATTTTCTCAAACTCTTTTCTAAACGCTTTCAACATAGAGTATTTTAATCAATTCCTATTACAATTTATTAAAACAGTTTTCTAGACAGCGAAATAATGGCTAAAATTGGTTTTCTAACATTGCTTTTTTATAATGCAAAAGTGTGACGTCACACCATCTGAACGTCGTTTATGGACGACCCCTCTATAGGGTACCTGACTCACGCTGGGAGTGGGTGGGGTGGCTGGGCATAGTACTGACATCACAATTCCTTCATCTCGGGGGCGAGAAACATAAAATCTTCTCCATCTGCCCAATGTAAACTTTGCTATAATTATGCCCTTTAAAAGTAGTCAAGTGTCCTTTCAAACCGTATGGTCCATGAAGCAGGTGAAGTAGATTTCACTTGTTTCAGTGGCCTTGACATATAAAAGGGATAGTGTGTGCCCACCCGCCATTATTTTCCCTAACATGAGTCAGGTACTCATTAGAGCTGGGTGAACTCAGGAATGTTTTTCGAACAAGAACCCGGGATTTGACAACCAGATCCTAGATTTAATCCAGATTTTAGTCCTACGCCAGATCCTAGCTCTAATCCAGACCTTTGGCTAATCCAGACTTAAGCCCTAATCCAGATGTTAGCCCTAGCATACAGGCCTTATATATACTTAGTTCAATTTAGAGTATCGTCCAAAATAAGATTTATTTTCAACTGCCGGGCTCAATAAATATTTTATGTAAATTTGACAGCTTGACAAGGAAAGAGAAGCGTCATGAGTGTAGAGGATACAGCTGATCTGGCAAACAGTGGTTCTCACACAGATGAGCAGCACCCGGAAGACAGTGGGTACCAAAACATGAACACAATCCATAAACACAATCCATAAACACAATCCATAAACACAATCCATAAACACAATCCATACACGCAATCCATACACGCAATCCATACACACAATCCATACACACAATCCATACACACAATCCATACACACAATCCATACACACAATCCATACACACAATCCATACACACAATCCATACACACAATCCATAAACACAATCAATAAACACAATCTATACACACAATCCATACACACAATCCATACACACAATCCATACACACAATCCATACACACAATCCATACACACAATCCATACACACAATCCATACACACAATCCATAAACACAATCAATAAACACAATCTATACACACAATCCATACACACAATCCATACACACAATCCATACACACAATCCATACACACAATCCATACACACAATCCATACACACAATCCATAAACACAATCAATAAACACAATCTATACACACAATCCATACACACAATCCATACACACAATCCATACACACAATCCATACACACAATCCATACACACAATCCATACACACAATCCATAAACACAATCAATAAACACAATCTATACACACAATCCATACACACAATCCATAAACACAATCAATAAACACAATCTATACACACAATCCATAAACACAATCCATAAACACAATCCATACAAACAATCCATAAACACAATCCATACACACAATCCATACACACAATCCATACACACAATCCATACACACAATCCATACACACAATCCATACACACAATCCATACACACAATCCATACACACAATCCAATCAAAAATGTATCGGCATTTAAGTCATTATTATTTTTGTTATTAATGTTTAGAAACAAAATTCCCTCTAAGTAAGAAATGCTAGCGTGTAAAAGATATTTTCTGTGCGCGCTGTTTTAAAAGTCTTATGCAGCGATATATTTATTTTACAAAATCACTGCGCTGCAGCTCAAAACTACTGCGCGGCCCGCGCAACCGCGCAGCTTAGAGGGAACATTGTTTCGGAAACACACATTTTTAATTACTCCCGTAGTAAAAGTAAGTAAAAACTCATTCAAGTTTATTAACCCTTCATTTCATATTGTAGCAATTTTGCTACAAAGCGAAATAATTACAAATAAATTTACACTTATGATAAAATCCACTTTTTTATTTTCCCATTGCTGCTGGCTCACTTTTGACCTAGATTTAAGCCTGAAACAGACTATAAGTGCGCTATATACGGCACGCTCCAGATTTGAATCAGTCAGTTTACTTTAGTTCAAAAAAATTAATTCATGAAATGAAGGGTTAATTCCGAGAAAACGTAAAACACTGTGAAGCCAGTAAAATATTAAGTTGACTAAATGCATGCTTAGTGTTAAGCCAGCTTACCATATTGTAAACTATTTAGATTTCCACTCATTGTTTTTTTTCCATGTCCAGTTGTGGCCATCGCCCCCTCCTTCCCCAATAAGTGGGAGAAGGGTGAAAAAATCGGAAAAGGGGCTTTCGGGGAGGTGTACATTGTCAAAGATCTGGATAACCCTAAAGAGGAGAAGTTCATCGTGAAAGAAGTTTTGCTGGTCAATGCGCTCAAAGACCGGAATCAGGTGAGTGGCGCCATTCTGTGGTACATGGGTGGGGGGGGGGTATATCTTGAACAGGTGATTTCAACCATTTTGTGGTACCTAGGTGGGAGGGTATATCTTGAACAGGTGAGTAGTACCATTATGTGGTACCTGGGTAAGGGGAATATATCTTGAACAGGCGTTATGCAATTCTGTGTTGCCTGGGTAATGGGGTATATCTTGAACAGGTGAGTTATGCAACTATGTTTTACTAGCTCAGGGTAGGAGGGTATATCTTGAACAGGTGAGTTATGCAACTATGTTTTACTAGCTCAGGGTAGGAGGGTATATCTTGAACAGGTGAGTTATGCAACTATGTTTTACTAGCTCAGGGTAGGAGGGTATATCTTGAACAGGTGAGTTATGCAACTATGTTTTACTAGCTCAGGGTAGGAGGGTATATCTTGAACAGGTGAGTTATGCAACTATGTTTTACTAGCTCAGGGTAGGAGGGTATATCTTGAACAGGTGAGTTATGCAACTATGTTTTACTAGCTCAGGGTAGGAGGGTATATCTTGAACAGGTGAGTTATGCAACTATGTTTACTAGCTCAGGGTAGGAGGGTATATCTTGAACAGGTGAGTTATGCAACTATGTTTTACTAGCTCAGGGTAGGAGGGTATATCTTGAACAGGTGAGTTATGCAACTATGTTTTACTAGCTCAGGGTAGGAGGGTATATCTTGAACAGGTGAGTTATGCAACTATGTTTTACTAGCTCAGGGTAGGAGGGTATATCTTGAACAGGTGAGTTATGCAACTATGTTTACTAGCTCAGGGTAGGAGGGTATATCTTGAACAGGTGAGTTATGCAACTATGTTTTACTAGCTCAGGGTAGGAAGGTATATCTTGAACAGGTGAGTAGTACCACATTCCGTGTTACCTGGGTAGGGGGGTCAATCTTGAACAGGTGATTTCCACCATTTTGTGGTACCTAGGTGGGGGGGGGGGTGTATATCTTTAACAGGCATGTGGTACCTCCTGTGTTACCTGGAAAGGGGGGGGGGGTATATTGAAACAGTTGAGTTGTGCCATTCCGTATTACCTGGCTTGGGTTATATCTTGAACAGGTCAGTAGTACTATTATGTGTTACCTGGGTAGGGGAGGGGGTATATCTTGAACAGGTGAGTTATGCAATTCTTTGTTACCTGGGTAAGAGGGGGGGGGGGGTATCTTGAACAGGTGAGTGATGCAATTCTTTGTTACCTGGGTAAGAGGGGAGGGTATAACTTTAACAGGTGAGTTATGCAATTCTTTGTTACCTGGGTAAGAGGGGGGGGGGTATCTTGAACAGGTGAGTTATGCAATTATGTGTTACCTGAGTGAGGGGTATATTTTGAACACATTAAGTCAGCTTTTATTTACATTCCATCAATAGAGTGTATTTGATGTCATGTATTATTTCATTTTTCTCTACAGAACATCAGAGAGCTAGAGATCTTACAGTCTTTGAAACATAAACGAATTATTCCTTTCTACGGCTGTACTATTCTTAAAGGGATCTTAAGCATGTTTATGGAATATGAGAAAATGGTAGCTATACATTACTGTCTTTTGTTTTATGAGAAAATGATAGTTACACGTTACTTTATAATATTGTTTTAAGAGAAAATAATGGAGGAAGGGCATTGACCACTTACGACGATGTATAACGAAATGTGTAACAAATGTTAAGACGTCAAAAATTTAAAAATAATTTTTATAGTAAATATTTTGATCTATTTTAACGAGGTCAAAATTTATTTTGTTTTCTGTTAATATGTTACGAAGGACATTTTCAATATAAATAAATAAGATCAACACTTTTATCGACTCACAATAATTAATACTTCATCGGGCTAATCTGCAAAGCTATTGAAAATTACACTTTTAAAAACATAATTTAGCTATCATTTTACACACATACACACACTTTTATTTTTATTATTTTGCTAATCAATGTAAAACAAAAAAAAACTAATACTTTTTGCTAGGGGCCATTAAAGTTGTACATTGATAAAAACGGCGCCTTGCCTGAACCCAAGGTGCAACTCTTCACCAAACAAATTCTGGAGGGGGTAGACTACCTCCACTCCCACGATCCACAAGTCATCCACAGGAACATTAAATGTAAGATTCGCTTTATTAAAAATAATATTTAGTATTTGATGCCTCTATGTTGGCATAATGTCAGTACCCTAATCATTCTCTATCTTCTTCTTCGTTCTTAATTTTAGTGATGGAAGAGATCCCCGCAATACAATTAAGTATTACTTGTCAACAGGTTATGCATCATTGAGACCATTGACTCCGATTTAAGCCTGCTTTTCTTTTTGGCTTTGCTTCCATAGCCTTTGACTTTGGAGTTGTCTCTCCTAGCTGAATCCCTGCCCCCAGCCAACGAGACTCATCTGTCCAAGGGTTCGAACTCGAGACATTTCGGTTTAGCCACCATGAGCTTTACCGACTCGACCACGCCGATCCCTCCATGTATATAATTTTTTTTTGCATTAGCTTGCTATAGAATGCTATAGCCTGTTCGACCCCTCACAATAAAGATGAAAATATAACAATTAACAATTCAAAGAAAGTTCGTTTTAAAGCACGTCTCATACTCTTATTTTTCTACCAAAGCTGAACAACTTATCTGTGGTGTATATGTTAATCAAGTGGAGTGTTACAGATAATGTGCAGCAATTTAATTCCTTTATTTTTTTTTTGTATTCAAGCGTGGTGAGGTGTATTTGAAAAAGTTACCCTCTTGAAACATAGCGGTCTATATGGCAGGTGAAGTAGAGTTCATCTGTTTCTGTGAAATGGGCCATATGAATGTAAAGTGTGAACAGCCGCCGTTACTTTCCCTAGTGTGAGTCAGGTACCCATCAGAGCTGAGTGGACTCGAGGACGGCTAACGGAAAAGAGGCCAGGATCCGAACTTTAGTCATGTGGGTTAGCAATGGTGCGCTCTACCACCCAACCACGTCTTCCAATTAGTTAGCGTATGTTAGCTTGAAAAGGTTTTGAAAACTCTTCAAACATTCTATTCCTACATCCCCACTCCCATCACTCCCACCACCGCTCTACTCTACCATACCAGGTGAGAATATATTCCTGGAGGACGAGAACAACGTGAAGCTGACGGACTTTGGCTTCTCCAAGGTCCTACACGACCAGACCCAGGCCAGGTCCAACCACGGCTCCTACAAGTGGATGGCACCGGAAGTCATCACGGCCGTCGGCGACAGCCATTACGACGTTAAAGCGGATATTTGGTAAGATAAGCAGATAGATTATTTTAAAACAAAGGCGTAGCGAGGGAGGGGGGGAGGTGCGGACCGCACCGGGTGACACCATTTAGGGGGGTGACACCAAGGCAAAAAAAAACAGCAAAATATATATAGAAAAATTTGAGGGGGGGGGGGGTGCAAATCGAAAGTTAGAGGGAGGGGGGGTGCAAATCGAAAATTGAAAGTTTGTCCTCGGGATGGGTTGCAACGCCTCTGGGGGTGACACCATTTAGTGCCGCACCAGGTGACACCCGACCTCGCTACACCACTGTTTTAAAACATTGCATTTCATACTTCCGCTAGGCATTCTATAGGAAACAAAAAAGGGTAACTGACAAAGTAGTGATTAAACTTATTTCCCTTTGTACATTAACTAACACTAAACTTTAGGAGACTATGTCTTACTGTATTTTTTCGGGCGTATATAACATGTGAGAATTGATAAGATAGTGCACATCTGGAAGGGGGAATATTGTGGGGGTGGAAGGACCGTAGTGTGATCGAGGGCTAATGTCCTGCTCAGCAATATTTTGTGTGTGTTCGAGTTTGTAGATACGTCCTAATCAATCACCTTAACCCGAAGGGGGGACTGAGTGGTCTAGCGGCAGAGAGCTGGACTGCGAGCTCGAATCCGCGTTCAAGTCAGTAGACTGAGTCCACCCAACTCTGATGGGCACGTTAGGGAAAGTAAAGGCGGCTGGGCATAGTGCTGACCACACTATCTCTTCATATGCTGAGGTCACAGAAACAAGTGAACTCTACTTCACTTGCCCTATAGACCGTCAGGTTTGAAATGGGGGGGGGGAATGTCCTGCTCGCCAATAATTTGCATTTATCCGCCTTTATTAATAACAACCAATCACCCTTCTAAACAAGTTCTAACCAATCAGCCTTCTAAACAAGTTCTAACCAATCACCATCTGTCGAGACAGGAGTGTGGGCTGTACCGTGGTGGAGATGGTCACTGCCCAAACAATCTTCCCGAAACTGACCGCCTTCCAGGCTCTCATTAAGATCGGCAACAACCAGGCACCAGAGTACGACCTTCACCCCACATCTTCAGACAACCTGAGGCAGTTCCTGGTCCAAACGTTCCACCTCAAGCCAGAATTACGCCCTACGGCTAGCGAGCTGCTGCGTCATGTGTTTATTGTTGGCCAGTAGAATAACAAATGGACTGAGTAGGTTAACGCAGAGCATGAAAGCAGATCTATTACATATACACACATAAACATATATATATATATATATATATATATATATATATATATATATATATATATATATATATATATATATATATAATGTGTGTCGGTAAACATAGATGATCTTAAAAGACCCTAGGAGATAACACTATTTAGACCTAATAATAAGAAAAGACAAAATTGTTTATTATAATATGTTTTTTGTAGAATGCGGAATATAGAGAGTAACTAGACTACCCGTCATCCGTTGGATAACTCTGTGTTTCGGGGGTCATCCATCAAAAAACATCACGTCTGTCACTCAGAGGCGTAGCGACCCTTCCCGGCGCCCGGGGGACAAACTTTTCGATTTGACCCCCCCCCCCCCCCCCGCAAGATTTCAATTTGCAGCCCCCCCCCCCCCTCAAACTTTTGATGTGCACCCCCCCCCCCCTTCAAGATTTCGATTTGCACCCCCCCCCCCTCAAACTTTCGATTTACACCCCCCTCAACCTTTCAATTTATTTTTCCAACCGCCCCCCCCCCCTCGCTACGCTACTGCAGTGTAACTTATCGTCACAAAAAAACAGACCCCACATTCAAAAATATGTTTTTTATCTTTTAAAAACACCGAAAACAACGATTTCTGACTATCCCTTCATATACTGACGTCACAGGTGACCTACTCAACTCTACTTCACCTGCCCAGTGTCCCGCCAAGTCTCAGACAACATGTTTTTATCTTTTAAAAAAAAACGATTCCAGCCGAGCATGTCTCTGACCACACTATCCCTTCATATGCTTAGGACAAACAAATAGGTGAACTCTACTTCACCTGCCCTGTGCCCCGCGAGGTCCTGATAGTCAACCTTATCATTCACATGTAGGCCTTAGGAAAAATAATTAAAAACATTGTTGTAAAAAGAAAATATATTTTTTTTACTATTACTACAGTCATTGTTCTAAACTTTTATATGCAATGTGGTTAATCTACCCATGAATATATCAATAAATTAATTAACGGGTTTAAATTAGTTTGTAATTAACAGTGTGTTTAAGAAGGAACAATATTTACCACTCAAAATACCATTTCACAGCTCTACACATAATGAAGATTCTCCCCAATAACAAATCAGAAAAACAAACAAACAAAAAAATGAGTTATCAAACATCACTATTCAGTCAAAGTTAAGCCATTGTTCTAAAACTTTAAAACAAATGTGGTTAATCTAGCTATGAATAAATCAATAAATTAATTAATGTCTTTAAAAAAAAATGTGTGATTAACAGTCTGCAATCAAAAATTATTCTCTACCTACATACTATTTTACAGCCCCCCATATACAGCAGTTTCCTTACAGTAAGAAATCAGACAAAAAAATAAATATTCAAACATGTAAACAAAGTTGAGTTTTAGTAGTATTAGATAAACGTAGAGTAAGAATGAGAATGGTTGTTGTTTTTTTTTTTTAAACTATTTTAAACAGTTTTTATCCAAATCATGCAATTTTTTTAGCTTCAATTTTTAATAATTTTTTTTTTATTTCGAATATTATATAGGCCTACATGAATTTATTTTTGGTATAGCACACCAGATGTGATAATTGGTTTAGAATGAATAAATATTAAATTTTTACCAAAAAAATATAACAAAAATATTGTTATGTATTTTTTATAATAACAGAAAAAAAAATATTTATATGTTTATGCATATATATATATATATATGTGTGTGTGTGTGTGTGTGTGTGTGTGTGTGTGAAGAGAGAGAGAGGGATAGAGGCTTATATGTAGGCATATATATATGTATATAGGCCAAAGTATATATATATATATTTGTATTTGTATATATATATATATATATATATATATATATATATATATATATATATATATATATATATATATGTGTGTGTGTGTGATGTGAGAGTGTGTGTCTGTCTGTGTGTCTGTGTGTCTGTCTGTCTGTGTTATGTGAGTGTATGTGTCTGTGACTGCTGACCACTGTTTTAAAAAAAAAAATTAAAGATACAATTAGTTGCTGCTTCACAAGAACTTTTATTATTATTGTCATTATATTTCATAGGCCAGAGTTATAAATGCCAAACACAACATCGCTTGTTCACAACGTAGCACAAAGATTACTGTAATTCTATAGTATCTCTCTACAGCGTTTATGTGTCAATAGATCCTAACAGTGTAGAGAGATGTGTAATACGTATGAATTCGCGATAAAAAAATTGTATCTAAATCATAAACCTAATCAAAGTCTTAAGTGGCCATACATGTACGATATTTCATCGGTAAAAAAAAAAATTTCGAAGTTACAATCCTGCTTTTTAAATGGGTAGTTTTAAAATGAAGTTTAGCACTCCTTTTAAATTCACTGCAATGCCACCCCCTACCCACATTTTACAGCATTAAATAGTTATCGTTGTTTTAGGTTAAATCGATCTAGAGGTAGAAGGTAGACTTGCTAAGTCAAAAAATATGTAGCTTTTTGTCGGTTTTTTTCTATTAATTTCGTGTAAAGAGAAGCAACTCAATTAATATTTTCGGCGAATTCTGGCTACATCCCCTTACAAACTGGAAATAGCTAATTTTTTTATATTTATTATTTATTGAATAAAATGAGTGTGTGGACAGAGCGTGTGGTCATTTCAGGGGAGGGGTGGGGTCTGAATAAATATGAAAATATGTTAAATCCTTCCAAAAAAATGTGACCTGGTTATGGGCTTAAGCATGTTTTTATAAGCGAAAGCCGCACAAAGTAAAATTTTAAGGCTAATCTAAAAAACAAGTTAATTAAAAAAGTCTAGTGACATTTATGCGCAATTTCCTTATGTTATCTAAAAATAGCTCTGACGTATAATGCTGGGGTGCATTCAAGCTAGAAGAACGATCGGTTTGTAGGTGTTTATGTAATTTTAAAATTTGTGACCGAACGAGAGGATATTTTTGAAAACTTTCTTGGGCAATATTGTTCTAAATTATGGCATAAATCGATTGGTACATGTTTCAAGTCGCTAAGTGGTCTGGTTGCCGAGATATGGGCCAAAAACTGAATTTTTTTCGAGGTTATTTGGCTTTTCCGGGAAATACATGAAAGAAACCCGGAATTTTTATGGCCTATGCTCATTCTCGTAACTTGCTTAACATAATTGCTTTTGGAACTAGTCATCGATATTGCTTCGTTGAGGAGGAGATACGACTTAAAGCCCGGACACACATTCATTCATTCATTCATTCAATCATCCATCCATTCCCAGAAATGACGAGTTAATTAACGCAATTCTCCAGAATGGAAATTGCGCTAAAAACCTTGACTAATGGGTCCCTGTTGACTAACTACCCCCTCCCCCCCCCATCCCCCCCTCTCCCCAGGGTTCAAAAGGACCGTAGTATTCGACTGGGTCCCTGTTGACTAATTGCCCCCCGGCTTACAGCGACCGCAGTGTTTGACGGTGATCCTGGTCTGGAACGTAAGCTTACAATTGGCCAGCTCCAGGGTGCAAAGGTCAACGTACGTGTTCCCGTCACTCCCGCAGAGCACCTTGCCGGGACAGTCGCTGGGCGGGCAGACGCCGCGGGCCATGTAGTCGCACCTCTTGCTGCAGGTCGAGTAGAAGCTGATCCTGAGGTTGGGGTCACGACCCCGGCAACGGCTGGCCTTGAGGTGGCAAATGTTCGTGTAGGTGCGCCAGTCGCTGCCACAGACGGGCGAGGGCAGGGTGAGGCAGTATGTAGGGCAACCGTTGCTGTCATAGTCGTAGCCCTCTGGAAGTAAGGAAACGACACGTCAGAGGCGTAGCGAGGGCAGGGTGAGGCAGTAGGTAGGGCAACCGTTGCTGTCATAGTCGTAGCCCTCTGGAAGTAAGGAAACGACACGTCAGAGGCGTAGCGATGGCAGGGTGAGGCGTAGCGAGGGCAGGGTGAGGCGTAGCGAGGGCAGGGTGAGGCAGTATGTAGGGCAACCGTTGCTGTCATAGTCGTAGCCCTCTGGAAGTAAGGAAACGACACGTCAGAGGCGTAGCGAGGGCAGGGTGAGGCGTAGCGAGGGCAGGGTGAGGCAGTATGTAGGGCAACCGTTGCTGTCATAGTCGTAGCCCTCTGGAAATAAGGAAACGACACATCAGAGGCGTAGCGAGGGCAGGGTGGGGCGTAGCGAGGGCAGGGTGAGGCAGTATGTAGGGCAACCGTTGATGTCATAGTCGTAGCCCTCTGGAAATAAGGAAACGACACATCAGAGGCGTAGCGAGGACAACATAGCCCAATAGTTGTGAATGGACCAAACTCGAGACTTATAATGTGGCTGGACAACATAGCCCAATAGTTGTGAATGGACCACACTCGAGACTTATAATGTGGCTGCACAACATAGCCCAATAGTTGTGAATAGACCACACTATCATGTCAAATGCCGAGGTCACTTTAACAGCTGATCTCTACTTCACTTGCCCCGTGGACCGTCAGGTTCGAAAGGGAACTTTACTAGCATTATCTACAGGCGTTATTCGGTGTATAGTAAAAAAAAAAGGCATCGTTTTAAAGTGTTTTGTGGCAACTGAATGAACGTTGCAAGTTTAAGTAATGCTAATGTGTTTAGCATTCATTCACGCAGCAATATAATTATAATGTTCTTGTCGAGTCAATGAACGTTCTGTTTCCAACTCAACAGTCTGTGAGGGAGGGGGGGGGGGTGAGGCGCGAGGTTCTGAGACTTTTATGTCTAAAGTATGTAGTATAAATATTAACTTACGACAAAGACAGCAACCAGACAGGCTTAGCATTACAACTATACTAATCAAGGCTTTCATTGTTGTTGAAGCTGGTGGGAGATAATGTATGATAAGTATAAGAAATAAAAAGTGTATTGTTATTATTTATCTACAGATTTAGTTATACTAACACATTCGTCATGCATACACAAACCTATACATACACACATAGACGTATGTATGTGCAGACGCACACAGTCACCTACAGTTACAAATAGATAAACACAGTCGCATATATGTACTTGGGACGAAGTGATCTAGCTGTAGAGAGCTGGATTGCTAACCGGTTAGTCTCGAGTTCGAATCGAATCCGGGTTCAAAGCAGTGCTGACCACATTATCCCTTCTTCACTCTACTTCACTTGCCCCGTAGACCGTTAGGTTTGAAAGGGAACTTTACTTACTTACTATATATGTTGACAATGAATACACATTCACTTAAGCGTATACATACATACACGCACGTACACGTACAAACACGCTTACATACTCAAGTACACAGACATTCGATGATCCGATAAATAAACAGTTGAATTTTAATATAAAATTCAATTTACTTTAGACAGTATAATGGGACTACGTGGTCTAATAGTAGAGCATATGGCAGCTACCTAAGATTCTCGAGGTCACCCCAACTGTGGTAGGTACCTGACTCGCGTTATGGAAAGTAACGGCGGCTGAGGCATAGTGAAGATCACACTATCCCTTTAATATGCCGAGGTCACTTTACAGGTAAACTCTACTTAACCTGCCTAATGGACCGGCTAGTTCTGAAGACAACTTTACTTTACAAAGTAAAAAAACATTCTACACAATCATAATAATCGTTTTTAAACTTTACTTTTTACTGTAATAAAAACTGCGAAGAAAAATTGTTATCAACAGAAAGACTTACCTCTATACGGTATAAAGTAACAGGCATGAAGTTGCATCAACAATTAATTGAAAAATACACAGCTAGCCAGCATGCGTTAATTAAAATCAATCAATTGAAAGCAATTAAGATTAGATCCAGTGGCGTCACTAGGTCGGGTGTCACCCGGTGCGGCATTTCGTGGTGTAGCCCCAAGAAACAAAGTTTATATATATCAATGACTATATATATATATATATATATATATATATATATATATATATATATATATATATATATATATATATATATATATATATATATATATATATAT